CCGAGGACGGTCAAATTCTTTAGTTTGGGGGGGATGACACGCCTAAATTTTGGCTAGACGTCTATGCTGTGAATTGTGACATTTTCACGTATAGATTTGTATCAAGAGGACTGTAATTGAGACCCAGATTGACAGTCAAAGTCGATACTGAATCAGTCTAATAAGTTGAAGGGACCATATACCCATACTACCACAAGTTGGTCAGTTTACCCATCCCCGATACTACCTACGGATAGCAGTCTACCTGTTTGTCAAGCAGGATTATACCAGACTCGGACTACATCCGAAGGATGACCATTCACGTATGACATACCAAGGGTATTCTTATTGGACCTTACACTGGCAGGAGTTTGGAAGAACTTACTCAAGTGACCATGAACCGAGGATTGACTCGAAATGACTTTCTAGAACTCAGGAATTATCAAATACTCCTTCTAGAACAAGATCAGGCATTAATCTAAAAGACTGCGATTTAGTCTAATAGACCAATCAAGTTGCATGGTTAAGGAAAATGACTAGAAGAACGATCGAAGTACTGCGAGGCTCCGAAGACATATCAAATGGATGTCAAAGAGACCTGACGTAGAAAACATTGAAGAATGCAATTAAATGAATACTATGCGTAACTCCCTTGATAGAGTATAGGCACAATGGGTGTCTGTTGAAAGAGAGAAGCAATTAGTTTAATCCAGATGAATCAGATTGATAGGATTAGAATCGAGGAGAGCTGATTTGCCTCCGGACGAGATGACAAACGATCGAAGTAAGTGTTGAACCGCAATGACAGTTGAACACCATTCGAGTCATTCTCTAAAAACAATTAAATTAAATGAATATTGAAGTACCTACCTATGTTTGGAGGTATACTAGAATCTTGGAACCAATATGGACCAAATAAGGACATGTAGATTCAAATTAAATGGTATCTGACTGAGTGTAGAAGTTTCCTTGCGGTTCCGAACGTTTATTGTATTAAATTGATTGTACTATGCGCCTCTATATTCTGTATGTATAAATAGCGATCCGATGTATCTGGAATAAAAAAGTGATTTTGGGACGACGTTGCAGTGCTAATCCGTAAAAAGGAAAGACACACTCCCGCCAGACTGAAACCTCTTCGCTAGCAGCCATTCGGGCCCGGCACTTGTGAGTATAGGAACGTTGTGTTCTGCTCCTTGTGACTGCGAGAAGTATATCCAGTTGTTGGGTATTCTTCGAACTTAGGATCAGTCGTTGGTCTTAAGGGCAAATCACGCTGTGTGGTTGTGCCAGCACATAGTTCTAGCCCTCCGTAGGGGTCTGTGTGTTTCGGTTTTAATTTACTTTGATTCAAACCCCCAATTCTTGATATACCCAAATCAATACAAACCAAAGCACAAATCGTGCTGAATCTACCTTGATCAAAGGAATACATCGAATCCTTAGAACGATTCAAATTGATTGATCGAAGCTTCGTACTTAGCTCTCAAAGCTTTGCGGAACCTTTGCCAACGCTACCCCTTGCTATTAAATAAATTTGATAGCAGTGAACTCGCATATTGTGTATTAGATTGGTTGGTTGGAGTGCCCATTAGATTCCTTCCTTTCTCTTTCACACAAAAACGAGGCAAGCTCGTTACCGCCGAAGTTGAAAGCAGCCGCAGTGAAGACCACTCCAGGAAAGTTCTCGGGGAGCTCCAAATTTGAGTGTATGGTGTGGTGCACCTTCTCATATTCTGCGTATACACGCGGAGCCCAAAGTCCGAATGCAGCTACAAGTACAAGAGAACCATCAAGTTATCAGTACTGTGACGTGAAAAATTGTCATATACATACCATTCTGATACCTGGCCATCCGTTGGAAAGCAGAGCAACCCACGAGGTGATTCAAGACCTGTGTCATGGACCTGGGGTTCAGAACAACAGGGTGTGCATTCCCCATGCCCATTGATACCCCGCGATTATAGGCGGGAAAAGCGCCGCGCTTATGAGGCCCGTCAGTTGCCTTACTTGAAAGCCCAGCCTGTTCTCCCTCTTTGAGCATCAAACTGAATGCTTCTTGAAGTTCTTGGGAGTAATCTCCATCCGGCCGTCCTGCTAGGACGGCAATAATTCGTCCATGGCAGTCCACAATGGGGGTAGGGGTACTAAAACGTAGTATGGGTCAGATGGTTCAAAGAATAAGTAGAAAGGACATACACTCCATCCCATTGAATGTGTTCAAAGCCCATATCGATAAGCTCAGCCAGTGTGTACCGCTTCTCCCTGTCAGACTTGGTTCCCATGTCTGCCTTTTTCCCTGGCTTCCCCGTGTGCGCTCCGTGAGCGGCTTCAAACTTAGAGGCATCGATATCTGCTTCAACGGCGGCTCCCGACGAGAGAACATGTGCAAGATTCCGCTTCGAAGGTTTTGTTGGCGGCGGTTGGGCAGAGATCTTACGGCGTTTCGCAGCTCGTTTGGAGTTTCTGAGTGATTTTCGTTTGTGACCGGCTAATGTAGGAGGGGCATCGGAAGAGAGGGGGGTCTCGGAGCGTAGATCGGAGCGTAGAGAGGCGTTGGAAGGTCGAGAGGTGGTGGAGAACGAAGAGATGCCGGAGAATGGAGAGGCGGCGGAGAACGAAGAGGCGTTGGGACACGGAGAAGCGTTGGGAGGTGGTGGGGTGTTGGAAGAGGAGGGGGCGTTGGGAGGTGGTGGGGTGTTGGAAGAGGAGGGGGCGTTGGGAGCTGGTGAGGCGTTGGCAGCTGGTGAGGCGTTGGGACGCGGAGAAGCGTTGGGAGGCGGTGGGGTGTTGGAAGAGGAGGGGGCGTTGGGAGGTGGTGGGGTGTTGGAAGAGGAGGGGACATTGGGAGGTGCGGAAGAGGAGGCGGCGTTGGAGGGGGAGAGGACGTTGGAAGAGGTAGAAGGGTTGGGAGGCGGAGAGACGATGGGAGGTGGAGAGAGGTTGGAAGATTGAGAGGCGGCGTTGGATTGCGGCGAGGAGTCGGAGGAAGGAGGTGCGTCGGAAGACAGTGGGCCTTCCGAATCAGACTCGCTCGCGGCTTGCTGCTCGAACGAGGCCCGGACTAGAGAAAGAAAGTCGAATCTGAACCGCGAAGAAACGGGGGTAATGCGTTGAGAGACGCTCTGTTGAACAAATACAATCAGTGGCATTCCTCAAGCAGAAACTGTTTTCACTCACAGAGCGTAGAAAATAAGCCATTTGTGAGATTAGTAGAGCCTATGAGATAGTGAGGAGGTATCAGCTGCAATTAGAGTAAAGTTGGGAAGGGAAAATAACTCCTCCCCGCGAAAAAACGCGTGAAAACGCGCCGCCTATTCCTCAAGTCGCTGTTGGATCCCATTGGGGCAGAATCCGTGACCCAGCGACTCAAGAAGGTCGGCGGCTTGTGGAAGGCGAATTTGAGGAGGAGGAGGAAGAAATTCGGATGGTAAAGGTGAAGGGTACATAACTCACCTATAGTAGAGGTTGAAGGAACGTCGTGGTGGAATATTTCAAAGAGAAATCAACGAACTTTTTGCCGCGCATTACACAGCATCGTACACGCGGTTGAAACGCCCGGACGCCCGTACTTATATTAATATTCTAAGCAGTTACCGTTCGCTACCGCGCTTGCTTTCATGGTAGCTGTTTCTCTGAGAATTATACCTGCTGGATTAATAATGGTCCTTAAGTCAAGATTATTGAACTAAGTATACGCAGCTTTGCATTGTAGTTCATTAGGAGGTAACAAAGCTAGTCTACATTGTACCATGCGAAGCCTTTCTTTTTTGTCCTCGTTCTGGCGAAGGTGCCTTGAGATCTTTCCGTTTTCGAGAGTTACTTGTCGAAGTATCACCATGGTTCTTGTCAGCCTCAATTTGAGAGAGTTTGGGTTGTAATTGAAGCGCATTGAGCTTTGAGATTGTGAGCCGAAGAACTTGTTGAAATTCCTCCAAACTACGATTATCGCGAAGAGTCGGCTTGTCTGAAAGAAGGTTATTGATACCATGAAGACTGGGCAGGACTTGTTCCATTTCGTGCTCAAGACGGTGTATCCTCTGAATGTGTATGGCTGCTTGAGCATCATAACCCTCCTAAGCCAAAAACGCGTAAGTACTACTGTACAAGCGTAGAATAACCCGGAGGACTCACCAGAACTAAATATTCATTTACTGGCACAATACACTCATCTTCATCTTCGAGCTCCCCTTCATCTAAGTCCCCTCCAAGACCAATGTTATCCTGTCCCAAGGTCTGAACCGCTTTCCAGTCGAGCATTGGAGCAGATAATGTAGTATTTAAACCGTCCGGTAGGGAGTTGAGATATCTTGCAGCAAGTTGTTGAGCTGCTTGGAATGTAGCCGGGTAGTTGAACGGTGTTTCGACGTGGAGAACTGATACGTAGTAGTCTACACATTGACGGAGGGACCACAAGTGCTTACAGGCTCCGCCTCGCTGATCGAAATCTAGACATGTACAAGAACCGCGCCCCGTTTGGTGCAAGAAAACGGTGTAATTCTTGGTAACATCTTTGGACGATGGGCAGCGGACTGTGTAGAAGTTACCGTTGCTATCTTGACCTTTGTAAACACATTGCGAAGTTGAGAGGACTAAGGCTTCACCCAGAGATCGACGCTTCTCATCGTTCGGCCACCAACAAATCTGACGGGCCTTATCCTCGTCAAGCTTCCTCTGCACTCGAAATTGTTCTTGCAATTCTCGCAAGTCCACGCCTCCTGCAGCTTCCTTGAACCGTTGACTAACCCAAAGTCGATAGTTTTTGCGAGAGACCCGGCGTTTAAAGATGTCGGGAAGGATACGGGTGACAAGGAGCATAATAAGGACATCAAAACGCAGACGGTGCCCAGAGTGTAACCAAGATCGAATGTACTTCCGCTTGAGGATGGCGTTAAAGGATTCTAGATGGTTGGTTGTGGGTATAACGTCTTCAACAGCTATTTTCAGGAGGGCTGAAGCAGTGATATGCCCCCATTCTGACCAGCTCTGCCACATAGGCACTGGCATCCAATATTTCTCAAGATAGTCTAAATGAGAAATGCCTCCTTTTGATGCAAGCTTTGCAGCGGGATCATCAGCTAGCGATGTAAGGTATACTCTTGACTGCGAGAGGCGTTCCATGGCTACAGGATGTTCCACTGTAGCGATGAGGCTATAACAAATATACTTGAGATAGCCGTTTCAGATATTGACTACAAGTACTTACAAAACTTCGAGGTCTTGAAGATGTTCCCGAACATGATTTTTCCAGTAGTCATTTTGACTGCCCATCACTATCTTCTTTCGATGATTTGTCCAGCACTGACGGAGATGAAACCGACAGATGAGGAGGATAATCTTCGGCCAAACTTGAACCAGGGCCCCACGTTCCTTCGTATCCGTGTCGGTAATGCAGGTATATGGTTCGAATGTACCGTACTTCCTCACGAGGTGCTCCTTCCAGTAGCTCAGGAGCTCTCGGAGTATCTCGGTATTATACCCCGCCTGTGTTGCACGATTTCCTGTTGGAGCAGAAAATAAAAAAAGAGCTATCGGAACTCCTTTCCGGTCCTCATCCACAGCCATAGCGATAAAAAGGAGTAGACGGGAGCTACAGACACCAAATGTACCATCGAGGATAAGCTGAGAGTGATGGGCGTATTTGTAGGCAGCGTCATCCATCTCTTTGGTTGAAATACAAATTTTGAATCGTTCATTGACATCTGTGCGGGCACTATAGTGGAAAACTGCTTCTGCGAGGGCGGCGTTGTGGTCCCTTGACTTTGGATCCATCCAACTATCGATATTGTACTCGGGAAGTATAGTTGTATCAAGATTAAGGGTTCGACGATTCAACTTTCGATAGAGTGTGACGTTGTCAGAGGGTAGAAGAAGGTAACGAGTATTTGCAGTCTGCGGATTCCAAGCCTTCATTCCGCGGTAAAGCTTCGCATCGTACATCTGCTGATTCCTTTCCTGAATGCCAGTCAAACTATTCAGGGTAATTTCGGTACTTGTACATCACATAACGAAGAATTACTTTACCTTGCTCCATTCTCAAGCTGCTCCAAAGCAACCTCGTAAACATGTTCATGGAGAGGAATAGCAGGGATCCTCTCCAGAGTCGCCTTCTTACATCCTTCGTTATGCTCCCAAAAACCTGCGATCCGTATGATGCTTCCGTCTCCTACACATTCGGTAATTTCGACATGACCCAGGCATCCGGTATGTGGATAGGGAACTTTTCGCTGCCATGGCGTGGACTGAGTTAAGTCGGATCTGTCTTTCACAGACTCTTGCTTTTGTCACTCTTGCGAATTGTATCTGCAAGCACTTGAGTATATAGTCAGACCAAATCGAGCTCAACTAATTATACTGACCATTGATACAGACTGCGCTTATGTTCATCGTTTGTCTTTGTGCGAGCCCAGGTTTTGGACCACTGAATATTCCATCGGCTCTCAAGAAGCTCTCGCGTACTCTTGTCAAGTCCTATTTCCACCAATCTAGCCTGTGCTTCTTCCTGTGCTCTAGGGTCATTTGGCGGGAATTCGATGCTGACTACTCGAGAGGAACTGTATATCTCATTCAACTCCGCACGGTGTTCCAAGGAAAGGGAAAGGTGTTCGGTGTATATCTACAGATTGTTAAACAACATTCAAATAAGTATATATGGATTATACCTTTCCAACTCGTCCAATTGCTGGCTTAACTGGTGGTGTATGCTGACTGTTTTGGCCAATTATTTTGCTTTGCTCTGCAAATCGAAGCGTTGGCATAGAATTGCTCCGAACTTGTAGCCCATGTCGTGAGGATGTACTTTGTGTTGAACTCGAAGATAGTCTGGACTTTGGAATTCTGAGTATAAGTAACTCGACGATTTCGGAGATACTTACTGCATATGAGCGAGCAGGTCGGAGTGGTGGAAGATTCTTAATAGCTTCGGACAACAGTGTAGAGCTTGGCAGTGGGTTGTTCATCTTCGTATTTCCTTTCAGTAACTTGTATGTACAGTCTTTGAAGTAGAGATATGCGCTGCGGCAGTAGTAGCTACTTGCGCCAGCTCCGTCATTCCAGGAATTGCTAGAAGCGTTGCTGTGATCCTTCCTGAGGAATGAAAGCGCAGATCATGTTAGAAGCACTCATTATTTACTGTCTATAACCATTTGAGAGAAGAATCGGGTACCGAAACAGCCTTTTGACATGGAAGCGTGATTATGGGGATCTTCTAACAGCAAACACTAACATCTCGAGAGACTTGGGGGCACGGCGGGGCGCAACAATACGCTTGAAAGGGAAACTTAACGTTTTCAAGCTCGGGCGCGTAATTGACCTTTTCGGGTTATCTCAAAAGTCATGTGACGTTATCGCTGTGGGAATATTACATGAAATTGCATAATTCGTTGGGCGGCCTTGCTACCCCTTAATTCCACTGGTTCCAGTCAAAAGTACAAGGAACTGATTCTTCTCTACTCATCATAGTCGCTGCGCCGATAATCTGACTTTCGGAGGGACCCCTTCGCCGTTAAACCTTTTGCACCTTGTTTCGCTCTTTGACTTCGTTTTACTTCTCAGGCCAAAGACAATCACTCGGAGGGATCTCTCAGGCTATAATACATCAGGCGCCTACAGTACTTGCTTGCGGTCAAAGAGTGAAAACATAGAAATAAAAATCAAACTATCCTTCCTGCCTTCACTGAACAATTGAAAAACGCAAGTTTGAGTCTTTGACGCTGACTTTGAGATAAAGATCCGTAGTCCGAGGGTCAGGTAGACGAGGGTAGACGAGTCAAGTTTAGGTCAAGTCTTCCGTGCGCGCATAGTGACAAAAAAGTGGAATCCTAGTTTATTCCATATGTGCACTCCGTTTTGGCCGTCTGGGCAGCAACAAAAGGTCGCACATCATATGTACTATGCGTGTAATACTATATACTTTCTAATCACCAAAAGTCCTTCGCAAAAGTGAATTACGCATCCTTCGGATTTCTTGGAAGCTTAGCGATGCGTTCTTCGTAAGCCTAAAAATTCTGGTTCGCTATAAATGCAACGACAAATGCTGAAAGCAGTCAAACAATCAGCAACCGCAATGTCTCCTGCAACACAAATAGCAACGGCGAACCTCTTTTCCCCAATCAAAATCGGTAATATGCTGCTCAACCATCGAGTGATAATGGCGCCTCTGACCAGACTCCGTACAACCAAGACTTCTGCTGTATTGAAAGTCGTCAAGGAGTATTACTCCCAACGCGCTAGTACACCTGGGACGTTCTTGATATCAGAGGGAACGGTGATCTCACCTCGAGCAACTGGGTTTCAACCTTGTGCTCCAGGCATTTGGTCTGACGAGCAGATTACTGCGTGGAAAGAAGTACGTGGTATATCTTTATTTTGAATTATTGTTGACTGTTTGTTTCCAGGTAGTGGATGCGGTACATGCTAAAGGGAGTTATATATATCTCCAGATCGCAGCATCGGGACGGATAGCACAATCATCTGTTCTTCAGTCTTACGATCCGACGTACGACGTCGTTAGTGCTGGAGACGAGACCGCTCTTGATCTAGAACCGCCACCACCTTCGAATCTTCCCACGCTTTTGGGAGGAAGCTGAAGGCATCGGAAGGCGCAGTATCTCAGAACTAGAGTACATTCTTCTTACTTCTAATAAACGAAACACGTTACAATCATCATGTCGCGTAACAGTCTGAACACACCGAAAGAACCTCCACCCGGGCAGCCAAGGTTGAAATTTCCGGCAGTCCAACCTCCCCGGACAGTGCCAGCGAGCCCAGCGAACACCAGCACCAATGGCGACGACGAACACCGAAGCCTAATCGCAAAAGCAGTGGCCATGAACCTCATGCTCCCCGGAGAGGACCACACGATCGCTCTACCCACCAAACTAATACAACTGGCAGCGAGTGCCAAGGACGGAAAACCGAAAGCTGACATTTGGGAGAAAGTGGGCCTTATTGGGAAGATACTCCAGGAGTGCTCCTATAAAGACAGGATGCGGAAATTTAAAGACGAGATAATGGAGAAGATCGAGGAGAAATTCGATGACGAGACATGCAGACTCGAGGGAAGGGTCAAAGCCATGAGGAAGGAGGTCGAAGACGCGTCAAACGCGTCCACAAAGCTGAAAGACAAGGTGGAGGAACTAGTAAGGAATGCGGAGGCCAGGGAAACCACATCATGGGCAGGGCTGATGGAACTGGAAGCAGGAGAAATAGAGGGAACAACCACCGCCCAGCTTTCATACGCTAGTGCGGCCCAAGCAAAATCAGTCGCTCAACACATCCAACAACCCCGGCACAACCCAGCAATACGCGACGCAGAATTGAAGGATCGACGGATAATAATCCGGTCGGAAGCAGATTCCGACTGGAAACTGACAGAAAAGGAGCTCGTGGTAAAGGCGAACCTGGCAATAGAGAAAATGCTACAGGACGAGGACGAAGGAATGGAAATGAAGGTAATAGCAGCAACAAAACTTCGAGGTAATGGAGCCTTCCTCCTCATGAGTTCGGCAGCAGAGGCAGAAGCGATGAAAACAGGAGAACGTATGGCACGCTTCTGCGACGCTTGGGGATCAAAGGCCTTCCTGAGACCCAACTACCACGAGCTGGTAGTCGAGTCGCTGCCGGTAGAGACACTTATCGAGAGCATGTACGAACGCTCACGTATAGAAGATACTAATGACTTGCCTAGCGGATCCATAGCACAGATACGATGGATAAAACCCATAGAGAAGAGGCGCGCCGACCAGAAATACGCGCACGCGATCCTAGCAATGAATGACAGAGCTACAGCCAATAAGCTCATTCTCAACCAAGTCATCGTAGGGGGTAAGGCGCTACGAGTACGAAAGAACAAACCGGACCCGCGACGATGTGCGAAATGTAACGTGTTTGGGCATATAGCCGAGCAATGCAAAGCAGAGCATGATTCCTGTGCACGATGTGCAGGACGACACAGAACGAGCGCCTGCACTGCGACAAGCGATCAAATGCAATGCGCTAACTGCAAGGTGATGGGGCATGGTGCAGCCAGTCGTGAGTGCCCACTCTTCCTCCGTAAACTGAAGGAAAAAGCGCAGTGGGAACCGGAAAGGGGATACGAGCTCTTTGTCACCCGAGACCCCGAAACCTGGATACGAGATGACGATCCTCTCAAGGAGGATTTTGACCAGACTTGGAGGCAGGAAGTAAAGGAGAAATACGACACCTGGACCACAGTGAGACGGGGAACGGGGCAGGGAAGACTAGCAGGGGGAGCACCAGGTCAAGGAGGTGGCATTCAGAGATCACAACCAACCCGCGGCAGAAGCTCCAGATCCCGAGCACTACCACCCTCAACTGGCCCACCGCAGGCAACTCTCGAACGCTTCAACTTCTCTCACTCGCGCCCGCCCCCCAGCCAATTGCGACCAGGGGAAGGAGGCCCTACTAGGCAAAGCAGTCAGATGCCAACAGACGCGTCTCAATGATGAATCCCACAACAACTAACGCCCTTCAGAAACAACTAACCATCCAGCAGCTCAACACCAACAAATCAGACAACTCAATGCATGACTATTTACGAGGATCCGCAACGAATATAGATATATACGCCATCCAAGAACCATACATCGACTCAAAAGGACGCACGCGAGCACTTCCACACCTACGTGTCATATACCCAACAGGTCACACCGAATACTTCGGAAACGCAGACAGACCCAAGTCCCGATCCATCATAATGATCAGCACGCGCATCCCCACAGATAACTGGACACAGATCGACATCGATAGCCCCGACATCACCGCAATCCAAATCACCACTGGAATCGGGATAATACGAATCTTTAACATTTACAATGACTGCGAACATGACGATACCCTTCAAGCTCTAAATAGCTGGATGCGATCCCCAGCAGCCAGACCCTCTGAAAGCGGGCCACATCACTACATCTGGCTAGGCGATTTCAACCGACATCACCCTCTTTGGGACGAACCCCGGAATCACCATCTTTTCACGGCGCGGAATCTCGACGCCGCTCAAACACTGATCTCACTTACAGCACAATACGGCTTATACATGGCGCTACCGGGCTCCATACCCACTCTGCAGGCTCACAACACCGGCAATTACACCAGGGTTGACAACCTCTTCTGCACCGACACACTCCTCGATCACATCATCTTCTGTAATACAGTCCCCTCCAAGCGACCTATACTCACGGACCACTTTCCTATACACACAACCTTCGACATACAGCTCCCAACAGTAGATGAACGCGAACGATGGAATTGGGCAAAGGTCGACTGGGAGGAGTTCGCAGAACGACTAGAAGAGGTACTGGGAGAACTAGAGCCACCAAGGGAAATTGAGACGGAGGAAACATTTTGGAATGCATTGGGGAATTTCGATACAGCCGTACAACGGGTCATCAAAGAGGTGGTCCCAAAGGCGAAACCGAGCCCACACCAACGCCGATGGTGGAAACCCACCCTTACGGAATTGAAGAAAAAGACAGGAACACTGTCATCAAAGTCATACAAGAAACGACACAACTCGGAACACCCAATTCACGAGGAGTATCGACGCATGAGGCAGGCATATGACATGGAAATAAAGAAGGCCAAAGTGGAGAAATGGGTAGAATACCTCGAGTACGCTGACACAAGCTCCGTATGGGAAATTGGACGCCTCATGGAGAATGGATACACAGACGGAGGCAGAGCAAGAGTCCCAGGACTGAAAGTCAATCAACCAGGGACCACAGAACGCATAATCGAGGATAACGTGGGGAAGGAATATGTCTTCAGAGACGCCTTCTTCCCTCCCCCTCCCCAATCTCCTAATGTCCCAGCGAATGCGGCATACCCAAACCAGTCCTGGACTTTCACACCACCTACCAATCGACAGATCACGGCCACAATCCGGCGCATGAAAAATGGAAAAGCCACAAAACCGGGGACCATCCCTAACGATCTCTTCAAGGCCACATCAGAGCTTATCACACCGTACCTGGGACCCATCTACCGTGCGACATTCACTCTCAGGATATACCCAGCTGACTGGTCCAGCACCGAAACTATCATACTCAAAAAACCCGGACGCCCTGACTACCGAGACCCAAATGCATGGCGTCCCATCACACTCTCAAACGGGCATGGCCGGCTCATGAATGCATGTGTCGCAGAGGAAATCACAAAACGAGCAGAGCTGCTGGGACTGCTACCAGCGCTACAGTTTGGTGCTAGACCAGGACGCAACACCACAGACTCTATCCACCTCATGGTAGATCGTATCAAGGAGCTCTGGAGGGAGGGATACCTGGTAGCCGTTCTATACATGGATGTTAAAGGAGCATTCCCAAGTGTCGACCTAGATATGCTACAACATGAGCTGAGGATGGTGGGAGTCCCAGAGGAGATCCTAGATTGGATGCGACGGAGATATTCAGGACGGAAAACACAATTATCCTTCGACGACTACATCTCACAACCATTCGCTGTCCCTGGGGGCGAAGACCAAGGAGATCCATTCGCGGCAGTCGGTTACATCCTCTACGCTGCAGGATTGCTAGCGACATTCAAAACACTCGACAAAGAAGAGGGATTCGGATTCATGGATGACGTTGCTGCTATGAAATGGGGTAAAGATGTAAACCAACTACATGCGGAGATTGGGCAGATGATGAATAAGGCGAACGGCCCTCTGGAATGGGCAGCCTCTCACAACTGTCAATTCGGTGTCCCAAAGTTCAAACTAGTCGATTTCAACCGACAACGGAAACCACACCCAACAGAATCGCGGAAGACCATTCCAATCACCGGCCCAGGAGTACAGTTACGGGGGACATTAATCAAATCGGAGCCATTCACCAAGTTCCTAGGCACACTGATGGATCGGCAGTTACGCTGGAATGAGCAGCACGCAGCTATGGTGAGGAAAGGACAGCAATGGGTAGCACAATTCAGACGAGTAGCGAGAATGAGAGACGGGATGGTAGCCCAGCTGGTTCGACAGCTGTACAAAGCAAAAGCACTACCGAAAATGCTATATGCTGCCGACATTGTATTGACCCCCACCTCCAGGAAAAGCGAAAAGAAGTGGACTCAGGCATCACACACCCGAGGCATCATTCGTAAACTCACGTCCATCCAACGACAGGCGGCATTACTCATCACCGGGGCCATGACCACCACTGCCACAGACATCCTCAACATCCATGCGGCTCTACTACCACTACCACTCGAGATTGAGCGACACCGACACCGCGCAGCAACAAGGCTTCTAACCCTACCAGAGGAGCATCCACTATCAGACCGCATTAAAGATGGGACACGTAACCGACGACGAACGCACCACTTCTCACCAATACACGACCTAATGGCACGATATGGACTTAGACCAAACCACATGGAAAAGCGACGCGCGGTCCGATACGAAGCCTCCTGGGACCCAAAATTGACTGTGAACATTTGGGAGGACAAAAGCGAAGCACTAAAGGCATATGGAGAGGACGGTACTGCACTAAAAATCTTCACTGACGGCTCGGGATTTCAAGGTTATGTAGGCGCCTCAGCAATACTTTACAGGAATGGGCAGGAGACCAACGCTATACGCTATCGACTAGGGTCTGACAAATATCATGAAGTCTATGAGGGAGAGTGCGTGGGGCTAATACTAGCGTTACACCTGGCGCGGGAGGAGGAACTAGCCGAATCGATCTCCATCTGGGCGGATAGCACAGCAGCAATAGCAGCGACGGATACCAACAAATCAGGCTCTTCACATTACCTTCTAGACATCTTCCATCACGCGCTAACAGCACTGCGAGCATGCCACCCTGATATACCAGTCACCATCTCATGGATACCGGGACACATAGGCGTCGAAGGCAATGAGCGGGCGGACCAAGAGGCGAAAAAAGCAACGACTGGCAGATCCAGCCGAAAAGAAAAGTTACCCACTCAACTACATCGACCACTTCCCCACAGTCAAACAGCGACTATACGCACGTTCCGTCAAGAGCTAGAGAAACATCATAACAAGCACTGGAGGAAATCACCACGTTTTGCCCAATTCCAGCGCATCGACCCCTCCGACGCCACCACCGCCAGCCGAAACTACTGGAAACTAACCCGATGGCTCCCCAGAAAGCTCCTCAGTCTGCTCACACAACTACGCACTGGGCACATCCCATTACAAAAGCATTTACATCGCATCGGAAAAGCGGACTCCCCAACGTGCCCATGCTGCAAGAGGGCCGACGAGACCGTCACGCACTTCCTATTCAACTGCCCAGCACATCGAAGGGCCCGAGGCCGACTACAACGAAAGCTACCCAATCAACTATGGTCCCTTGGACCTCTGCTCTCGGTGAAGCAGGCACTTCCACCGCTATTTCGCTACATTAACACTACAAGGCGATTCCATCACATTGTAGGAGAACTCCCGGAACTCAGCGAGGACGATGAAAACCGATCCTAGTCACAGCGCCAGCGAATCAACTGCCCTATCCAACCACTCTACGTATAGTATTAACTCCTCTCGATCCCTTCTCATAACACATACACACTTATAAAGACATGATCACACGAACAAAGCTTGCACAAAACTACCTACAGCACATGGACTACAATTAGATACAATGCGCTATCGACGGAAACCCGTCTCGGCTTTCTCAGGGAACCGATATATGTTGACCGAAAACACACTCATACAGTAGCATTAGACACAACGATTACAACTACAGTAGTATGTACACTACCATATGCTCCCGCACAGCGGTGTATAAACAGGATTCAAAAAAAAAAAAAAAAAAAAAAAAAAAAGTGCTGGAGACATCCCTATGGCGGAGGGCGAGGTCCCACGACCAATGACGGTAGAAGAGATCCAAGCATCTATAGGAGATTTCGTGCAGGCTGCTACCAATGCTGTACATAAGGCAGGATTTGACGGAGTGGAATTGCATGGCGCATATGGGTTCCTGATTGATCAGTTTATCCAAGATGTATCGAACAACCGTACAGATAAGTATGGAGGGAGCATAGAGAATCGAGCAAGATTTGCTTTGGAGGTTGTGGACGCGGTAGCGAAAGCGGTCGGAGAGGATAAGACTGCAATTCGTTTCAGTCCGTGGACTAGAGATCGAGGTAGGTTTTACATTCGTTATAAGTGAAGAATCCACCAATAATTATCTGATGATAGATATGGGTATGAAAGACCCCATCCCGACATTTACCTACCTCATTTCGCAGCTGAAAGAGAAACAGCCTAATTTGGCGTACCTTCATCTCATCCAATCGCGAGACCTCGACGATCCGAAACAGTCTAATGAAAAATTCTTTGATATGTGGTCTCCTAGGCCATTGGTCGTCGCTGACGGTTTCACGCGAGAGAAAGCTTTGAAATTTGCGGAAAGAGACGGTGTATTGATTGCATTTGGGAAGCGGTTCATTTCCAACGTGAGTGTTTTGTAAAACTCTAGGAGGATACTGAATTGTCCATGCGTTTCCGCCTTTCAAGCCAGATCTACCAATAAGGTTGAAAGCAAATTTACCATTATCCGAATATGACAGGTCCAGCTTCTACGGAGGAGACGAGACTGGAAAGGGTTACATTGATTATGCCTTTGCATCCGAATAGAGTTGTAATGACGCTCCTAACAGCCGTTTGCAGAACCGAGATTGGAGGATGATCATGAAGGGATGGAAGGAGGAAACGGAGGAGAATGGGAGAGGCAAGTGACAACGACTAATAAGATCCTTAGCGCCGAGCTGACACGGCAAATTCCCGACTCTGAATCATAATGCCTCAATATTGCATATGTGATTCACATTCAAATCTTACAACAGTAAGGTGTTATTCAGAATGCAGACCATGGATTTCAAGTACTGTACTATTTCGACCAATCAGTGGTTCATGACCTGTGGATCTGTGAAGTTTGAACATAGGATTCCCTGCTCTTCTGCGGCGGTTAAATCAATTCTAATCAATTCGAGAGAGAGGGAGGGAGCCCATGCGTGTTGTTTTAATTTATGGAGAGAACCAACTGCCAGCTTTACTCAGCTTTACTCTGGCTTTACCCCGTTTCATCCCGATATAATGTAGTAATTTGATAACCACTGAATCTGCATGAACCAAATTCGAACAACTCGTTCCACTACTAGTGACTAGTTAAAAGTACAAGTGATCCCTCAGTAATGATTCCTCTCGATTCGCCATGGTCGCTGCGCTGTGAGATTCATTTTCTCTTTGATCTTGTTTTGACTTCTCCGGCCCTTCCAGTCAATGAACAACTGATTGAAAAATACAGATTAGACAGACCATCCTTCTTGTGCTTTATCTCCCATTGCCTGTTTTTGTCTTGAGCTTTGACGCTGACTTTGGAATATAGGGATCCATAGTTCGAGGGTTAAGTATGTAGACGATTCAAGTTTAAATCAGGTTTTTCGTGCGCGCGTAGATGTTTACTGTGACACAAAAAACATTGGGTTTCAGTCTATCACCCTAGCTCCATATGTGCACTCCGTGTTGGCCGTCTGGGTGGTGTTGCATGTCTGAGTAACGAAGTGCGAACTTCGTATGTACCGGTTCTATAAATGCTTTCTAATCACCGAAACAATCTGTTGGAAAAGTGAATTACAAATCCTTTGGATTCCTTGTAAGTAAGCTTAGTGAGCAGCGACGCGCTGACTCAAGTACTCAACCGAGAGATTAGTATCAAACGAGGCAATTTGTGGTAGATTCTGGTTGGCTATAAATGCAACGACAAATGCTGAGAGCAGTCAAACAATCAGCAACCGCAATGTCTCCTGCAGCACGAGTAGCAACAACAACCAACCTCTTTTCCCCAATCAAAGTCGGTAACATGCTACTCAATCATCGAGTGGTAATGGCACCTATGACCAGACTTCGTACGACCAAAACCTCTGCTGTATTGAAAGTCGTCAAGGAGTACTATTCCCAACGCGCTAGTACACCTGGAACGTTCTTGATATCAGAGGGAACGGTGATCTCACCACGAGCAACTGGGTTTCCTGGTGCTCCAGGCATTTGGTCTGACGAGCAAATTGCTGCGTGGAAAGAAGTACGTGGTGTATCTTCGTCTTGGATTGTTGTTGACTGTTTGTTTCCAGGTAGTGGATGCGGTACATGCTAAAGGGAGTTATATATATCTCCAGATTGCAGCAATGGGACGGGCTGCACAACCATCTGTTCTTCAGTCTTACGATCCGACGTACGACGTCGTTAGTGCTGGAGACATTCCTATGACGGAGGGCGAGGTCCCACGACCAATGACGGTAGAAGAGATCCAAGCATCTATAAGAGACTTCGTACAGGCTGCTACCAATGCTGTACATAAGGCAGGATTTGACGGAGTGGAATTGCATGGCGCAAACGGGTTCTTGATTGATCAATTTATCCAAGATGTATCGAACAACCGTACAGATAAGTATGGTGGGAGCATAGAGAATCGAGTAAGATTTGCTCTGGAGGTTGTTTACGCGGTAGCGAAAGCGGTCGGAGACGATAAGACTGCGATTCGTTTGAGTCCATGGAGTAAAGAACAAGGTAGGTCCCGATCGTCATTGGTGAATTTTCCGCTAATAATTATCCGATGATAGATATGGGTATGAAAGACCCCATCCCGACATTTACACACCTCATTTCGCAGCTGAAAGAAAAACAGCCTAATTTGGCGTACCTTCATCTCATCCAATCGCGAGACCTCGACGATCAGAAACAGTCCAATGAGATTTTCTTTGATTTGTGGTCTCCTCAGCCATTAGTCGTCGCTGACGGTATCACGAGAGAGAAAGCTTTGAAATTTGCGGAAAGAGAGGGTTTATTGGTTGCCTTTGGGAGGCAGTTCATTTCCAACGTGAGTAATTCGGAATAATTCGAGGAGCTAGGTAACTGAATTGTCTATGCGTTTTCGCGTTTGCAGCCAGATCTCCCCTTAAGGTTGAAAGCAGATATTCCATTGTCCGAGTATGACAGGACTAGCTTCTATGGAGGAGATGAGAGTGGAAAGGGTTACATTGATTATGCTTTTGCATCAAAATAGTGTTATGTAATGATGCTTCGCTTTCTTTCTAACTCAAATGGCTACTCTCGATTACATTTCCATACCTTCTTGTGCCTCTCGTCTTAAAATTCACTCTTCCTCAGAACTGTCTTCTGCCGATGAGAGCGATATCCGACCTGCTCCGAAACTTCGCACCAATTTACCTCGTCCAACTTCAGAGTCCTCTGAAGGTCCTACATCACCTTTAAAAGGTTTCGCCGGGAGCTCTGCGTTGAATTTACTTCCCAACCTGCTTCTCTCGTCGTCACTACCTTCTACTTCGGTCTCAGATCCTACCTTTCCAAGTGATTCCAAGTCGAATCCAGGTAGAAAACGGTTCAAGAAGCTTCACCAAGAACCCATTGTACTTTTATCGAATAAGGACCCGTTGTCGATTCAAATAACGTCTGTCAACTTCAAACGCTTCATTGAGCGTGTGGGACCAGTCTTTTGGCTTCAAGATCGTCTTGAGGAAATAGTTTTCTGGAGAAGAGGATCGAAAGTGACCGGAACGTGGTTGGCTGTCTATTGCTTCCTATGTCTGCGTCTTTTTCTTCTCTGAAATCACTTGATTGAACCGCTTTGCACAGGTTATATCCCAAGACTTGTATTCTTACTCCCGCACGTTATCTTAATTGCAATAATCCTCGCAAGTGTACATTATCCACCGTACAAACCTCCTCCACCGTCTGTGTCATTCTCTGACCATACTTCTGCTGCAACACCGACGGATGCTACCACAGACGCGAATTACGCGACTCCTTCCACGGCAGGGTCGTCGTTGCCCGCTCCTGTAGCAGAAGATAGTGTTGATTGGCAAGCGAACATCCAAGCTATCCAAAATCTAATGGGACTATAGTACGTCCTCCTTTCCTTCGAGTGACTCAAGTATCAACTTTCTACAAGTGCAGACATTCATATTGCTATAACACCCTACCTCAGTCACCTTTCGCTTTCACCAAACGATCCACAAATTTCCAAACCTAAATCACCGTATACTCTTCCGATTCTTACAGTCCTGATCCTGTCATTCCCGATATTGGTTTTTCTCGTTACTTCAACCATCTTCCCTGCTCGACTGGTGTGCTTCGTATGCGGTGCAGGTCCGGTGTTGTTTCTCAACCCTCAACTACGCCAATGGACCTCCGATACCATTAGTTTACTCACATACCTCCAATCATCTCTTCCAGACTCAAGGTACTCTCCTATCATCATCCTTCCCATCCCTCCAATAATGCGTCGACTTTCGTTCCGTCTTTTCGGGGTCTCTCCTCCATCACAAATAACCCTCGATTCATATTCCATCAACCTCCTTCGAAAACGCGTTAAAATGCGTTTTCAGAGGATTCTGGATGATAATAATCTTTCAAACGATGTGTGGATCAGTGAGATGCGGGAGGTCGAGTTATGGGAGAACGAACGGCTAGATCCTGGGATTACAGCAATCTCAGCGTCGTCTTTAATTAATGTATCTCCTAAAGCAGCGAAAACTGCGCTGCCGCCTCCTCCTCCGTATTCCAAGCGTCCCTCGACTGACGATTCGGGTGCTCCCAACGAACGAAAGGAGGTCCCGGCTAGGCCCGGGCCACCGCCGATACCCCAACAACACCAGCGATCTCGAAGCACGTTCTTCGGAACAGCGCCACCCTCAAACGGTGGATGGAGTAAGATACATCTAAAGTCGAATGATAGAGCACCGTGGACTAGGGGGAGAGATGGTTGGAGTGGAGTTGCTGGGTCTGGAGGTGATAGCGATGGGACTGTCAGGTCAATATTGCTTCTGCTCTTTTACTCTATCGTGCACACACACACGGCTGATCGTCCTAATGAACAGCAGCAATTTAACCTTCTCCCTTGCTCCAAACTGGGAATTTGTCCCTACGGAGGATTGGAGAGCGGATCTTGTAGGTGATTGGATAAGGGAAGGCTGGGTCAGCGATGAGGATGAGGGTGGGACGCAGACTACACGCTCGGTTTTGGGTGCAGATGAAAGTAGGTTGCGAAGCTTTGGGCATACAAGTCCAGTCCTTTTGTGTGGTGTGATATTTTTTTGACTTTTTTTTGGTGATACAGATGGCTGGATATACACGAACGATGTGTGGCTTGTCCCGGCCGACCATGCGTATTCAGGAGCGGTGACGCGGAGGAGGCGGTGGGTTAGAAGAATTTGGTATAACTCTGGTGGAGGGTCACAGTCTTGATTCTCGATGTCGATAGGATAGGCTTAGGGCTATGTTTATTGTACGTGATAGTCGATGATGGTCGGAACAACACTGTGAAATTGAGCACGTGTGTTTTGATCAGCTCTTCGCTCATTGGGATTCATTTTTACCTGTAGTGCAAACGTTTGGATGCTTGAGCGAGCGCTCAAAGCTCTACATCCTTCTCCGTCTCCAGGGTGTTTGACTCGTACAACGGATATTGTTAATGAGTAACGGGATGGAAAATGCCGAGATATTGAATAGCAGAAGTCAAAGAACAACAAAGTATACGGGAATTTCGACAGCTAGTTGATAAGAGGACAATAGAAGACAATGTCTTCGTATTGAAACCCATCAAAACTCATGGCAAACACGCAGTCACATCAGTGGGTCATCGGTATCATTAAAGTTATAAATAATTCTTCTTTGTCTTTAGTGATCAAAGCATTCGATACGAATTCCTTGCAGTACACCTGCAGTACACAAAAGACAAAACAAAACAATGCTACATCGATGGGTGCTTTGTCTTCGTATCTGGAAGTGACGTGAATATTTCAATCGGACAATGTCGATGTATACATAGTTGCAAAGTTTGATGCTCCGCGGCGTCACGGCACTATTGACTCGACGAGTAAGCCCCCTTGTTCAAGTCTTGAGAGCTTGAGATCTCATTGCCATGGAGAGGCTATTCTGTCTCTGAGAAGGTATACATAAACTCCAAGGTAAATCAAGAAGAATATCTCCAACATCGTACTTGCTTCCTTCATCCGACACCACACTACCATTTTATCAATGTCAAGTAACGTGATAGGCAGACCTTCCGCACGCCAAACTGAAGAGATGATAATGCGCCAAGCATTCAGATCTACGGTCTCGCGACTTTGGCCCCATATCCACGTCCTTCACCAAACAGAGTGTATGGCTTATGCAGTTAGTGGGATCACCAGCTTCGCCTTCGCCGTGGTCGCTGCAGATCTTGCTCCTCTCGGGTCTCCTCTCTCACGCGACATTTTAGATACTTTGCTTTCGATACGACCCCGAGAGCAAATGCTATTTTCTCTGAACCATACTATGGCACGATATGTAGGATTGTTTTTGGGACTTCGAGGCACGGATCTTGAACAATTTACATCTCCCTATAACTCACGCCACTTCTTGAATTTTCGGGAGGCAAGCTTGCCAACCCTTGTTGTAAAACTTGACACTGCATGTGCAAGTCACAATATGCGTCGTCCCTTTTGCAGACTACCCCCGGAGCTCATTTCAACGATCATCAATTTGTGTCTTGATCTCGACCCGTTGACCGTGCCATATAGCGCATTGGGTAGCCTCGACCAGAATTGGAAATTGCCAATATCCTCAAAGCCTCCCTGGTACCCGTTTTCGAAAGTTTGCAGAGTAGTGAGGAATGCAGTTCTGGGCGACTCGATGCTGTGGGGCAAGCATGTCATGGTGATTTACTCACAACGGTCTTTCCAAGGCATTCAGAGCATGGTTGAATTTGCTAACCGTCGGCTTCAAGCGGGGAAGCCAGTGGACTTGGAGTTTACGGTTCCTGATGACAAGATGAGGGAAAAGTTGACACTCAAAGCTCCGGAGTCCTTCGAAATTCCTCATACTAGGATGGCCACGATGTTCAACGGATTTTTGCATACCCGTTACTTGACGATCTCAGCACCCGAGGAATATTTTCGCGACTTATTCTCCTTGAAGGCTCCTCTATGGCCCTCATTGGAGAGGTTATCCATCGAAGTGCAGAATCCATCCGAGTGCAAATTGACTGTGGACGATTACAACACACCCGATATCACAACCTTCACAAATTCCCCCAAACTTCGAGAGGTGCGCCTCGTTTCAGAGGCTAAGCAAAACAGCACACCCTTTATCCCTCGAGTGTCTCTCCCATGTAGCCACTTGACGCGACTGATACTTCGTGATGGATCGGATAAGTTCTGGCCTGACCTAAGTATCAGGATTGTTTTCCGTAGCTGTGCGCCAACTCTGGAGTACTGCGAGATACGGTCGTACGGCTTTCTTGATGACTTTTATGACTCCGATTCTGAGTCAAATGATGAAAAGGAGCAGCTTGTCACATTTCCGCACCTGATCGACTTGTTCCTGGATTTTGGCACTGGCAAACACCACAGGACTTACAATACGATGTCGTGTGTCATGCTGTGGAATGTAGCATTTCCTGCACTCAAGAACTTCAGGCTATGGACGACTGTTCCTCCGATTATTTACCCCAACGTAGAAATGAATGTCGGAGCAGACAAATCCCTCGATGAAACGATGAAAATTCTCCAGCAACGCTCGAAGTTCAAACTACAGAAATTCCAACTCTTCTTTGCCGGCTGGCATGCGCCTGGTATTGCTTCCTTCCTTGAACTAGTTCCCAGTCTTGAAGTTCTGGATCTCCGTGGGACGTACTATGGTTGGACTGATACCGTCAGATCCATTTCTACCAGAGATGATTATCTCCCCAACCTTCGTTGTGTTCGCGTCAATGACCGGACGTCGTTTTCTCCAGGATGGGAAGAAATGGAGCCTAGCTACGGAGAGCACGCAACCTTGATTCGAGACATGATTTCAAGACGCTGTATACCTGTCGGAAAATTAGAAACCGTGGTGTTCAACATCCGCCGTCCATCGCCCAACAACTTCTCAGATGGAAATGGACCTATGCCACGTAACTTTAAGCGTGTGATACGTGAGATAGAAAAATCACGTACCTCAATGCCTTCCGAAGTTCGAATTCACCTCGAAAAGTTTCCTCTGGGACAATATACCGATTTTTCGTGGTCTATGCCGGGATTCCCTCCGTCTTGGTATGAACAACAAGAAGATGGGGAAAAGACAGGTCAAGATATAGCTGATTCGGATGAAGATTCGGAGATGGAACCGGCTGAGATTCCAGATCTTGAGTTCATCCCTATGGAAGTTGATGATAATTATTGAAAGTTGTATGCAATGATTTGCCATGTTGAAGGGACTAAAATATCTTGTTTGGAACGGACTGTGTCATTTTTGCCAGTGGTGTCTTGTATAAACTCACGCACCTACATAGTACTTCTCAATCTCAACTGATTGCTACGCTTTGACCCGTGTTACTCCCCCTCCGACCTCAAAGACTCGGACTGTGTTGCCATTTCACCGTGTGTGTGCGCCGAATAATCAGGGACGTTGGGGCTTGAAACCAAGAAAACCTGCGGGAGGTCGAAAATTTGTGTTTCTGTCGCTGGAAACATTCCGGAATAACGTAGAGTCGTTCAGTTGTCGCTTGTTGTAGGACGCGATGTTAAACAAGACGCAGTTGGAATTAGATACTGAAGGAACAAAAAGATTGCAGATGTACTACTACCATAATGGTTATTCAAGATGCTTTGACCTCCCCCTTGTGTACGTCTTGTCTGGCGCTCCACAATTGTGATTCTAGGACCTACGACCGTCACTGACGAAAGTCAAATAATTCTCTGAAGCGTGCTGGTAGATGTAGATAGCCTGTGCAGCGCAGTGCAGGAAATGCGTAAGGCGTGAGGCTTATTTGCTGATATGCAGCATTGCTTGGAGCGATGCGCGCTGTTGGCTATTATCACACTGCAGTAATTAATCAGAAATTGAATACAATAGCTGTCACTGTCACAGCTGAACTTGTCCACTTCACGTGCTTTGTGACGCTTCGTTTCATCGTTTTAGGCAAATTCCCATTGTCCTCTGAGGATTGGCCTTTTAATTTCGCCTCATGTTTGGCCACCATAAAAGAAGAGGGCTGTTGTCGGAACCTCCACTTCAAATAACTTTATAGCCCACGCATACGCCCCAACATTTCTTACACATTCTGCTCCAATCGATGTCATCCTCTGAAAGCCGTGTTACATTTGGGAACGTACCTGGGGGACCCTCAAGGCGTTTCGGTCCTCTACACCGAAGTACGAGACCTGCTCGTTCTATTATGCGAAGATCGAAAGCGCATGTCCATCATCTGGCATTGGGTTTGTCAACTTAGTTTCCATATGAAATTTGAATCTCATCTACAGTACAAATTTTCTAGGTCGAGTAGATCAGGTTCGTTCAGGTTTCTCTTTGGCTGGGGGCCCGCAGGATATCTCGAGTGATTTCTTTCCCAATTCTTGCGGTGGATTATATACTGAACGTTGAATCTTGGGTTACAGATACGCGCCAGCATCCCACCCGCCCTTCGAGCACAAGGAAAGCGAATAGTCTTGCGCCTCACATACATTACGTCGGATCGCGGAGACAGGGTGAGCAATTTCTGATTGTTTCTGTTGCGGATGAATCTCTCAAATCCTTGTACTATGTATGTCACTCAGGTGTATTTGCCTTCTCACCCTCAATCACTCCTTCATCCCGATCCTCCTCACATCACAAACGTCATTCTTCTACTAGCAGTGATTCCAGCAGGAGTCATTCTCGCCATCATCGCAGCGTGTCCCAGCCTGGACGATCCGCCACATCGACATCCCATAGCCACGGTCACAAACGGGCATATTCTGATTTCACGCCCTCCAGGAATGCTTTAGAAACAGGATCTCATGCACATAGTCACCGTTCTAAGTTGATCTCTAATTCCCACAAACGTGATCATCGGAGGAGGTCAAGTGGTGATCCTTTCGTTTTAGTCCCCACGCATTCGCATGGAATACAAATTTCCCCGCCACAACATTCGGGTTCAGTTCAGACCAACGAATCTTTTTCTCGAGTTTTTGTGTTTCCGCTTCATCACTCTGGTTCTCCATTCAATTTACAGAGTTTGGGATATACACTTCCGTCCACTCCCTACGCTGTCCATAGCCCTTTTCATCCTACTCCTCACAATAGTTACGCCGATTCTACGTATCTTCCGAGCATGGCTGAATCGGATCATTGGACTCATTCAACACCATCCGTTATGCCCCCGCAGTCGGAACGTGTTCATCTTCATTCAGAATTAATATATGGTACTGGGCATATGCTGCAATGGAATATGATACTGCCTCCTCAGACCACTATCAGCGGTTTCAGCAATCCCTCGTCCAACATAGCAATCTATTCTGGTGTCTCTGCATTGGATTCCGCCACGCAAGACTTGCTTCATTCTCCCGCTTGTCCCGGTGCAGCCAAGATTATCATTCGTCATGGGAAGAATAACCAAGCGCTTGGTCTGTGGATGGAAAAATGGGGACCTCTCGAAGTCTATCCATCGTCTTTGACTTTCGAAAACGAGATAACCGTGTTCGAAGTCCTCCATGCAGTGTACTCGTATTTTCAAGTCCGCCTAACCAGTCAAGCCACTGCAGAAATGCCTATGGAGTCTCAACAGCGTATAACGCTTGCCCGGGCCAAGCGAGTCACCTTTGAGGATCAGATGGCTGATAAGGCTGAGTGGAATCGGCCACCAAAGAGGGTCGATGTTCTGGCTTTATGGTGTGTGTTTGGTGGGTTCGATGTACATTATAACAACGGCGACGGATATACGAAGCTGGACGAGCCTGGGTGGAGGGTTGTTGAACTGGAAATGAGATTACGAAGCGTGTAGACGACGGTTTCGCCCAATTTTTTTTTCTCTTCTCCTTATTTTACCATGCACCAGACATACCTCACTTAACGACGTTGATGACCTTTTACGATTCTTCTCACTGCTTCCTTTAATTCTAACATATTGTTCAAGTTGTATCACCGCTTCATTCATCTCTACTAGCATAATGTATCGCTCGCATTCTCCATATTTATTACGGGCTTTCGACAGCTTTCGACGTCTGTATCTTCACTGTATTTCTTACGTAGTATTTCTTCTGTGTATACTGATATTATGTACAGCAATTTTGCCAACTAATGCTATCACTCCTGGAAGAAATCGCAGGTCTTAACTTCGAATTTTAAGCTGAGGTTTTTAATTCGGAAACTTTACAGTGGACTTGGAGGGGTAAAGTGATTTGACTAATGCAATTTATGGTATTATTCTTTCTTAGCTTGGAAACCAAGCCCACTAGGAGATGAAACCTATTGATGTTCGCCCTCATAAAGGGACGGTTTCCGGTCTAATTCTCTCTATGCAAAGATGCTATAACTACAGGGAAAAGCCTTCACGATACGGAGTTTCACACAAATGCGTCTGGACGGCACAAGTGCGTCATGCATTCTAATAGAAGCTTGGCTATACCTTGCGCAACCAGCGGCCGGAGAGAGGCGATGATGTACGTCTGCCCGAAGGTACCAACACTCCAAAAAAAAAAGTTATAAGTAGACCATACACTCTGAGATACGTATGTATACTAAGTACTGAACGTTAGCAATACTGCCTGTGTGGCAGGTATATCGAGCCCCTCCCCAACGTCACTAGTTGTCACCGAAAGTGTTCCGCTCACTTGGGCATTGGGCGTTTCGTATGTTTGCCCACCCCAGGTTAGTCCATCGGTATCGTCAGCATGTCTGAGGAGATGGTTGTTAAGAAGAGAATTGAGAAGAACAAAAGAAAATTCTTTACCCAATCTCTAAACGCTTCACTGACATATGTGACGGAGACTGCCCCGTACTGGCGAAGTTGATATCGAGGTGAACACTCGTTCGATTGGCACCCGAGTTGGAGAAGAAGCCTTCCGAGTTAACGAACACCGCTTTGGAAAGCCGTCCTTCGTTGGTGTAGAAAGCATACCCAGATACAACGTCACTGTTTATAGAAAGCTCCGAGATACGTCCAGTTTTTCCGATAGCTTCTGCAGTAACAATGGCACCATAGTAGGCTGGCTGGATATGAGGCAGGAGCGGTTCAGCAAGAGGAGCCCCATCCACTATGGAGAGATTCAGCGTTACGGGTTGAATCTACGTGCACCAATGTTATGTTAGGTTAGGCTTGTGAACCAAGTTATTTGAGGCTCACGAAATTGTACTTGTATCCTACTCCTTCGTGGAAGTAAAGCCTTTCAATACCCAATGAAGAACTATATAATAAGTTGAGTTTGACCGAAGTAAAGCTATGTCAAAGACAACTGACGCAAACAAGGCATAATCTAAAGCCCATAGCGCGGCTCCTGAAAAGACGTTGCCAACGACATTAGTTCCCTGCGTATTAACTGATAGAATATATGCTCAACGAACCGGCAGCATTTGAAACATTAGCAGACCCCTCCAAGCCGGACAGTAGTCAAAAAGGATGCGGTAAGAGAGAAAAAAGGATTTCACTTACATGGTCGAAATAACTATTTGTTTCCCCTAAGATATAGGTCAAGCCTTGAGCCTGGGTGGCAGCAACATCGGGGATGAATTGAGAAAGGTTTCCGCGGACAAATGCCTTTGACATAAGATCTTGAATGCATGTACTTATACTGCCACAGCCCAAACCACTGCCGCTGTATACATGTTGGGAGATTCTGAAGCCACGATCATTCTTTAGAGGTACGTTTACAACCATCTTCATATAACGTACGTATTAATCAGATTTCCTGGGGTTGACGACAGTATTCCATTTGCGAAAAGCCCTTGTGGCGAGAATCCAGTCGATGAATGATCGGAGCCAGCAAAAGCACCTCCCCAGAACTTCGTAGTGGTATTCGGACCGATAGGAACAGTCAACGAAACATTAGATGCAAAAGAGGTCCATCTGCAGACAAGAAACATGGAAATTGAGTTGTAAATATATCCATAAGACATTCACTTGGACTCACTTACTGTGTGACATATTGGGCAATGGTAAAGTTTGCAGGTCTCCCCCCGTTATTCGTGTAAAGGTCGGCTTCGTTGCCTATTGGAGTAACAATAAATTCAAGAGAATTTGTTGAAGCCACGATTTTTACCTATTTCAATAGCATCCAAACTGAGGCCGCTCGAAGCAGGAAAAGAATTGAAAGCGTCCGCTATTGCTCCGGCTTCCAAAAACGCAGCTGTGAGATTTAACGCCTTGAAGTTGACACCCCATGTGATATGTGTACCTAAATGAACATCAAAATTCCTCATCCGGGAGGATTCGGAGATGAGACACACCAGGCAGAAGGTTTTGTGCTGCTTTATAGAAAGCTTCCCCTACCACAACTGATTCGGCTTCGGGGTAAGGGGTAGCGGCACTGGGAGGTGCAAAGACGGTTTCAGTCAACTGATGCAAGGCAAAATGGGCATTTTTCTAGTGAGGAAAGGAGGAATGGCAACAAAAACATGGGTACCTTGAGACCAGGCTGAAAATTAGTACGGTCCTCCGAATCTGCACCGATCCTTAATCTTGGAGGTTCTCCAGAAAGACTTGCTAGGTTGTTAAGGGCATTGGAAACGAACTCGTTTTTGGTAGTGCCTCCGGGCCAATCAGTCCAACGGTCTTGTTCAATCGAAAAAGAGATGTGCGAAGGAGATATAGAAGAGGAATTGGTCGGGGCTGTTAATGGTATGAACACGTTAATTGCGCATGCCTGAAAGGCAACAGAAACAATGTAAGAAAGGATGATGGGACTCAGCATGGCGTTGGTTTGTACGACTGGCATAACAAAATGGGCAACCTTTATAGGACAGGGAAACATTATCAGGAGACCCCATCCATTTTTCATTCATATGCACAATCGATCATGCGAGGTGGACAAACAGTTTCTGATGTTCTCGCGGAGTTAGATCTGGTGACGAGCGGTTCTCAGTATAGCACAGTGTAGCACTCTGTGTTGATGTACCGGAGAATGGTAAGAAGTATACGCACTAGATTTACAAGGTTTAGATCTCAATTTTAGAATGAGAATGAAGGCATATGGGTTCGGAATTTCAAGTTTGTTCAAGCACACCACTGAAGATGCGTGTCATTGAAGGTACATTCTGAAAAGGGTGAAGTAGTTCAGGATTGCTCCATCAAGCTCAAGTGTGTGTAATATGGTCGAGGTTGCTGCCAATCTCGAACAATATCAGGCATGTCACCAAGTCAAACGAGCTGTGACACATTCACATGTCATAGTGACCCTCAGGCGCTTACAGCACAGTCTTGGAGAGGTTACCTGACGCGTATTTTGATATTCCCCAGCTCTTCAACGCTATGTTGCTTACTTCGAGTTCAAGGAGGAAGGTCCTTCTCTCCCATTCAGACCCGGTATTTTGATCGGCACAGTTGCACACGAAGTGCGCGGCGGGGACGGTACAAGGTGCAGAATTGTGGAATTGCATGAGGATGCATACTTTCGAGCATTAAGCATAACTAACTAGCCACTACAGAAGGCCAGACGAGCGCCCTGAAGCACCTCATTTGGCAACATTTAGGCTTCTTGGTTTTCCGCGTTTCCGACCTGGTAATTTGCCCGATGGCAGCCCTCAGAAACGCACGCTTGGCTTCCGATTCCAGAGAATTCATAAGATAGAGTAGCCCAGGACTAGTTCTAGAAGCCTAGAAGTCAATTTTTTTCACTATAGCCATGTGGTGCACCACTTACGTCGTGTCTTGATCACAGTCATCAACCAATTCTTGCTCGTCCCAACGAATTCATCCAGTTTGGGGAAGGATCAAGGCCACATGACGGGTGCAAAGTGGCGAGCTGAGATCGAGTGTTAGAAGATTTGAGGCTGATAGATCGACAACGCGTTGGAACGCACTTTGTTGTCTTTGTAGGCTACCTGCATTAGAGAACCCCAAAATGTATGGTGTAATTGCACTTCTCTACTGAGTCCGACTAAGTACAAAACGTCAAGATCTGAAATAGCAAGTCCTATCAAAGAATACTCACCGTCCATTTCTTCGGCAACTCGTTTGGTGACAGACATAGCAGCAACTCTGTGAGGTTGGGTGTACACTATCATTTCCCCCTTTGTATGAGCCAGATCGGAATAGGCGACAAATCGAGGGATCCTGAAAATCAGGACAAGAACTTTCTCGCTCTGTTTCTCAATATTTTGTGTAACCTTGTCACACCACACCAGCCCGCAGACTCAGCATCATTGACGCGAAGAATGTGTCAACCATCCAGTAATAACGGTGACAAATGAACTCTGCGAAGCAATACGCCGGTCAACATGCTCTTCTTTCTCCTTCTCTTGTTCACTGCTGACATAGTAATAACTCTCTGTTTGGTATATGCAGGTACGTAGTATACATGAGAAATATTCTCAAGCAGGGCACAATAGTCAGTTGAATGCTGGTTTGAACAAAAATGAGAGCTCACGATACATTCCACCTCCATCACCCTTTATGCTTCGAGTCCTCCTTTAACCATGCGTAATAAATCATCTACGAGCCCCACCGGCCGATATCCTAAGTTGACGATCCTCGAGCGAGCTTGCTGAAAGGGAGTTTCGAGTGAGGGCGACAAAGAGGACGATTCCAACGGGTTCTAGAGCACTCTCAGAGATATAAGTAACGTAGATCTGTCACAGCAGGTGTTGTGAGTTGTTTCTGGTTTGTCGAGGTAGGTGCAGCGAATGATGCTAAAAAAGAGAGTTGATGGCGCTCGATAACATGTTCGGGCTGGGTTAGGGTTACAAGCAATCCGCTCCGGCCTCCGCTAACTCTCTTCACCTGTCTTCGCATCGACTTTCTCTAATTCGCGTGACTCGAGGCATATAGAAGTTGAATTGAGCTGGGACTATATATGAGAAGAAATTCAAGGACTCTCGATCATTTCGGGAACAACAACACGTCGAACAAGATTTTCCTCCTCTTCAACAAGTTACAAAATCGTTCATCTTACGTCTTTCTTTTCTCACTCGCTGAGATCTTCAAACGTTTAACGGAAGTATTCAACAACAATCCCTATGTCATCTTAGCTTCTCCTAGTCCCTGGACAGACTGGGCTTGAATGATCTCGTGCTCAAGAACGCACAGAAGAACAAGAAAAGAGACTCACACAGAGAGAAACATCACTACATTATTTATTGCTTCGCTCAAAGTCACATAGACCGCCGCAAAAGCTAAACATTCATTTCTCGGTTTGTTCCTTCTGAATGTTCGTCAGTCGCTGGGTTGCGGGAGACAGTTACGGAAGGCCGAAATTAGCATTCACTGAGCGAGAGGAAAATCGGTAAGTCGAAGTTTCTCCGAATGTACCTACTTATGATGTACCGCAAACTGAACACCTCTGAACACACGACATGTTACCACTGTCGAAGCATTCCCGAGTAGGCTTGCGCTGGCGCCGTCAATCTCGAAGGCTGGCGAGAAACGGTACGTCTTATATCATCATTTACTCATTCATCAACAATGATACTGATTCTTCTACTCAAAGGAACCCGGATGCTCGAATTCTTTGCTAAGTGAGAACTGTGCACATAGCGTTGGATTGGTTGTCTTCATCCCTTACCTCCCTTCCTCAAAGAGCAACACTTTCATTATGACTCCTCTTTCTCGCTACTAATGACTCCCCAATGCGTCAAACCTTCGCTGATCAAGTGCTCAACCTACAAGGAAAGCTCGAACTAGCTGCTTTTGAAACAGGATGCTCCTATCATGCTGTTTGTGATATTTGTGTTCATCGTTGGACAGGTTTCCGGAGACAGATATCATCGTGTAGGATAGGAGTCCATGGACGTTTGGAGGAAGGATGGTTTTTGTGGGAATGGTGATCGATGGGGCCAAGGGTGGATGTTATAGCATCTGCCCATTCATGATGTGCGCACCGCATTTTCTGTGATGTACCAAGCAAGGTGTGGTCCACAACAGTGGAGCCTAGTGCTTACTACACTGCTTCTTGAGTGCTTAATTTATGTGCGTCGAAGAACCCTATCATTCCATACAAAATATCTGATCACTTATCATGATAAAAACTGTCTATTGTACTCCCAAATACCATTCATTTTCTTGTGGGTCTGTTCTGTGTGTGAATCATGTGCAACTCTTCCCAATTTTCCGAGTTCGCAGTAGCAAGTGTACCGTGGATTTGAAAGTTAGGATCATGATACTGTTCCTTCGAGGGTAAGTCCACCACAGCAAGACAAAACGAATGGCAACGCCCATCTACATCATCATCGTCCACAATAAACTGAGGGTGCTTATCGGTTGGGAACCAATGGTTTTCCCAAGTAACATGCGCACGGTCCAAATGAGCGTGAGGACGATATCGCATTTGGTTCAGAAAACGGATGACTACGCTCCGCGCAGATAGGTTGTTTATACCAAATTTCGAAGAGTTCTGGGGGTCATTTGGGTGGCCAGGTGGGAAAAATGAGATTCGAAGGGTGGATGAGTGAGGTTGCAGAGCTTGTGTTTGGTTTTGAGACTGTAGTGAGCGCGATCGCAATGGCTCAATGTTCTGAGGAAATCAATATTGTTTTACTACTACTCACCAGAACAGGCATCGCACATACAACGTAGAAAAGGCTCACACCCAGAGTCAAAAAATAGGGGGCGAGAGTGAGACGCATTAGTGAATTTTAGGAAAGAACTCTCAGTCGACTTTGGATAATAGCTTTCTTTGGCCAGCAAGAGAAAAGTTCAAAGGCAAACAGATGTTCGCCGCCCTTATATGAATATGTACATCACTAGGCACTCGCTAGGCTTATGTTAGCTCGAAGGGCTTGAGAGCATTTGAGACAGTTTTGCTACATATCCCCGGCCAGGCTGTCACAGTCTATAGTGGATGACTTCCCGTAGGAATTATTTGCAGGACACCAGACAATTAATTTGTGCCACCAATATAAGCGAACCTAAGTGAAGATGGCCGGAGAGCGGCTTCTCAAAAACTGCATCAAGACCAACTTACAAGTTACAACGGCCTCCCTACCCTGTTGTAAACTGGTTTTTGGTGTAAGCGAGGGTCCCATCAACAGTCCGTACGTCGCATCAAATACCGTTAATAGTTAACTGCAGAATAATTGCAGTGGAAGTCACCCAGTAGTGTTGCCCAGGTGTTGTCTGAAGGTGAGCTAAGGTGAGGTCAAGGATGGACCAACTTGAACGCCCATGCAAAATTACCTTTTTACACATATGTAGATGAAAGGGCTGCATCCGGATCCCTTCTGCCCTATAAGGCATTAATGCGACCCCGCTCCGCCGTCGGAACGGACAGAGACAACTTTAAAAGGAAATTTTGCATGGTTCAAATGACCATTGCAAGTGAGGTGACTCCGACTCCAGCCCTGAGCACACAACAGCCTCCCTCACCATATTGCATTGTGCCTAAGCTTTTACATGCTTACATGCTTGTGACCGATGAAGAAACATCATCAAGCAATCCAGAAGCAATGCAAGGTATATGCATATTTGCTATGTAGTTCACGCAATGTCCGAACATTCCTGAAGATTCGCTTACCTTGGCGAAGGGGTTCATCCTGGTTCATCAGGTTTCTTCGTGTTTCCAGAGATAATTCAGCGCCAACGATTGTCAACTGTTCATCGCAATACATATCTTTAGAATCTTCGAGGATCCGTCGGAGACAGTATGTCCGCAAGACTGGGCAGTATAATAGCAGTGCAAACACATTGGGCGAAATTGTATCATGCATAGCCTCTATGACTACGTCGTTGCCATAGGTTGCCATCCGGGAAAATCGAGCCATTATCCAGATAACATGATTTGACCACCTTCGCGAAGCTCACACGACCCTTAGTATACGACCCAAGATTCTAGGCACTCGTCACAAGCCTCGATATACGATCCGTTCCCCATTCTGTAAGTTATCCGAGGAGGGAAGCTTTGAGGCCGTGAGTGAGTGAGGGCTGGTGGAGGCATAAGTGAACGGAAGTGAGAGAAGGAGGAGAGGATGGAGGAAGGGATACGGGCGATAGAGGATAGAAAAATTGAGAAGGGAGATGGAAGAGGACCAAGAAGAGATGGGAAAGGGGTATAAGAAAAGAGAGGAGACGGAAGAGTAGAGAATGTTTTGAGTTGTCGTTGAATCAAAAAGTCGGACGTACGTACCTTATCGAGAAACGTCATCCGATACCATTTTCAATACATTTTCGCCGGAAGGTGGTAGTTCTTTCGACTCTCGTCTAATGTTGTCCCGGCGTTCCGAAGTCTTAGTGTCTGGAGAGATGGAAGCGCGTGCTCGAACGAAGATATCCATGTTGTTAAATGATCCAAGACCGCAATATACTCGCGGAATCCTACTACCGTCGTTCAGTCCAGTGGGGGTGTAAGTGGTATGAAAAGGGAGTGGGCGATGTCATGGAGGAAGAGCGGTGGAGGACATCGTGAGAGTCGTAGTGGAAGAGGCGTCGTAGTTGGATATGTATGTTTGATTGTATTTTAGAAAACGATATACATAGACGTTATACCTAGTCTTGATGTGATTCTTCAGGCAGGAAAGCCATGGTCCTACGGTTCTAACCCCACCTAATCCATCTCGAATCACCGCGTGACAGATAGAATGGCACGTATGCTCATTTAACCCAATCAAATGACTTGGTGTGCATTTGTTATAGTATATGTAGAAAGGAACGCCGAGGAATGTCCTTCGACAAAGACTTTGCGTATTAATTATGAGTAAGGATACAGCGATAATTGTCGGCCAGGTTGCGTGGGTGGGCGATGTGGTGGAGGGATCAAAATGGTGGAAGTATGGAGAACAATGGTCCAAGGATACAGCGATAATCGTCGGTCGGTTGAATTGATGAGCGGTGTGGTGTGAGGGATCGGTGGATGCATAAATAACGATGGTGGGTACAGCCGAGGTACAGCGATAATCATCGGCCATGTTGAATCGGTGAGCGGAGTGGTGAGGGATCCGAATATGGATACAATGCATTGAAACATCGAAAAGCCTATCCAATAAAGGAAGTCTCGATACACGACTCGGAGTACGTCCCGAATCTTGGAGGATTTTGTACGCATTGAGCTAGTCAACGGAATGTGCATGAATGATTAGATCCTGGAATCGCGAGCGAATGGCGTATTTGGAATTTCGATAGGGATTTACTGGTTGTCTGTCGAGGATAGGGTGCGAACGCCAGAAAGCGTCGAATCTTCGTTCGTTCGTAAGGGAACGTATGTACACCAGGAAACGGTAGAAGATACCGCCATGCCTATGTACAAACAGTCAGCGGGTTCTGATGAGTGTATCGCTTGGAGCAATGTACCGATAGAGGACAAAAAAGTTGGGAAGGTAGACGGAATAGGAACAGGAAGAGATGGGGAAGGGGTATAGGAAATGAGGGTGGAGGGAAGGGTAGAGAACGTTTTAGCTGTGGTTTGAATCGAAAAGTCGGACGTACGTACCTTCTCTGTCGTATCCTTAAAACCTATGGTGGAACCAACTTTTTCACCGAGTCCAACTACAAAACGTCAAAATCTGAAATAGCAAGTCCTATAAAAGAATACTCACCGTGCATTTCTTCGGCAACTCGTTTGGCGACAGACATAGCAGCAACTCTTTGAGGTTGGGTGTACGCCTCTTTGTATGAACTAGATCGGATTGGGCGATAAATCGAGGGAAGGGATAAGGACTACCACGTCCCACAAAATAAGTCGGTCACTCGCTGGGTGGTCTTTCCAGAGCCAATTCATCGATTTGAGTAAAGACGAGCAATCTTTTACGCGCAAGTTTCCCGTAAATAGTTGAGTGAGGCCTTGGAGATAGGGCCTAAGATGTTGCAAAAGGTTGTAAACCAACTTACCAGGGCAGATCTCAAATGCGGACCGGACTTCAAAAAGTGGCGATGATGAATTCATGTATGGCCTTCCATTCTGATTGAGGGTAGAGACTTTAATGAAGCGTTGCGGGAACAAATATAGAATTTAGAAAGCTCCCGCGAATGCCTTATCATCATCAGCTCTACTGTGCTACATAGAGCAACTCGCTGGTCTGCTTTTCGCGTTGTGTTGTACCACGTCGAACGAGAATGGCAGAAAACGCGCTATACAATAGCGATTCCGGAGCTTGCTAACTTAAAAGCTCTCTTGTCCATTCTAATGGCGAACTATCTCGACGAACTTTGATCATTCGTTGACAAACATGAGTATAAATTTGTATATTTGCAATGTGCATATGTTGACTGCATGGCGATGTACTAGTGGTTTCATATGATACAGGATAGGGCACAAATCGAATACATGAAAGAGGGTTGTAATGGAAAGGATACCTGGAAAGACATTAAACGACATTGATTGATGCAGACACTCAACACCACTCACAAACGTGGATCACGCTCCGAAACCATAAAGCGTACGTCCCGAACGCTTCAAGGCATACACAACGTCGAGTGCGGTGACTGTTTTTCTGTGGAAGATAAGATGAGTGGCCTCACATGAATCGAAAAGAAATATGCACCTCTTCGCGTGCTCGGTGTATGTAACAGAGTCACGGATAACATTCTCGAGGAAGATCTTCAATACACCTCGCGTCTCTTCATAGATCAGACCGGAAATTCGTTTAACACCACCACGACGGGCGAGACGACGAATCGCAGGTTTGGTGATACCTAAGCAAATTTAAACAAAGGCGAATGGCTCCAAAATATAGATGACACGCACCCTGGATATTGTCACGAAGAATCTTACGGTGACGCTTGGCACCACCTTTTCCGAGACCCTACAACACCAATTGGCGGTTAGAATAATGGCGAGATAGAAGAAACAACTTCTGAATACCTTTCCACCTTTTCCACGGCCGGACATTGTTTAGTTGAGGGATTTAAAGTTTAGTGAGTGGTTGAAAGATTTTGTCGATGGACGTTGAGGTTAAAGAAACTTTGTTGAATCGCGTTTCTCTTATACAGCGCGTCCATCACGTGAATTTGGATTTGCGGCCCGACGAAGCCAGCACTAAACAAAACTCGCTTCGCAGTCCTGATATTTAGAGCACTGAGTTAAGTACCACGAATATACAACCTTTTCGATTGACTTATGACGAATACTACAGAATGACTGGGGTTCTTTTTGCAAATTACGATTTCAACTCGTCGTCTTCCTTATCTTCTCCCTCCAGGTCACGTCCACACCAAGAAAAACGGCCATTGAACTCTCCAGGACCGTCTACCAATGATACGCCCTCTAAGGGCACCTCAAGCTTGAAATCTATATTTGGTAGTCCCTCTACCAATGAACTTAATTCCCCATCGCCTTCGCGTTCTGAACCCATATTTGCAACGCCATCGAAAGCTTGGGTTCCTCCTTTTCCAGGTAGTCCGAGTTTTAGCCGGCCTCAACGCCCTTTGGACAAATCGAACTTAGGGTATCTAGCTTTCCCGACTGCTGTGTCACCGCTTGCAGCCACTAGTAATCTTACTTCCGAAGCCTCGGACAGAAGTCATATTCTACAGTCGTCTCATTCATCTCCTTCCGCGGAGGAGACAAATGCGCCCCCTCCGCCTCCTGTTGATCCCCTTGAGGAAAAACATCGCGCACGTCTGGAGCGTGAAGAGGTTGAAAGAGTCCGAGGAGAAGAGGACTGGGTTCGTAGCGGTGGAATCCTTCGCGACAGTGAAGGAAAGCGTGACTTCGCACGGACAGAAAAAGTCCGAGAAGAAATTCGCTTGAGGGAATGGGAGAAAGAAGTTCAGGAAAGATGGGATGGGTACGAGAGACGGTGGGCGGAGCTTCAGGCGAAGGAGCGGAAAGGGGATTCGAAGTATTCATTTCAAGATATACCTTGGCCCGTCCATGTTGGTGAGAGAGATTCTAAGACAAAGAGTAGAAGATCTGGGACGTGGGGCACCCTCACTTTGACGGCCAAAGTGGAGCTCCCGGATCTTAACAGAGAAAACGTGGAAAAGTTCTTGACGGATGGGCTAAAGGTCCGGGGTTGCAAGGTGACCAGGAAAGAGAGAGTTAGGGCATCGTTACTCAGGTGGCATCCAGATAAAATGACCGCGTTGGTTTCGAAGGTGATTGACGATGACCGAAAAGACGTAGAAAGTGGAATAAGTGCTGTAGTGAGATGTTTACAGGATATGAATTCTAAACCCTAAGTACATGTCTACTATAGCAGTGTGTACTTCATTACTGTGTTGAATCATCCTGAAAGCCAACTGATCTTTCGTTGTTCCTAAAAGAAAAAAAGTGACAGATAAAGCAACGTTGTTTAATTTGCATAGTCCAATTTACTATAAACAAGGTTGTGAAAGAGCGTAAGTATATTCAGAGTCCTTCGTTTTTTAACTCAAACAATCTATTAACAGTCCGGGATCTCGATATTCTTTAGTGTTCGGCTACCCGATGCGAGAAAGATTAGTTGAGAAGAAGAGAAAATAATTGGTAGAAACCGTACTTTGAGTAGAACAAGCCCCAATAACCCTGTGTGCAAAGTTAAGTTTTAGCAAGTGGATATTGCAAGTGGATATCATACATACCTCCACACCACCGAATTGTTGAGTCTTCCACGGTTCATCGAAGTACTACCAGATTTTTGAGTTTTTCGATTTGTGAAGTGAGAAGAATAGTAAAGGTTCGACGTAAGTTGACGCATGAGACGGTGTTTGGGTACGCAGTGAAATAAACAATCACCTCGAAGAAAAAGTATTCTGTTCCGTTGGCATTTGCTTGACAGACGAATGTGTCAATGAATGTCTGCGGGCATAGTCAGTTCATGTATTTCCGTTAATGTGACGAGGGTTTACTTGAAGATTGGCCTCTGATGCTGTGGACGCTCCATTTGACTCGTTACCCGCATCACTTGAGTTCTGGAAAAAATATCTAGTCAAAGACAATTACAAGGGTACACTCCATGGAACTAACCGTAGGCCAACCTGAAAGTTACAAATGAACAAAGTCTCTGTATATTGAGAAGGACAAGACCTCACCTGTTTCGGCGATGGACATGTCTGGTTTATTAGACAAATTTTGGGCTAACGCCACATCGGTATCTTCAAAGAAATCCCATGTCCACCCGGCAGCGGCATCGATACTAACGTTCGCGAACCAAGGGTGAACGTTGGCCATCTACAGAGATATTTAGAGTTCTTCGAACAAAATGCTACTCAAGTCATTGACTTACACCATAGTCCACGTCGGCGAGAACCTTGTCATTGAAGAAGGACCCAGCATCAGCGTTTCCGACTTTCAGTGTGACACCTAGACTCTGCAGCATAGATTTTGTGTCGTCGATGAGGGGAGTCAATATAGCAGCTCCTTGGTTTCCGACGGAACCATTCGGATCTGTAGCTCCATTTGCGTCAAGGTAACTAGTGTAGATCATTAGTAGCGATCACATTCCTTTGTGTATGATAAACGCACTCGAGGATGAACTCATTTCCAACTGTCACACCACCGATATGGTCAGTTCCATAAGCTTGGATAGCAGATTCAATTGCCGTCTTTTGTCTGTTGTAAGCTACACCATTGTCGGTGGCATCAGGGTAGTTGGCAATGAACACTGTCATGTTCACTTGAGTGAGTTGGATAGCTTCGAGCTAGCTGTCTGTCAAAGCTTGAAAAGGCCACAAACAACTCGAATAACTCACAACCATCGCTGTGGTGTTGCAGTCACTACCATACAAGCGAATACGCTACCAGGAACCATGAGTATAACAATTCCAGCAAGAACAGGCATAGCGTACTGATGTCAGCTGAGAAAGTAGTTGCATATCTGTGACGACGTCCGCTACAGATATAACAATGATAAATCATTATTCTCGTATAGTAAATGACAGGGAACGTACCAAGTTGGATATTGCAGTTAGGATAAATGGAGTCTTCTGGAGTGTACGCTATACCATAGAAAGACTGTTTGAGACGAGAATCCTTCGAGAATTGACTAGGATCCCCGGTGATAGCAAGATTGGATCCAGATGATGATGAGCTCTTCGACGTTTGAGAAATTACTACTCCTGCAACGGCACCAGCGACACCGAGAAGGCCAACGACAACCAGCCCCCAGACGATCTATAATAAGACGTTGAGATATTCAAGTTCACAGGGAAATTAGAATCCACACGGACCCATTTCTTTCTGCTGCTTCGCGTGGACGCCTTTTCCTCGACGAAGGGGGTCTCAGGGAATTCTCCGCGTCTGTCACCGTAATAAGGCCTGGTCCGGATAGGTGCGGGGACGTCGGTATAGGTTTCTGCGAGATGTGTGGTGGAGTTTGTCGAAAAGCTTGACAAACGGTGTGGGGGCTGAATAAAAATTAGGGAAATGGATATTGCTCATACTAATGTTGCGTACGTACCGGAAGCTGATCATAGTAGTCGTTCAACTCGCTGTTGGCAATTGAAGGAGACGAGCCTCGGGGCTGCGAATACATCCTGGTAAAGCAGTTATTAAAACGAATGAAGCCTTCTAGGCGGACAAGTTTGTTGTTGCCACTGGCAGTAAGAGGTAACGAAGGGCGATGATGAGAACAGGAACGATTGTTTTGTTATTGATCAAATTTATGTACTGTTACAGCAACATATGCCGTCGCGGCGTCGCTTTTCCAAAATCTATATTCTCATAAAACGTATTTCCAGACTTTCACTGTATTATAGTCAGATATTATTCTCCAGTGAATCATGCCAGATCATGCCCAGGTATATATAATTAAATAAACGGTAGTGTAACGAGTATGATAAAATATGGTCGATGCTAAAGGTATTCATATGTTCCCGAAACGGTCAGAACGAGACATAGTGTTACAATTTGTACAAGTCGTGATGGCATTAAAGGGCTCAGGCGCATTGGCAGACACCTTTGACCATCTCTCTTTCAGATCGCAGATGCGAAATGACAAGCTCGGTGTCCCCATGGAGCAGTCCTCCGTTATCCAGTCCACCGATCCAAACTGACGTTTCGACTATGAAGGCTCGCGTATTGCCCTGTCGAAGGACCCACGATGGTATAGGTATCATGAATTTGAAGAACCATCCCCGCTTCGAGATGGAATCACCGTCATCTTTACTGTGTGTGTTGATAGAATCATCCGGGAGACGACCAAAGTTGGTGATCAAGCTCTCCTTAAAATGAAATTTGTTCCCCGGGAACGTCTTATTCCACCTCTTGTTGACAATGATTCCACGGGTGAGGTCAGCGGGGACGATAGCTGGGTCTGCGTACTCGGCGGAAGAAGCTCCTGTGTAGGAGACAGAATATTCCGGAGGGTAGTATTCGCTCAAGGGACGGTATTCGAATGTGTTGCATTTGATGTCGATGTATCGTATATCAGGTTCTGACGGTAACTCTTTCCACTGTTGCGGATTTTTCAGGGTCAGATGCAACCGTGCAGGAACTGCGATGTAAATACTACAGTCGTATAAGCCAAAAGTTGTACGTGGTGAAGAAACACCTACTCATCAGGCAGATCCCATACGTCGAAGAAAGGCTGTTTCTTGTGAAAGCAGATGGTGATCGCAAGATCTGACATTCCGGGATGCACATGATCCCATTGATCTTTCCATGCTGTGACTTGCGACGATGCTTTATCATCGCAGGCACTACCTTCATCATCAGAGAGCATGAAATGAGTGGAAGAAGGCTGCCATTCTTGCAAATGTGAGGGAAGGGGTTCGAAGCCAGTGGGGTGATAGTTGGAAAGTATTGCTGCAGGAGAGGTAGGACGAGACGAAGACCTCTTTATCGAGGAAACGCGGGAGCGCACAAGATTAGTGATGATGGGAGGGGGAGGAGCATGGCGGACCGACGTCACTGCGACTGATGGAGCAGTCTTTCCGGGGTTCAATTGGGGAGGAGTAACTTTGCGCGGGTCCTTCTTCTTCGAAGCAGCAGTGGAGGGAGTCTCGCTCTGAGGGGAGGTACGTTCGGGGGGGTCACAGAATATGGGAAAGGTGACGGCCGAAGATTCCGGTGCCCGGATCGTGTCGGCAGAGTATGTAGATGATTTCCGTTGTCGAATCCGACGAATATCTTCGAGTATATTCTGATCACATCCACTGCCGGAGGAGGGCTCACTTGCGCGAGCGCGTTTGTTGGAAGAAGTACTTTTCTTCTTTCCAGAATTGATACGAATTGTATCGACAGAGGAGGTTGAGATCGTACGCGCACGTTTGGAACCAAGGAGCTCGCCAGTGATCAACAGTGGCGAAGGTTCAGTCGTGTTCATTGTCCTGGTGTTGGCAAGGAGCGTGGTCTTTGTCTGCGACTTGGCAGAAGAAGGTTGGGAAGGGGGGGACGAAACACAAGCGGACGACATGCTTTCTGAAGATATACGAGAGAATGAGAAACCAGCACGGGGATTGCTTTGCTCGATGGGATATTATATGTGAAAAAACACAAGGAAGGATAAATTGGTATGAGATTTCAAGAACAATGAAAGGATTTAGCCGAGTGAATTATGTGAAGACTTTGACCGAGGATTTCATTGAACGCTGTGAACACTTGAGAGTCAGTTCAAAGGGGATTTTGGGAGAGTACCTAGAACTCACATGTCAAGAGCAACGGTAAAGTAGATACCAGACTGAGGCGGTGGAAGTATGTAAAGGTCTAGAAACTTGAGAGTCCGAATCTCTATCGCGTGGAAATTACGGCATCAGATAAGATAATATCCAAAATTTTTCTTTCTTCTTGCTGAGCCTTCGCGTCCACAAATCTCAATGCAGGACGATGAATTTCACGACCCGCTGACATTTAATCTACAACGGCAGACTCATATCTTACTCTCAAAACTGCCATCCTCTATCGCCATAGCTAATTGTACCTCCGTAAGCCAAATATTCGACAATCTATCGTCTGCACTCGCGATTCCTGCATATACCACCTGCATCGCAACACTATTCCGGCCCGTCCTACTTGATCTATGTGCTCGATGGATAACAAACTCAAAAGATCTTGAAAAGGAGCTGATAGCATTATGTCTGCTAATTGAAGTTCACGAGGAACTTTTTCCGTATGTCCTATCTCACCTACAGGCTCAAATCAATTTTGTAACGATTTTCAAGCATTCTATATCGTATGCTACAAAACCCCTTGCTTGCAAAAGGACCCGTTTTTCTCGTTTCAGAAGCATCGCGCCTCGATTTAAAACGAATACACCAAATACTTCTAGCCTATTATCGCATCCTTCAAGCTAACCGCGAACTTCCACATCAACTCTACTGGCCCTTAACACCTCTACGTCAAATAGCATCCGAAAGCACCTTGGACGCCGCGTCACGTCTTTTGGCCATCAGGTGTTATGCTCTCCAAAGTGGGATGGGAGAAGCCGAGCGCGAGAAGTGGGAGACGGCGACACTAGGTGAACTGTACACTGTGGACTGTACACTCGGCTACGGGGACGCCTTGGATGGCTCCCACTTGACAATAGATGGCTGGCTCATGCCAATCACAGAATTAGAACGCGTCCGGTCAGCTAGAAACGCCATTGCGATTGAGTCGCAAGATTTCTATTGCTCTGATACAGAAATCGTTCAAGAACAGATACAACTCTCTGACTTATGGTAAGCCTTCTTCAAATGCATTTGAATGTATCCAAAATCAATGACATGCGTCTCAGTCCGCTCGTCGTGAATTTACACGGAGTTCTATTAGTGCGATCTTCTGTAACTGAGAACATATCATCTCCTCTCATTCCTACGCCGACAGCAGTAAAGGCTCTCCGATCACTTGCCCTGCATCTCACAACACGCTTGCCAGTACTCGTTACCTCTGCCCCATCATCCGGGAAGACGTTGCTTCTTTCTCATCTTGCGGAAACTCTCTTTCCTCATGTCCAAAACCAGTTAGTCTTCATTCACCTTGCAGACACATCACTCGATCCTCGCTCTCTCCTTGGTTCACACGTCTCGTCACGAACTCAGCCAGGAACTTTCGAATGGAAGGAAGGTATACTAGTTCGAGCAATGCGGGAAGGAAAGTGGGTTGTGTTCAAGGACATCGACCGAGGCAGTAATGAGGTCCTAGCTTTGATCAAGCCGTTGATTGAGAGCCTTGGATTGGATAAATGGATAGGAGGACGTGCATCATTAGAAGTCGTAGGTCGAGGCGAAGTGGTGGCTGCAGATACATTCGCAATCTTCGCAACCCGCTCTGCTTTACCTTCTCGAAATGGTACCTTCGCTACCCCTACATTCTATGGAGCCCATAAGCTGCACGAGGTTGTCGTCGCGTCGCCTACAACAGAAGAATTAACGTTGATTGTCCAATCGCGTTACCCTCGTTTATCAAGTCAAGCCACGAGTGGCCTGATCCGCCTTTGGCAAGCAGTCAGGGAACTCGGAACCACAGTGTCCGCAAGGGATGTCGGTCTACGGGAACTGGAGAAGTTTTGTGTACGGGCGGAGCAGCTTATATCGTCCTATCCGGCCGATGGCTCTTCCACGTCCGATGAGGACCTCCCATTATATTCCATCTTCCCGAACACTTCACTCCGCGAAGAGATATTTCTTGCAGCCCGGGACGTGTTCTTCGGTTCCGGTGTAACTGCTTCTGCCAGAGCCCACACAGGATTGATTGCTCACACTGTCGGCTCACAACTAGGGTTGGAACAGGAACGCCAAGAGTGGCTACTTTCGCGATGGATGCCCGATTTCGACGTAGAGACAGACAGGGATGGTCGGCGCACCGCTCTTCGTGTCGGTCGCACTCGATTACTGGCGAAACCGATGAAGCGTGAAATTACATCTTCTACCCCTCGGCCGTTCGCTGTGCATCGCCCAGCTATTCTTCTCATGTCCCGTATTGTGAACGCTATCGCTCTCAACGAACCTGTGCTCCTTACCGGAGAGACAGGCACTGGGAAGACTAGTGTCATAACTCATCTGGCCCATATTTTACATCAACCTCTCATTTCCCTCAATCTATCTAACCAAACGGAATCATCTGACTTGATTGGTGGGTTCCGGCCCTTGGATGCGCGGGTACCTGCCTTATCTTTACAGTCAAAATTTCTGGATCTGTTCGGAGAGACGTTCAGCCGTAGAAGGAATGAAAGATTTGAGGCGGACGTGCGGAAATCTGTTGCACAAGGGAAATGGAAAAGAGCTGTGGGGCTATGGAGGGAAAGCGTGAAATTGGCAAAAGATAGGATAATGAAAAAGCAGAGTAGTGATCTGGAGTAAGTTTTTGTCGTCCTTGAAATAAATTTTCTCACTTTTTCAGGGGGGAACTCGATTCACAGACTTCAAGAAAACGGCGTAAAGTAGATTCATCTTCGTTGGGTGCTTCGAAAGCTAAATGGGACGCCTTTGAGCGCGATGTTGAAGAGTTCAGTGTGCAGTATGTGAACGGCAAAGGAAGGCTCGCTTTTGGTTTTGTCGAGGGCCCGTTAGTGCGAGCGTTGCGCGAAGGCGATTGGTCTGTAATGAATTACACTTATTCTATCTTGTTACATACTAACTTTTCGTAGGATCCTTCTTGACGAGGTTAATTTGGCTAGTGCAGAGACTCTTGAGTGCATCGCTGGTCTGCTTCGTAACCCGACTGCCTCTATCACTCTGACCGAACAAGGATCACTGGAGCCGGTACCTCGTCATCCCAACTTCCGCCTCTTTGCGTGCATGAACCCCGCTACTGATGTTGGCAAGAAAGATCTTCCCCCTAATATCCGCTCTCGGTTTACCGAAATCGATGTACCACCTCCTGATGCGGATCGCGAAACACTGCTCAGTATTGTTGCACAATATATTGGCCCCAGTGCAGTCAGCGACAAAGCTTCCATCATGGACGTTTGCGAATTCTACATCGCAGTCAAAGACTTGGCTGAAACTCGCCAGATTGCAGATGGAGCCAACCATCGTCCTCACTTTAGTATGCGTACACTTGCTCGCGCATTGACTTTTGCATCCGACATTGCAAGCACCTACGGACTTCGGAGAGCTCTGTGGGAAGGGTGCCTCATGGCATTCACCATGGTTCTCGATATACCAAGTTCCGAGAAAGTCGTTGCTTTGGCTCAAAAGCATCTGTTAGCTGGAGTAAAAAATGTCCGTTCTGCATTAGCCAAGGAACCTACTTTGCCTCCATCTTGTGCACCAGAGAACTTTGTCAAGCTGGGCCCTTTCTTCTTGGAACATGGACCTCTACCTCTAGATCCTGCCGACGACTATATTTTGACACCGTCAGTAGAGAGGAAACTAATCGATCTTGCTCGAATCATTCTCACTCGACGCTTCCCTGTCCTCATTGAGGGACCTACTTCCAGTGGGAAAACTAGTTCAGTAGAATACCTCGCTAAAAGAACAGGACATCGGTTCATTCGTATCAACAACCACGAACACACCGATATACAAGAATACATTGGTTCCTACGTTCCGCACCCCGTCACCGGAGAACTGGTATTCACTGATGGTTTGCTCGTCCGTGCCTTACGAAGTGGCGACTGGATCGTACTTGACGAGCTCAACCTTGCCCCAACGGATGTCCTTGAAGCTTTGAATAGACTGCTCGATGACAATCGGGAGTTGGTTATACCGGAGACAGGAGAAATTGTCAGACCCCACCCACATTTCGTGCTGTTCGCTACGCAAAATCCATCAGGCCTATACGCAGGAAGGAAGGTGCTGTCTCGTGCGTTCCGCAATCGTTTTCTGGAAGTTCACTTCGAAGACGTCCCTGAAGCTGAGCTGGAGATTATTCTTTGCCAGCGATGTATGATCGCACCTTCGTACGGGAAGAAGATTGTCGCAGTATTTCGCGAATTGCAGAAACGAAGGCAAACTGATCGTGTTTTTGAAAGCAAGCAGGGCTTTGCCACACTTCGAGATCTGTTCCGTTGGGCCGGTAGAGACGCCGTTGGCTATCAGGAACTAGCCGAAAATGGTTACATGCTCCTAGCAGAGCGTGCTCGCAGAGATGAAGACAAAATTGTCGTCAAAGAGGTCATAGAATCCACTATGGGAGTTAAAATCAATGAACGGATGCTGTACGATTTCCAGAGTCGCGGGCCAGAGTTTGCTCAGTTTCTCGATTGTGATCCTTCAGGTGCATCTCTCATTTGGACCAAAGCTATGCAGAGACTTTTTGTCCTTGTCGCTCGTGCTCTTCGTTTCAATGAGCCGGTCCTCCTCGTCGGCGAGACTGGGTCAGGGAAGACCTCTGTTTGTCAGGTGTATGCGGACATTACATCTAGAAGGCTTCATGGCCTCAACTGTCATCAGAACACGGAGACGGCAGATCTCATTGGTGGTTTGCGTCCCATACGAAATCGTGCTTCATTAGAAGCTGAGGCTTTACAGAAAGCAGGAGTACTATCATCTAAGATAGGCTCAGAACTGGACTCTCACGATGTAGCGACTTTGCAATCACAATTAGATATGCTCCTCAAATCTACTACTCTAACTTCTCCTACTCGCGACGCCCTAGAGGAGCTTCAAAGTAAGATTCTCAAATCCAAGGCAATCTTTGAGTGGCATGATGGTCCTCTGATTGAGGCCATGCGTAACGGAGATGTCTTCTTGTTGGACGAGATTTCTCTTGCTGACGATTCCGTACTGGAACGTCTCAATAGCGTCCTCGAACCATCACGCACTCTTGTGTTAGCTGAAAAAGCAGCTGATCATCTTCACCATCATCCGTCTCTTGTTGCACACGAATCTTTCAAGCTCGTGGCTACAATGAATCCCGGTGGTGATTACGGGAAGAAGGAATTGTCTCCTGCACTTCGTAATCGGTTCACCGAAATATGGGTCCCATCCATCGATGATCCCGCTGATCTACATATGATTATAAGTTGTTGGTGGAAACATAAAAGTTTGCAACGATATACGACCGCAGTCCTGGATTTCGTGGGATGGCTTTCTCAAAATGCCGGAGATACTTCGTTCTTGAATCTCAGGGATATACTGGTGCGTTTTTCTAGATTACGAAAGGGTACATACCTCTGAGTCATCTGTTTCAGGCCTGGGTATCATTTTCGAATGTGATGTGTGAAGGAGGATTAAGGAGGATGCCTACAGAGGAAATTTTCGTGAGTAGAATGTACTTATTGGCGAGGCGTATCCATTTATTAATGAAATGTCCTCAGCACCATGCTGCCCATATGACTTACCTAGATGGTCTTGAGTCGACCCCGTCACTTTCCTCCTTATCAGAAACATCACTGCGACAAATGAAGCTAGCCGCTGTTGCTCGTCTGAATGAACTTGTTCCTTGTCCCACTTCCGATCCGTTCATACCTCAACATGATCCGTCCATCTCCTACCTATTAGGATCCTTTGTTATTCCGAGAGGGTCCAAGCTGGTGCAGCATCATACGTTTAGCTTTCAGGTGCCTACCACTCAGGCAAATGCTATGCGTGTCGTTAGGGCTTGTCAGCTCGCTAAACCAATCCTATTGGAAGGTAGCCCTGGCGTTGGGAAAACTAGCTTGATCACTGCGTTGGCACAAGTCTCAGGCCACGAGCTTTGTCGTATAAACTTGTCTGATCAAACTGATCTAATTGACCTGTTTGGCTCCGACCTTCCTGTTGATGGTGGCAAGGCTGGAGAGTTTGCTTGGAAAGATGGTGAGTTTTTGAGGGCTCTACAGGAAGGATGGTGGGTCCTCTTGGATGAAATGAATCTTGCCCCCCAGGCTGTTCTTGAAGGGCTCAATGCCGTCCTCGACCACAGAGGCTCTGTCTACATTCCGGAGCTAGGTAGAACATTCATCAAACACCCGGCTTTTCGGATCTTTGCAGCTCAAAATCCTCTTAGTCAAGGAGGGGGTCGTAAGGGTCTACCCAAGTCTTTTGTGAACAGATTTACAAAAGTCTATGTTGATCAGTTATTACCATCTGATTTGCGTTTGGTATGCCAATATTTGCATCCCGAAGTCGACACTAAACTCCTTGAACCTATGATCGCCTTCAATAGCTCTTTACATCATATGGTTTCCATTGAGCGCTCTTTGGGGAAAGAAGGAGCACCATGGGAATTCAACCTGCGGGACGTTCTTCGTTGGATCGAACTCCTTAAGCGCCCGTCGGAACGGCAACTTCTCCCAGTTGACCATGTCCGGACTGTTTACTCTCATCGTTTTCGTACCTCGAGCGATCGTCATTTGGCGCTAGCGTTATTCGAGCGCACCTTCGGCTGTTCTTTCGACTATTCCCGCAATCCTGTATGGACGATCTCCAGTTCTACAATAACTGTAGGTCAATTTCGCAGCGAACGACACAATTCATCTACACCTGCCCGCCCTAAGCGTCTACTCAAATCGCAACTTTCTGCTTTAGAGGCTTTAGGCTGCGCTATTTCGAATTCGAAACTCTCTATTGTTACTGGCGCTCGAGATTCTGGAAAGACAGCCGTGGTGGAGACACTAGCAGTCTTGACTGGCAACGTATTGCACAAAGTGCACATCAATAACACCACTGATGCGATGGATCTACTGGGTGGGTTCGAACAGGTAGACTTGCAAACCCGCTTCAAGGAGATCGCCTTCACTGCTATCGCTGCCGTTGAACAACAATTGCGAGTCCAGGCGGACTCTAACATCGATATAGAAGCCTATCTTTCCTTAAGAAGGGCAGTCACAGACACATCTCTTGAGGAATCTAGAGCTATTCAGGAAATCATATCCAGGCTGTCCAAGGGATCATTTAGTGCTGCTGTCTTTGCTCAGCTATCCCTGGCACAAACTCAGATCAAGGAAGTCTTGTCGTCTGAGCAAGATCGCCGTGCTGGACGTTTTGAGTGGATTGATGGAGCTCTTGTTCGAGCACTTAAAGCTGGCCATTGGCTTCTACTGGACGGTGCTAACCTTTGCAATCCATCTGTCCTTGATCGGCTCAATTCCCTGTGCGAAACTGACGGATTTTTGACCTTGAGTGAGCAGGGCTTCATTGAAGGTAAAATACAGACATTGAAGCCGCATCCTAACTTCCGACTATTTATGACGGTGGATCCTCAATACGGTGAACTATCGAGGGCCATGCGGAACCGAGGAATCGAGATAGCCTTGATCTCATCTCCACCTATAGACGACACAATCCTCCTCCGTGACCATCATCGACTCCCTACGCTTTCCGACGATGTTTCCCCCCTGGTCTTCGCTGCTATGCGTCTCGGCGCGCGCCAAGGTGGAGGCCAATATTCGAAGCATAGAATACCATCTGGCCGTGCCCTCGACCAAGATTCCATGTTATGTCATCTGCTCGATGTTGCACCTAGTCTTTCGAATAGATCTGACAACGAGAATGCTTTGTATCATTTCGTTTCACGTTGTATAACCCCAACAGCAGTCCCTATCTTGCACCGTTTCCTTCACACACAGCCAGACAACGACTCGACTCCCCACAGTTATGATCTCATTTCCCAAGAAATTCTTCCAATCGCAGTACAAACTCTTTCACGCCTTCGAGATCAATATGGTACTGAGGAGATGTTGACTATTCCTCATATGTTGGCGATGGTGAGTAGAATGTGCCTTTCTTGGAAGGCTTACTGAACTCCCCTATGTAGCCCATAGATTTCTTCCTCGGAATTCAATCCCCCGTTTCTGATCCTGGGTTCGCCCATCAAACTGCACTCAACATCCTGAGATTAGTAGTCGGTGTTGTTCTAAGCAAGCCATCCAGACCTGCTCCCGATAAATCCTTTGCTTCCTCTGATAAGCGTATGCAACGGACGATGGTAGCCATCGACAATTTATTGAAAGAGGCCTACGGCGCTGGCACTTTGAGTTTGGAGTTGGTTTCCAGTCTTGTAAGTTTCATCATGTGTAAGACTCCGAACGTGTCTAACTTCAGCCCAGGATTCGCAGACGTTACCTCTGATGTGCGAGCTCATAGACCATACACAGTATTTGAGCGAGATCGTGTCACGACGGGTGCTCGATTATTCGGCCTTGCAATCCCTGGCTGAGCAAGTCATCATTGTTTCCGAAAAGCTTCCTGTTGCTTTTGATACTTTGAAAGGCCGTTCGATGGATTTGAAGGAGGTTACGATGCTATCTTCGGGTTTGGGCATCAACCAAATCTGGTCGACTCTCCAGGACAATACGTTTGCAACACCGGAAATTCTGCGTCTCGAGGGACTCGCCGTTCAAATCGACGGCCCACCTAGTACGTTAGTTGCTGCCTCTTGCGGAATGCCAATGTTTACATGTTCTACAGACCTCCGAAAACAGGTGCTGAACTTGATGGCAATGGCTTCTATCTCTCGTTCGTCGCAGCATGACATAGAAACTCGTAGGATCACCGAAGCCTTGGAACTTGTCAGTATCTTTTCACCAGAAATGCAAATTGATTCTCATTGGTACGGCAGCGTGTTCGAGCTCAAAAGGTGACCCATACCAATGATGATATCGGTGCTCTGAAGGTCTCTCATCTTGTAACAAGACTCACAATATTGTCGATGGGGTCGAGCCTGAGCGAGGTATGATCCTATTCCATTACCGTAATCTATTACTGCTGTTCTCACTAGTCTCATATAGGCTGCCAAAAGAACGCTCGCCAATCTTATCTCTCAAGCCTGTAATCAACCTTCTGCAAAGTTGGCGCACCTGTGGACTTACCAACAATCATTGTGGCTGGTTGACGCTTTCCAAGATAGCGCGGAACAGCTCTACAACGCTCAGACAACTTCGCTACTCACGTCGTGGATGAAGGATGTATGGGATCTGGAGGTATGGCTGAAGTGTGTGCAAAATTCGCTATAGCATCTTATCCTTGACTTAGGAGGTTGGTCCCGCTGTTTTGTTCGGACCGGCCCAGCTTCAATCTGTGCTATCTGTGTGGTGAGTCGAACCTAGTGATAAGATGTCAATAATTCCTTATATTGATCAGTGACTGGAACACAACACCCATGGCGAAGCTATCTGAATATGAGACTAATTTGTATTCACAAGCCCAGCTTGCGCTTTTGAACACGGAACAAGTTCTATCAAGGCCCGAACAGCTTGCGGTTATCTTAAAGCGATCTATTCTGAAGGTGAGTGATCTTCCGCTCTCAGATAGTCGAGACGCCGACTCCGATGGCTTCAGATCGCATCCTGCTTTCTCGCTGCCGATGACCTTTCCAAAAGAGACACACTCCCCGTCACATTTGGGCAAGGCGTTGATTCACCAGCACTAATCTTGCCTGAGCTTGAGAGCGCCCTCGCCCACTCTGTACCTTTCAGACGAGCAGTTGAAACCTACCTACAACCAGTGTTCACCTCCTCTGAACATCCGGCTGAAGATTATGTGGAATATGTCACTAGATTGGGATTGTGTTGGATTAGTGCAGGAAAATTACTCTTGGATCTTTTCATTCCAGATGCGCCGATAGACCCTGCCGCAGTTCAGAACCACATTTTCGAGTTTTGGTCACAACGTGCAGCCTCCCTTACTAAAGAGTACGACCTTCATTCCGAACTCGAACAGTCGATAACTGGAAATATAGAGAATGGCGTCACTGCATACCTTCGGACTTCGTTGGATGCTGCACAAGAACATCTCGCCAATAGACCAACTGCAGTATTCTCTCGTGATGTGACTAGGTTACATATGCTCTGGTCGGAGGTACTGCAATTCCAAGAGCATATCCTCAGTCCTACAAAGCTCGACGCCTTAATCTCTGATCTCAAAACTGGCGATCGATCCGCTGATCTCAGGGAGCAGGTCATCCAAAGATCCATTGTTGGATTTATGCAGCGCGTGCAAACGGTTTACGCAGAATTCGACGACATCATATTCCCTATATACTACGCCATTCTCCATTTACAAACGGGCCTCAGAATCTTGAAGCAAGGCTCTATCCTCAACCCTGTCACTGAGTCTGCCGTTACAGCTCTTACTGGATTTCCAGCCATCCGATCTGCACAGGCTTCTGTCGTACCGCAGAACATCGGTGTAGTGCCTGGCTTGCAGGTCTTTCAACGTTTGTTGATAAGCATGGCGGCGATTTCGCTAGAGAGGACTTCTGGCGTTGAGATAAAGTGCCATATGTCATTGATCGAAAACACGTACGAACAAGCTTCCCGTCTTTGGCACATCGATCAGAGCAAGGAGGAAGAGTACCAAAAAGCTTCTGAATCCCTTTATCGGCAAAATCACACTGTTCATGCGATGGAGAGTGATGCAGAGATTGAAGAAAGAGAGTTTGCAGAACTCTTCCCATCCTTCGAAAATGTTCTATCTGATGATGCACCATCCTCTGGCAACCTCAACATGTCTTCCCCAACACACCAAATTTCGGAGACAGACATCAAGCATTTTGTACACTTGCATAATGTCCTTTTCTCTGGAGAAGGTTTCACCGCAAGCTCGTATCGCGCAGTCCAGCTTACCAACCTCCCTGCCCTTTTAACATCAATGAACATGTTCACAGACACTCTCGATTATAATGCGCTACCTCTGTGCATATCGCTTCTCGCCGAACGAATAGAAGAGACGGGTGAACCTTCCAAGCCACGAGCGATCTATAATTTCTATGCCGATGCTAACATACACGAGACCCGCAAAGCCATAAAAGTCTTAACAAAGACGAAGGAGCGTCTCCATACTCTTATCGAGGAATGGCCGGATCAAATGGTTCTTCGGCATCTCAAAGAACGCTGTGACGTCATTCTAGCATTGGATCTGCGAAGCCCCGTTGCCAAAGTCCTTGCAGCACTAGAGCAGCTATTGTTTCATACTGAGGACTGGGAAGTCTATGCCAACAAAGAAAACAGCCTACGTGACTCCCGTTCTGAGTTAATCGAGCTCATCGTCGAATGGAGGCGTCTGGAATTGAACTGCTGGCAAATCTTATTTGCGGCCGAAACAAAAACATTTGAAGACGGCGTCTTGCCTTGGTGGTTCCGCCTCTACGATGCTATCATCAGAGGACCTCTAGATGTTCTTGAAAATGCGATCGGCAGTACTACCGAGCTCTCAGCCTATCTGGATGATCTTTTACCTCTACTCGACGACTTCATTCGTGGTTCATCTATTGGTCAGTTCCGCGTTCGGCTACAATTACTCAAATCATTTGGAGATCTCTGTTACCACCTGAAAACTATTCATTCTGGTCTGAAAGCCGAAACTCTAGAGCGTATACTGCGTATTGTCAACGCCACAGTGGGCTACTTTATGGCATTCTCCAGCAGCGTCGCTGCGGAACTTTCTACAGGACGAGCAACTCTTGAAGTAGAGATACGAAACCTGATCAAATTGGCCAGTTGGAAAGATGTGAATGTGCACGCCTTAAAGCAGAGCGCTCAAAGAACACATCGTCAACTCTACAAGCTCATCAGGAAATATCGTGAACTGCTCCGCCAACCAGTCTCAAGTCGTCTTGAAAATTTCTCAAAGTCGTCGAAAGATGAGGATTCTGTGCATGAGCATCGCCAGTTGGGAATAGTCAAGGCTCCCGATCCAACCTTCCCTGGTACCATTTCCGATATTTCTGCACCTACACACCTCGTAAATCTAGGACGTACGTATCGCCGCTTGGAACAGCTTATAAGCAAGAGTATTGCACCTTTGATCACATCCAGATCAGCTGACGTCGTTGAAGCCTTCGCTGTTGATATCATTGTCACGTCGAAAGAATTATCATCAATTTCGCTCACCCCATCACTCTCTGCAGAGCGTCGGGAGAAGCAACAGAAAGCTCTTCTGACAAGGAAGAGAAAAGCATGGAGCGATTTGTTGAAAGAACTGAAAAGGGCCGGCTTTGCTGCTCATGTCAAACCCGACGTTTTACTTCAAAATCAGAGTACTCGCTGGATTCGGGAACAACCTTTGCTTATCGGAACATCTGATTTCAACTTTGAAAAGATTGAAATGTACTGGAATCGCCTTAATGGTCTGTTTCCTTTGTTAAGAGCAAACGTTCATTTACACCATGCGGATTTATCTACTCGAGAATTACAACGAGGTGTCACTTTCCTGGAGTCAATCTTTTCCCTAGCTACAGAATCAAGGGCTAGGTATGTCTTATCGTCTCGAGGAAGTGTCCGTGCTAAATTTCTCCAGATTATCCGATTCTTTCAGTGGTTATATTCAACTTCAACACCATCTCCGTCGTATGCGGAGCCTAGCTTCTTCTGACGGTGTCGTTTACTCTGCGAGTGACACTTTGGACAAACTCGCTGCTATCTTTTCTGTTCTTTGCAGGTTGGAGTGCGCATTGGCGGAATTGCAAAGTGCCTTCAAATCCTTTTTACATTTAAATACACCGATAGTCGATTCCGTCACGGACAGGATTCAAGGTCTTTTATCTTCTTGCGTTGAGGCACGAAGCCGATTTGAAGGAATGCTGCAAAACGTACAGCTAACTTCATTTCCTATTTTACTGTCAGGTAATGTGGTTTCCTTTCCAAGAATTTGTACTTGTGCTAATTCGTAAATTCAGAGGAGTACGCTTTGATCATAGAATGCGTGGAATTTCTTCGAGCGACCATACGGACCATGGACTTATGCGTCGAGGATGAATCCCGGTTGCGACCATATATCTACCCCATTATTCATTGGCTGCGATCTCTGGACTTGAGCTATTCCTCCATCGCAAGAACCCTGCCTGATCCAACGGTAGCGTGCAACGGCAATGAGATCATCAATGTTTGCCTGGCCACAACCGAGGTTTTACTTGCGAAGTCTAGCAATCCACCTTCATCAGTCGAAGAGGATCGAGACCATTACATCCGCGAAGACTATCAGGGTGTTCGTGAATTCACTTCGATTTTCAAAATCGATCAAGTCATTGAACTTCTCAACCGATCTCTGAAGGGGTTCGCCGCTGGGTCAGCCCTTGACGTAAATCGATATCTTCCCTTCTTGGAGTTATACTCCAATCTTCTTCATCTCCAACTTGCTTCACACGACCACTGGACAAAATCACTACTCAAGCTCAATTTCGTCCTTTGCTCTGTTCTTGACACAATCTGTCGGCAAGGATTTTGCAAACCTCCCGAGCCCGATGAAGATGGAACTGCTTCCGGAGACGGTGTAGCGGAAGTGAATGATGGTGCTGGGATGGGCGAAGGTTCTGGGGCGAACAATGTCAGCAAGGATATTGAGGATGAAAGTCAGGTTGAAGGTTTACAAGGGGATAAAAATGATGCGAATGAGCCTCGAGATGAACAGGATGATGATGCGATTGAGATGAGTCAGGACTTCGATGGCGACATGGAAGATGTACCGGATGATGGATCGCAGGCTGAAGAGCAGGAGGAGGACAGCCAGAGTAATCCAGATCCAGAAGAGCAAGTTCATGACCTAGACTCTTCCGATCCCGCGGCAGTTGATGAAAAGTTTTGGGGCGACGAGAAAGGTCCAGAGGACGGCGACGACAAAGCAAACAAAGACAGCTCAACTCAGCAGAGTGGTGAATCCGAAGTTGTCGCGAAAGAAGGGGGAAACAAAACGGACGCTAAAGAGGATGCCGACTCGCCGGAAACCAACGACGAAGCTGTCGAACCGCAACCTGATCATGAGGATGAGGAGGCTAAGCAGGAAACTGGGGAAGAAGATTCTACGTATCCTGATGCAAGCGGTGCTCCAATGGATGAATACGTTCCCGAAGCAGACGCTCTAGAGCTTCCTGAAGAGATGGATATGGGCATGGAGAATGTGGCGGAAGAAATAGAGACTGATAAGATGGACGTCGACGAGGATGAAAATGATGATGGGTTTACAGATGAACGTACTCCAAAAGACGGGGACGACCATCAAGAACATGATGACGAACCTTCTTCACCTACTGCGCAGGATGGAACCCAAGAACCCGAAGACAAAGAAACGACCGAAGCGGAGCTTCCTGGCCAAACCCAGCAAACGGAGGATGAAGAGAATGTTGATGAGAACAGCGCTATTGCGCAACCCGATATTGGGCAGGGAGAAGGGGATGTCAATGGCGAGCACTCAAATGTCGAAGAAAGTCAGGATCATTCCCATGTTGAATCGGGTACCTCCATGGGGGTAGCAGGAAAAGCGGCGGCGGCGGCGCAGAAGTCTCAGCATGGGTACGTGTGTTATGCTATGAATTGATATTGGTCGCTAATCCTCCGAAAAAGCTTGGACACCACTGAACAACCGGAAACTCGTGAAACGAGCGAGGACTCTCCAATGGACCTTGACCCCACTGCAGGTGCCGCTCCCGCAGGCTCCGAGCAGGGTCAGCAGCCCTCTCGACAACATGACCAACTTTCCGCGAATCCTCTTCGTAGCTTGGCGGACGCATTGAAAGAAGTACAACGACGTTTCGACGAAATCTTCGATAGCGAGGGCCAAGATGTACCCAAGGACCAGGTCGGAGCATCGGAACAGCCAGCGGCATTAGAATACCTTCGGCCAGATGATTCCGACCACGACATGCAGGCCCTTGGTCCAGCTCAGGAAGAGCAGGTTGCCAAATTGCAGGAGTTAAATCTTGTCGACGACGAGACGGATCCCAATAGCAACATGCCTCCCCTTCCAGACATTGAAACGCCATCAGAACTCGAAAATCAAGACCGCCAACGACCCCCCCTCAAGCAACCTGATTCCTCAAACGATAGCATCTCGCGAAAAGGTGAACTGGAAGGGGCGATCGCTCAAAATAACCGCCAACCCTTGTTCGAGGATGGCACATTAGCTCCTAATCGTGATGATCCCAATGCTGACGTTGACATGGAGGATGCTGCAGGCCCTGATGTTGAGCTCGAACTACGCTCCTGGCAAGCTGCGGGGCTACCAGATCAGCAGGCGGACCATATCTGGCGTCTCTACGAATCCCTCACCCACGAGCTCGCGTATGCCTTATGCGAACAACTACGACTGATACTCGAACCTACCCTTGCTACTCGACTGAAAGGCGACTATCGTACTGGAAAGCGACTGAACATGAAGAAGATCATTCCCTACATTGCCAGTGACTATACCAAAGACAAGATCTGGCTCCGGAGGACACGACCCAGCCAACGCGAATATCAAGTCTTGATAGCCCTAGACGACTCACGGTCAATGGCGGAGTCGCATTCCGTTCACCTTGCTTATCAAACTTTGGCGCTAGTTTCGAAAGCCCTTACGCGTCTGGAAGCCGGAGACATTGGGATTGCCAAGTTCGGTCAAGATGTACAGATGTTGCACGACTTTGATGGGGCCCCGTTCAGCGACCAGGCAGGGATAGAAGTGATCAAAGCTTTCCATTTTGATCAGAAAGCTACCAATGTACTTTCACTCGTTGACACGAGCTTGCGGGTGCTGGAAGCCGCTCGGGTACGACGATCTTCGAGCTCGAGCACTGCAGCAGACCTTTGGCAGCTTGAAATCATCATTTCCGATGGAATGTGTCAGGATCACGACAAGCTTCGGGCAGTCCTTCGAAAGGCAGAAGAGCAGCGGGTCATGATTGTGTTCATCATCCTCGACTCGCTTCATACCGGAGGCACAAATAAATCAGGTTCGTCAGCACAAGGCTCCATATTATCGATGGAGAAGGCAGAGTTCAAGAACGTGGATGGGAAAATGGAACTTCAACTCCAGAGGTATTTAGACTCTTTCCCCTTTGAGTATTACGTGGTGTTGCGGGATGTGGAGGCCTTACCGCAAGTGCTATCAGCGACATTGAAACAGTTCTTCGAGCGTATTTCAGAGGAGTGATAGCTGTGTTGTCATTGTAGTCCATTTTGTATTTTTCACTCATTTCTTATTGTACATTCCCATTGCATGTATCATACATATGTTCCTCTCACACAAAGTCCATATTGCATGAATGAAATCAGATACATAGTGTCCTACATAGTGTCCTACATATTGACCAGAAAGTAATACCGATATCATGAGAAAAACATACCTGAAAGCACCACGGCAGCAAGCTCGAACTAGATGGTTGAGATTAGAAGGGAAAAGAGCAATTCGTTCATGCATCCATCAAGATTGAACCATTTATGGGAGGAAAAGAATAAAGGTGAATTAACACCATATTTAGTCGCGCCCTCTGAACCCGCCTTTCTCTCTATCTCCACGGTCATAGTCGCGGTAGCGGTCTCCCCCTCCTCTATCACCTCCTCCCCTGTCACCTCCTCCTCTGTCACCGCCTCTATCTCTATCTCTGGGTTTATCATAATCTCTATCCCGTCGGGAATCATCATATCGTCCAGCACGGTCTCCTCTGTCGCGTCTGTCATAATCACGGTCCCGGTCTCGAGAATACCTCGAGTCGTACGGCCTAGGGTCGTAGGGACGGTCACCAGCTAAAGTAAATATTGATTCAAAAAGCAGAAGAAAGTTCAAAATAAACAGACATACGAGGGCGGCGTTTGGTGGGCCCGAAGTATTTTCCAGGGGTCGGAGTACGAGCCCTACCCCTCCTAGCCTAAAATACGGTCAGAAAGAACGAGGTAGTGTAAAGTTTTCGTCTACATGCCTTTCCAACTGTGACGGTCTTCCCGTACAATTCAGTGTTGTTGAGAGCGGTAACGGCGGCGTCCGCTTCTTCAGGAGTCTCCATGGTGACGAAGCCAAAACCTTGAGGGAAGATTCAGCTCATTCATCGCAAAGCAAAAAGAAAAAATTACAACGTACCCCTCGACTCGCGGGTGTGTGGATCGTAAACAACTTGAGCTTTCGTAATCTGACAGCTGAATATCAGCGGGAGGAACTGAAAAAAAAAGAAAATGATTGTACGCACTCGGCCAACTTTGGCGAACATAGCTTCAAGTTCACGGTCATCGACCTTGGAGGACAGCCCAGATACATGGAGGTTATTTCCTGGGTTGTTGTCCTGACCACCATCTCGACGTCTGCGAAACTAGTTTGAGAGCTGAAATTTTTTGGGATAAGCACAACTGACCCTCTGTCTCTATCCCTGTCCCTGTTGTCACCTCCAGGACTTCGACTCCTGCTAGACCTACGAGGTCCATTATTGTAAGGACCTCCATACCTGCCCGAATCCTCAACACCATTCATGTCGCCTCCCGAAGGAGGTGGAGGCGCAACGTCTTGTGGCTGCCATGCTGAGAACGACGTAACGTAAGAAGGCAAAAAAAGAGGACGGAAGACGAGCCAGGGCGATTAGGCGGACGGTCCGTACAGTGTGTACAGACCGACGACGTACGAAACGTATATCGAAATTTATCGGTTTAGCAGCACGTAGTCGAAGGTTGAATAGCCCGTAAAAAGGTCGAAGCAAAGAGGGTGGTCATAGACGGCCGAATATAATCGAAAACGAACTGGGGACCTCGAATGAAAGCTGGTGTACTTTGTTTTCAGCCTTGAGCCGAAAAGTACTGGAACAAGGCGAATCATGGCGAAAAGTAGACGTAGCCCATCGTCGACGGTAGTGATGAGCACGTACCATTATCCATATCGGTTTTTTGCTTTCGGTTGTGGTGGTTGCTGTCAAAGGTTCGAAAGCTGACAGTTGTTGGTTTGTTGATTTGCTTTGTATACACCGCAACGAATTTTATTCTCGTGACATCTTCAAGACTCGAACTTGCCCATTTTATAAAATCATCTTATACAGCTTTTGCTATGCTATCCTTGACAGTTAGTACCACTTCATCGAGATGCTTCCCCTTCCCGAACCTCCAAGCTTCACAATTTCGTTCACACAACTAGTACGTTGAGCTAGGCTCCTAATATAGGCGTGCTTGCTCGTGTTCTTTTAGAACAGTTTAGAACCTCATAAAGATCAACCAGAATGATCCTAACTCATACGAAAAGAAGTAGCCCTCCACGTTCAACATCTCAACATCTCAAGGCTTCCTGAAGGACATTTTGTTCGGGGACATATTATGAACTGTAGCCTGTTGTACTTCCTGGATATCTCTGAGGTATATCTGTGTTCTCTTGCTCAATCGTCAATTAAACCCTCGTTCGTCCTCGCCACTCCACTACAAACTCAATGAAACTGATGTAGAATGGGTCGCAATCATCACAGTGCGACGATTGGTGAGATACATAAGGGTCCTCACGAAAAAGAGCCCCAGTACGTCCACTTATCATAAAAATCCAGTAGCGTGGTCTCGTCGGAGCTTTGCGCGTTTTTGTGGACCGGCGTTGAAGTTGAAGTACCTCGAATTATCCCTACCGTTCATGTTGGCCTAGTTCGCTTTCGTCGCAACTTGCAAAGACAGAAAACTTTAAATATTATGATCAACATATGTTACACATTTCCGAACAAAATCAAAGGTCATGATCATGAGATAGGAATGAAAAAAAATGTCGAGAGAAATGATGACCTGTGATAATCAATCTTAAGGACAACGGTCTCTTAATGGTGCTGACCATCCGCGTCGAAAACCATATGATGTCCGCTGTTGATACTGATATGATCACCCGTGTCCGTTGGAACGTACGCTTCCTGTGGTAGCCCCGTTTCATCCAGTCCTTCTGCTGCTTCGATGATTTCGTACAGCCTAGAAGCCACCTCTGGCGGAGGCACTCTGCCTCCAAGAATATCTCGTGCTGGAACAGGGGATCCATAGAAATCACGATTGGCGTCCTTTCGTTCGATGAGAACCGTTCCTTCCAACGACACTCCAGCGAAAAGACCTATAGAACATGAGCAGGTGAATCGACCCTCTAGGTAGAACTACATTGCCATGTACTCACCTTTGCTCTTTGAATACGAAAACATTGGTGCTGGATGAGCTAATGACGCCTGTACACTCCCTCCGGTACCGATAGGGCCCGCAGCAGCAGAGACGTTTCCACCGATAGTCACATTCCCTCCAAGTGAAAATGCCCTTACAGCGTCTTCACTGTTCAAAACGATCACAAAGTCTGTAATATCAGCACCGATCTGTAGCCCCCAACCTAGACCGCCCGTGGCTATGCATGATGGTGCAGACCAAGATCCATCAGGAAGTCGAGCGATTACTAGACCAGAGCCAGCTTTTCCAGAGAAGACAAATCCAGCTTCGAAAACAGTCAATAAAACGAGTTTCACAGAGATGAGAACGTCACTTACCCTTCACAACCTGAAATACAGCAAGCCCTATTCGACATTTGAATTAATGATGATCTTGACAGCTAAACGGCAAACGAACCTCTTGCAGATTGCAAAACAGCTTTTGGAATGGCGTTCAGTGCTGATTCGGGTCGTTCAGGATCCGCTATAAAGCTGAGAGTAAGAATGCCGGATCGTTAAAAAGAAGCAATTAGACGTACCAAGGAAACTATCGAGAATCTTTGCCGCTTTCTCCGCCTCTCCAGGTAACGAAAAGCCCTGAACGAATTCCCTCGAGCCTGAAGCAATCTTGTTGCCACTTGCGTGAGCAAACGCCGTAGCCTGAATGCCTGCTTTCTGAGCGCCTTGTTTGAATTTAGCAAGCATACTCATATCAGTCGTCGAAGTGTTGTAGTACTAGTAGTAGAACTATCAATGTCGATGCGTCATTCAGTCAAGGCACGTGTCGCGCCGCGCTAAGAACTCCAAGGACAGATTTAGTAGGATTTAGTTTAGTGAAAAGGCTCTGCAAAGGATGGCACACAAATTTTAAACAACAATTACAGAGAGGACAGTGTATATTACAAAACAATCAGAAGCTGGAGTTCCATGTGCATGATGCAGGAGATACAGTAATGATACAAGTGGACGAAAACGAAAGCGAACCCAATACAATCCAGCGAAAGAGGCATTACTATAGCTTAGTCGTGCCATGTATCCGAAAGCACCACTGACTGTCCTTTGAACGGGGATGCAACTTCGTGGTTGGGATCGTTTTCCCAAGTAACCTGACCACTGCGTTGGTCTTGCACGATATACTTGTAGCTAAAGGTAGTCGATGCAGGGATCTCGATCCTCACTAGTGAACGAATGAGTATACGACCGTGACTATACCGTCGAAAGTGAAGTCGTCCAGAGCAGAGAATACGTACCAGTCCAAGAGGGATAATTCTTTGGTTCTAATCTCACGGCATTAGCTGGCTCCCAATCGCCCAATTGGCCAATAGATCCGGTGATATAGACGTTTTCTGTAATAAGGGAGTTAACAACAGTCTCCTCGGTCAAGCAGAGGCGGGATTCGAACCTCCGTAAAGAGTGTTTCTCTCTACCTCGAAGACAATCTCCGACATGGGTCCAGGATTCGATATGCAATGACCATTGGCATCCCGGCGTATTTGTAACCCTTGCGCTCCCCAAGGAGTAGGTACGATACCGTCGTGCGCAAGGAAGGATGTGATAGCAGAAGCATAGCTCCAGGTGAGATCTCGAGCGCTGGTAGGTTTCCCGTCGTCTTTTCCATATTGCTCCGCCAGCGACCCACTTTCCGGAGTATAATTACCATTAACCGCGATGAAACCATCCGCAAAGGCGCGGATCTTGGAAGTGAGTGTGCCGTATGTCTGCGAGTCAGCTCCGTAGTTCCCGGTTTGTACATTTGAAGAGAATTGTTGGAAGAAGGAGAGGGAGACAGGTGTGATTTGCAGAGAACCTTGAGCATCCCATACGGAAAGAGAATCGTAAAGTTGCTCGGCTACAGCAAAGGTTGTAAGATACCAGGGCTACAGATAAATTTCACCTCAGCCGCTATCCTGAATTATGATAACGAGAAAGTCGTACATTGCCTTCCATGTAAATGTCCTCAGGATATCTTCCAGTAGCAATCGCCTCGTTTTCAGAGAACCCTTCGTTGATTCCATATATAGTCTTGAACGAATCTACATAGGCTTTAAGGTTTGAAAGTGCCTTGTCCGAACAAGGTTGGAATGTCAAGGCATCACAACCAGCACTGGGGTCAAAAGAATGAATAGAAGCCAAAATCGAATTTGCATCGATGCCGGAACGCCCGCCACCAGTGTTAGAGGTGATATAAGAGCCATTGGGATTCCAGTAGGACTGATTGAAAAAGGTGGTTAATACTTCGATCTTCGAGATTGAGTGAATCTATGTATACCTGCAAGAAGCACAAAGCATTGTCGGCCTGTGTACTGTAGCTCTCAGCAAGGTCATCTTTGCTAAGGGTCTTTGCCAATTCTGCGCCTTGACGGAGAGCGCGGTGTTGAGCGGCGGTAGTCCAGAAAGACGACGATGAGACTTCCTCCCACAAGTCGAATCTTGCGAGAAACACCGTGTCAGCTCGCATTCAAATGGGAACGAGAAAATAGATAGATTTTTACCCAGTCTTGTTCCAATTATCGGCGACGTAGTCAAGATCAAGCTGGATGGTAGGCCAAAGTGTGTTTACATGTGTTTTGTTTGAATTATCCAGCAACCAGTTGGCGTAGGCAATGAGAGTGGTTGCGCGCAGACCAGGGCCATCGCGTTGAGGTCTGGAGAATGTTCAGCATTTCAACCCACTAAAAACCCGCAGCCAGGAACCTGCCCCAGGAGCCTGTAAAGGCAGTCAAATCGATGTTGAACTTGGGTTCCCCGAGACCTCCCGTAGTGATGTTTCCAGAAGGATTCTCCACTTCTTGCAGCCTGCTCTGTGCATCGGCATAACTATCGATCAGAGTCCTCAAGGACAAGTCTCTTGGTGCGGGCGAACGAGCGTAGCTAAAGACGAATGAATGTCATGAGTAAAAAGATATTGCGCATATATGCGCTCAAAAGAACGCTTACTGATCAACGATGACTTTGAAAACCAATGCTGCGTCGCGTGTCCAGCTGTACAGATAGTTTGGGTTTGAGGTGCTTGGGCTGGCAATAGCAATTCCGGGCTGTCGTGAGCGTTTGAGAACAGGTTAAGATGTCAATATGCGCGAAGCACTGACTGCAGCCGCAGAGGCTTGATTGCCGTTTGGACCGATATTAGCAAGTAGCTGCACAGAAATGGATTAGTGGACAATAAGTTGCGGAGTTCGCTTCTAGTATTTACCCCTGCCTGAGCAAGTGGACCTTCGCGTTGAATATAATCGTTTGCAGAGTTTGAGAGCATAGTGATCTGGGAAGAAGACTTTACACCGAACGAGCTCGAGTGAGAACGAACATTGGTAATGGAAGTATGAGCCGCATTGACGACGACAGAAGAGAAACTAAGAGAACATATGAGGCTAAGAGCAACCATGACTGTCAGACCCGGTAGGTGGATGCGGCCCAGGAGTTGCTTTAATGCCAGTTATGGCTCGATTTGGTGGTGGTAGTTTGCACTTAAGCTTAAGTACTTAAGCGCTCACTGACATCATTCCGTCGAACCTGTGATCACACCTTCCCCCCAGCCTCCTCCCAGTGATCTGACTTGTGTATGTCTTGTATACATCAGATTAGGAGGACTAAATAGTAAATACGCAAGTGGTCATCAATCGAGTGACAAGGGAGGGTGATGCCTGGGTATGAGGGGGTTGAGCTAAACGCCAAAAACCTAGATGGTCAGTTTGGAACACAGGGGATAATACTGTAATTATCTGTAGTTTTTATTGTAATCTTTACTCTTCAGAAGCTTGTGCCAATTCCCTAAAAACGCTTCCCTCCTTCTGCAGCAACTCAGCGGGGTCACCCATCTCTTCGACCAGGCCATGATTCAACACAACTACTTGGTCATAATCTTTGATCGTCTTGATACGATGAGCAATAGTGATGCAGGTACAGTCCTTGAAGGACGACCGTATCACCTCTTGAATGCTGTCGTCCGTTTCTCCATCCAGCGCGGCGGTTGCTTCGTCCAGAAGAATGATCTTTTTTCCAGACAGAAGACTTCGTGCAAGGGCAAGAAGTTGTATCTGACCCGGAGATAAAATTGGGCTTATACTTTGGATTTGGTGGTCGATACCGCCGTTTAGTTCGGATATGGCTGGCTTGAGCTATTTTCAGGAAGCGTCAATACTGTTTTCGCACCGAGAAACCAAGAACGTACTTGCGCCGACTCAATGGCCGCCCAAACATCATCGTCTGATTTGCATCCAGTAATATCCAGATTTTCGCGAATAGTTCCGTCCAAAAGGAAAGGTTCTTGGCCGACCATGGTCATGCCCTTCCGCAGTCGGCGTCGAGAGATGTTCATAATGTTCTTTCCATCAACTGTGGATGTAATAAGCTTGTTAGAGAGCGAGCCACGGAAACTGATGCAACGATTTCACTTAGAATTTCTCCTTCGACTTGAAGAGCCCTTAACAGAGCTAACAGCACGGTACTAGGTTGCTAAGTCAGTGGACGAATGATAAAGCTAGCAGCTACGTACCTCTTTCCAGAACCTGTACGACCGCATATGCCGAGAGAACTACCAGCCGGAGCACGGAATGAGACGTCTTTGAGAATAGGCGTTACTCTGTACTTGGCCATCACATTGGTCAGCTCAATCTCCCCTCGAGATGGCCATTCATTGTCATCCGAGATTCCAGGACCTTGAGATTTATCATCGTCGTCTTCCGGTACAAGGTTGACAAGGTCTAAATTCCGCTCCAAGGAAACAGCTGCCATCTCGAGTTTTGTCCAGGATGTCAACATGGTGTTGAGCATGTCCTGAAGTGATATCGCTTGACTCATTGCAGCAGCAAATAGTCCGGCACTGGCACTGCGCCTTGTACCAATTGCCAAAAGAACAACAGAGGTGTTGACGATTGAAGTCATAATCCCAATGCTACTCACGAGCCATGCTGCCACATTCCTTGACAAGTAGAATGGTCTCTGCGATCGAGCTAAGAGTATCTCGCTACTATCGAGAAAGTGACCTTCGGCACCAGCAGCACGAACAGTCAGAAGTGCGTCAAACATCATGGTTTCTTGATATAATGTGTACAAAGGTGATTTGCTAGCCAAATCTAACCTCCGAACACGTTTGGATGTTGCCTGCAATAAGAGAAATGTTAAGATAGATCACAGTGGTTCCAGTTTGCATACCAAGTAAAACCATTGTACGAGGTAGAATACAACGACCACACCGAAGACCACAGCAGCCATGTAAGGGAGCGCTATGATCATGACAATGATACCACCAATGGCTCGAACCATCTGGTAGAAGAAATCGTACAACGCAAGGGGCAGTCCACCATCAATGTAAGCTATGTCTTGACTGAAACGATTAATCGTCTGTCCCACTTGAGTAGAGTCGAAGAACGACATTGGTGCGTGCATTACTGCAGAGAATTGCCACTCGTGAAGGTTGCGTGACGCATTCTGGGAGAGGATCATGATCATGTAGTAAAATACATAGCACAGAGCAAACGTATAAGCAATTTCAATGGCAGCGTATCCCGGCAGATACGCAACTACGCTTTTCCTATTGGAGAAGTGACTGTCGTTGTAGGTACTCCAGACCTGCAAGTAAACAGGTGTGATGGTTTGAATGCCGACAGTCAAGAGGAGTAGGAGCAAGTATACGGCTATACAATACCAGCTTGCGGCTCGGCAGTAGTGCATGTAAGATCTCATGGCAATGGACTTTGTGCTATCCGGGAGCTCCTCCATCTTGAACGACGGTTTCTTCGGGCCGCTGACTGGGCCGTTAGGTAACGACGTATCTTCTAGAGTGCTAACAACCTCTTTGAGGACTTCGACTCCCCGGAGATCACTATATGTCCCCTGTGCGGATATTCTGGACTCATTCAGTGAAATGATCCAGTCCGCAAAGTTGAGATGAGCCACTGTTTATACAACAATCAGTTCCGGTGTCATTCTTCAAATGTCGAAGATACACACTCTTATTTGTAGACAAAATTACTGTTTTGTGTGTCAGTAAGCCTCGTCCTCGAGAAAAAAGCGCCTCAAACATCGAATTTGCAGTGGGCCCGTCTAATGCTGAAAAAACGTCATCTAATACTACCACTGGTTTCCGGGAGTAAACTGCACGAGCAAGCGCCTATTTTCCAATTATAGAAAATGAGAGAATAGATTAAGCGAATAACAAGTTACTGACGACTCGGGCTTTTTGGCCTCCGCTCAAACCACTTGCAAGCGTTGAGTCCCCGTTCTTCATCTGCTTGAGGTCGAATTCCAAAGCACAAGCACGAATGACCTCGGTATACCATGCTTCTTCATAATTGGATGCAAACAGGATATTGTTACGAATAGTCTGGCTCGGTTGAAGCCAGGGTGTTTGCGAGCAATAAGCAATAGAACCCCGTTTGAAAGGATAGGAAATTGTCCCGGACAGAATTTGCGTTTCCTCAAGCAATGAGTGCAGGAAGGTGCTTTTGCCCTAAGCCGAAAAGACGAGCAAGGTCAGTGATTCTCAGATAGGGAACAACTGACATGTTGAAGAGCACACACCGAAGCCACGCGTCCTATCACCATGGTGATCATTCCGACTTGTATTTCTGCATTTAAATCATAGAGCAACACCTTTTCACTCCATCCGATGCATGCAGAACGAAAAGACACAGTTCCAGATATCTGAGGCTCGGATGTATTCATTTTCTCATCATAGGTAATCTCTTGAATCCCCGAAACTACATCGCCCTTGGTCGAGCCTTCAGTCTCAGAATCAAAAGCAGAAACCGAGGATGAATCAACAGACTGCGAAGATTTGGACTCGAGGCTCAGAAGATAACCCTCGAGGCGCTTTATGCAAGCGTAAGCCGCCAGCACGCGAGGATAGTTTTGGCCAATAGCATAAATGGGGGCTGTAATGATCCCAATGGCAGTATAAGCCGTAAATAACCGGGCGGTAGTCAAACCTTGGCTATGTGAAAGGAATGAGATAATGGCGTACGTGCTAACATACAGGTTAGGATGCAGAAATCACCAATGAGTGGATGGTTAGCTTACCCAAGAGTCGCTAGAGAGAGCGCATTCATCGTCACGCTTGTCGTGCAGACTATCAGATAAAATTTCCTCCAAAAGTTTTTTCGAGCCTGTAATTCCGCTGTGCGAACTTCTGATACTTTCTTGATAAGCTCAGGCTCGTAAGCTGATAGCTTGATGCCTTTGATCTGTCTCAGAATGCCTGATATCAGTCGAATACGTTTATCCCCTGCCGCCGAGAGCTTTGTCTGCAAAGGTCGTATCTCTCGGGAGAAGTAAGGAGTGACCACCATTATAACAATAGTCATAACAATGGTGGCTACAAAGGCAACACCAAGCTCGTTGTATATCAGGTAGAGACCAATCGCAATAGTGATGAGTGATGACCACATCTCTAACGTTTTGAAATAAGCGGTTTGAGGAACGGGCGATAAGAGACTGAAGCTTACGATGGAGTGGATCTATCACAGATGTTATACGGTCGATGTCAGCACTGGAAAATAGTGTCTGTGAGTAGGACGAGCAACATAGATACAATAAAATTCACACCTTATGAGATTCATCGGATTACCACCAGGAACGCTCGCGAGACAAGTCACGTTCAAAGCAAGGGTTTTGCGATAAACTGCCTCGGACATGGTTCCACGAATATATGCACTTGTTCGAGCAATGCAGTACCAGTACAAGGTTGAAGCACAAGTTAAAGTCAAGAATATAAAGGCGAACATTCCTGCTAGCGACCATCCCCATTCAACAGGCTCTGGAGAGTTAGAGGAGTATGAATCGATGAACTGAATGGCTGCGTTGACCATGGCAGGTTGAACGACTTGCGTAAGGGACATAAGGATTGCCGGTATTACTGGAGACATGAACGTGGAAAGAAACGCTCGCAGAAGCGCTTTCAGGAGTTTGGGGTGAGTTTTCCGTCTATCGACGATGTGTCAATCTCGAAAGAGAAGATAGAAAGTTGGGCTTACTTTTCCCGACGCCAGGAAGTTTCAAAACGCATATACAGGGCAGTGGATCTTTGATCAAAATCCGGTAGATCATCCAGATTCAAAGTTCCTTTACGACCTTTCCACATTAATGGGAGAAGCCATAATAGAAATATGCTGGAGAAAAATCCTGAGCTCTTATAGACTCCAGACTCTTTGGGTTCCGGGGTGTTCATCAAGACTAAGCATAGACCGCGGACAGCAAACGAAGCTGCGAAAGCAACAAAAAAGAACATTGAGATTGAGCTTTTTCCTGCAGAGCTAAAGGTACGAAGTCGACTGGCGTCCAGAAGCAGGACAACCAAGAGATACAGAGAAGTGGCAAAAGAGGAGTCTTTCCGAGATAGCTCATTGGAAACCAAAATGACGTTAAGAATCTAGAAGTATTCAGATAAGCTTGAAATTTGTCTGCGTGAAGTAAAACAGGAAACATACAGAGACTACGAGAGACACAACTAACGCGGCCGTCAAATATGTACCCGCAAGGACCGGAACATCCGTTGGTTTGGCAATGGTCCAAGCAATTAACGCGAGGATATTGAGCGCAAGATTAAGGATGAAGGCGATCAAAACATCAGGTCGACGAAGAGAAGCTCCGATGATCTTCCGCGATACAGAAAGTCGAACGTACGAAGCAAAGAGAACTAGAGCTATGGCACTCGGAATAATCGACAATATCCTAAACCGACATGAATTAGTTTGCGTTGGCTACAAAGAGTCAGATCCTTACGCATTCTCGAACATTACTGTGAAATCAAAAGAACGACATTGGGATTGTGGTCCCTAAGGCAGTGTAATTAGTTTGCACATCTAGGAAGGTTGCAATGACACGCACAAAGGCCGAGTCCTGCGCACAGAATTTCGACATCGTGTAACAGAGTCGAAAAGTCGCAGAGGAACTGAAGCAATGGGTCCAGGAGGTGACTGAAAACGAAGTCGGAATACTATGGGAAAAATCTCTGCGTCAGCCCTTCGGAATTGAGGCGACATTAGCACATGTATTTCTATTATTTCTGTGCAGTCGCATGTAGTCGGAAGGTTGTACGGATGAGTGTATGAGTGGTGTGATGATGGCGTGGAAGAGAACGCGTTCCTCCATCGAGAAATCCCGGCCTCTGGGAAATTCCGTTCTTACTCCATGACCGATACACCCGGATTCGATGTAATCCCTCTTAGAGTCTAATAACAAGTTGTAAATCATTCTATATATGTGATCTATACGGAATGGGGTAAACTCAAGATTTGTCTGGTTCGTGTTTGGTTCGCGTTACTGGAAACATTGAAACTGGCTCGTTTTCCTCATATTGGTCGTGTGCACGTCGCTTCGACTGGCTCACATCTCCATAGCCTAACAAGTTCTGGTAGAGGTATGGTCTGGGTATGGCTATAAAATGTGGCTTGGAAAATTCCCTTCATCTCCTCGATCCTTTCTACCACTCAACTGCCTTTCGAAGAATTTCCTTTCACGCCTCCCCACTATCATCATGGTCGTTCTGGTAAAGTTCCTCCTTTCTGAGGCTCCCATTCACAACCTACTCAAGCGTTGCCTTTAGTCTACGAAGCCTACCCGAAGTATTTGCGTACTATGCGGGGGGAATATCGGTGCAGAGGGAAAGTATGCAAAGCTAGCGGATGAATTGGCTATGCTTTTCTACAAGAACAATTGGCGTCTTGGTAGGTCTCTTTCGTTCCCTGAAGGTATATTCTATACTTATATCATCGATTGATCACATAGTGTATGGGGGGTCTCCGAGGGGAATAATGGGACGAATCTCTCGCACTCTGGCTGAGCTCGGTGGCGATGTTATTGGAATCAAACCCACACCATTCCTTAAATACTCGAATGGTAAACTCCCCGAGTGGGGTTACAATGAGCTTGTCCCCGACATCCACACCCAGAAAGCTCGTATGGCGGAGCTTTCAAATGGATACCTCTTCCTACCCGGTGGATTCGGCACTCTCGAAGAGTTTTGTGCATTTCGTATGTGGAGGAAACTAGGTGAATATACCCCCTACAAGATACCAAAGATTTTCATTAATATCGCTGTAGGAATCATAAAAGCACCCTTGGTGATACTGAACTTCGAGAACTACTACGAAGATCTTGTCAAGTGGATTGAACTCGGAGCTGACGAAGGCTTCATCAGCGAAAATGCTGCAGCTGCGTTTAGCGTTGTGCAATCGCTGGACAAAGTTTCCGAAACCTTTAGCACATCTTCGTACGCGACAGACGAGCAGTTGGATTTATCTGACATGGCTCCACCTTGTAACAAAGAATACTTAGGTCTTCCACTCCCCATCTCTCGTTTGGCTACCAAAAATCTTCGTGATTAGTACTCATCTCATTACCATAGAATATGTATATGTAAAGCGTAATCAAAAAATCTCTATCCTTGCAAGTTGAGGGGACATAACCATGTTAGCTCTGAAGAAAGATTAAACTGACTGTTCTTCTCGTTGCTTCTCGTTGTTGAATGTTTGAATTTGAAACTCGCATCACTGATTCACAAATTTACTCGTTGATCTAAGTGACGTCAGCAGCTGTGATTTTCTCTGGATTTTCTGCAACCGCCCCAGTGAAATTTTTGGCGAGCAAGTGGTTATGGATGTCGGTTGATAACGAATCAATATGTATCGGATATCTACTGAGAAATAGTTAATACCTGCTTTAAAATCTTCGCGTCATGACCTCTGGGTATAGGATACGCATATTGATTCATTAATTTTGCTATCCTTCCCACCTTGGACCGACTGAAACGAGACAAGAGTTCAACGTCCGAATCATCCCTTCCCTGTATCTCGGTTTCACTATCAAGGCTCTTGAATATCTTCCAAAAAAGTTCTTCGTGTATCTCGCAAAGCTTTTGATCAGGGGGCGTGATGTAAGCGGCAAGATTGAACGGAAACGGCTGAAACGATTGCCACGGGACAGTACTACACCAAGACCAATCGATTATCGCTACAACGTTCCAATCCTTGTCAATGAGAACATTCTGGCGATGGAGGTCAGGATGTTGTAATGGGAAAGGGCCTTTGTCCACTGTCGGGTCAAAGGTAAGTGGAGATGCGCTAACGTGCAATTGCGCGGAGTCGATGCTTTCCTGATCTAAGCCTTTTCTCTTTGCTTCATTGTAGATCATCACAGAACGAGCAATGTAGTAATCGTTCGAAGATTGGAACGGGCCAAGTTGACGAGCATGACGGTCAATAATCTGGCCAAGTGGATAAGAAGTTTCCTCGTTCTTCTGAGCCTGCAGCTGGCCGATGACTGGAAACGTGCACTTCAGAGCAAGCTGCCAGGTGACAGCCGCCATTTGTGCATGTATCTTCAGTATCTGCGCTTCTGTAATTCCTCCCGTCAGCGCGACGACATCAGGTATCGGCCAACCTCTTATCCTGTTCATCAACATGTATGGGCAGCCCAACTCGTTGTCAAAAGTACAATTGTAGCCCAGGATTTCCGGAACTGGGATTGTGGTTCGCTCCCTGATGAAGGTAATAGTGGTGATCTCGCTCTCCATCGAGGTTGTCTCCAGCTGACGCGAAGTTTCCCTGTCGTGTCCAGGATCTGCTTGTTTGAACGGATTCCGGAGTCGAGCTGCCCATTCTACTCCGTCCTCAAAGCGCAAGAAGAACACGACATTCCGCTTCCCGATAGAAATGTTGTTTGTATCTACCAGGTGGCAAGGGATTCGGCGTATGGAACTGGCAATGTGCTCGAGTACGTTCTCCTTTCCCCTATCGAAGAATTCTTTGATGAAACGCTTTCCTGGGTCTCCTGGCAGATCCTGGAAACGACTCGGGCTTTTCAGCGTATACAAACTCATGGCACCTAACAATGCGCGAAGTTCAGCATCAGGACATAACATTGACCAAGTTCCCTACTTTTTCTGATTCACTGGATGCAATGTATGCGGGAGAATAAGTCTTAAAATCGCAATTGCGGCGTCTCCTTCGTATTTGTCTCTTACTCATCAATTCGTCTACTTGCATCTACAAGGATCGCCTCAGCTCGGAAATTTATGAACTGCTAGATCCTGTGCATGCGAACCAATTCTGTGAAGTAAACCAATCCCAAGGTTTTTCGACTCCTTCCGTGAAGAGCGGTAATGGTGTCGTCAACACGGCTTAACGCGGACACGTCAATATGCGTGGATTATTCCAGAATTACTTCAAGATAAAAAATGGTCGTGTGCATGTTTAGTGAGCCTTTCGGTTTCACCTTCAATAGGATTCTGAATCAATTTAGTACAGTCCCTGTAATCTGATATAGTCAATCACTAATGACTATATCACATAATATGGTCGTGTGCTGGTACATCGAATAGAGATAGATCTTGACTTCTCCGGGCTTTCTTGAATCACTAAGTATTAAAATGGTCGTGTGCAGTTAAAAATAGTGAGTTTTCGTCGATTCTATGTTTAAAGTTTCGGTATTACACTAAAGTATTTCTATTTGTACCATGGTCCCTGTATCATTGAACTCGTAATTTCGGAGCTCTTCGGAAGCCGTGAGCTTCTGCTTAGTGAGAGTTGAAGGCGTACTCACCGCAGTTGACGAATCTTTTTCCACCAACTATGTACCAGAACAATACTCGGTGTCCAACAACAAGTATATTCGTCTCAGGTCTGCTTTTGAGCTCCTTTAAGACCTCCGCTGCTCTTGCAGTGACATTTTCTTCGGTGTTCTCCTCGTAATCCCATTCCTCGTTACATCGTGTAAAATCAAGAAGGGGATACGCGGACGATATATCAGCTTTCGAGCTACCGTTATTGTGAGGAGCATTAGTCGCCTCGCGGAGATCAGGCCAAATCTCGATTTTTGGATCCTCGTTTAATTCGAGCTTGGAAAGAACTTTGTACATGGTTTGAATGGTGCGCTTCATGGGGGAACACACAACAAGGTCCGGGATAATTGGAAGTGCAACGGCTTCGGACTGCTGGATCCCAAGCTCTGTCAAAGGAGGATCTCGCTCTGGCCAGAATTTGTCAACGCTGAATTTACATCGGTCATATCAGTCACGGTAGAACCTGGATACGATGACCTGTATTATGACTTACTTGTGCATTGCCTGTCCATGACGAAGCATGTAGATGCGCTTCCCTGACAATGACATGATTCCGATAACTAAATCTACTAGGCAGATGAGTTAAAGTGATTCAGATACTTGAGTTCCGCTGGGTTTTAACAAGTTTTCACCACCGGTAGGTAAGAAATACGAAATATCAATTTGGAAAAATCCATAAGTACTATAAGCAAGCTACACGGTAATCCAGGTTTCCGTCTTTCCGATAATCAGGAGTACATACCAAGTGATGTATGTAGAGATTACCAGACGCATAACATTGATTATTGATCCACAAGGCTCCTATCTTCGCCAAAAATATGTACAATGAACCGGAATTTTCGCCGCGCAAGCTGGTTCGTGATTCCGAAACATGTACAGGTCGTATACTGTTCACGAGCTTTTCTGTGGCTAGACCGACCATTGAAAAAAAAAACTAGCAATGCCGTAGTATCAGGAATCCATTTGACATTTGGTTATTTCTCCAGACGGCCACCTCTTTTAGTGGAGTTCGAAGTCTGATTACTGGTAAATCCCTCCCCGATCCCTCCTGATGGCGCACTCTTCTTCGTTGACGGACTCTAAAATTGAAATTCTTGCAGCTATTGCCCTTGCCTATAGCACCACCTCGTTCAATTACTGGGAGCTGGAAAACATCGATCTCGTCCTCCGGGTGGTGGATTTAGCTGGTGAAAAGCTTCTTTCATTGACATTCTCTCTCTCGTACACTGTTGAGCAGCTGTATAAGCTATTGCATAGTTCATGGAATCATCCGAGCACAGAAGAGTTGACACCTGCGGGAATAATCTTCCTAGGAACTTCGGATTTTCCGCCTGACTTGGATCTCCCAAACTTTCCAGACGTCAAGTTTGCTGTGTCTTTGGATAATATTTCCGGAAAAATCGAGCTACATCCCACCTCTGAGTCTCGTTTTATCCTCCCTCGCTTCCACTCTCTACTATCCTTGCTCCACGACGCCACACCTCTCGAAACGGTTTTGTATGAACTCACTTCGGTCACGGAACATGAAGAAAAGCTACTCTTGCAGTGGGGTGTGGCCACTCCAGAGCAACAGTCTTCTGAGCATGAGTACTCCGCAGTGATTCATCACTACATTGAAAAAGTTGCTCGCGAGACTCCTGAGGCTGTAGCTTTGCAGTTCGAGAACCATACTTTTGTGCGTTATGGGGAACTCGATCAACAGGCAGATAATTTGGCGCGATATCTTGTTCACGAGCTTGGTGTCCATCCTGGAGACCTCGTTCTAGAGTTCTTCGATCGATCCGTAGAGATGATTATTGCTCAGCTTGCAATAGTAAGTGTCGTTTTATTCTATGTTATCTTCGGATGAGCTGACCCCAGATTATACAGTTAAAAGCTGGTGCCGCTTATGTTCCTCTCGACATTGTTCATCCCGTTCAACGGAGTCGAACGATCCAGGAGATTACAAATGCCAAAGTCTGCCTGACCACTGAAACTCTCCGAGAATCTGTTTGTGATCGTCTTCGGACTGTGAATGTTGTTGGCGTGGATACATTCCTTTCATCAATACCCTCAAAAGCGTCATGGCCTCCAATTTCCCACTCGTCCGACGGAGAAGACCTCTGCTATGTTATGTTCACTTCTGGAACAACCGGCACTCCCAAAGGCGTCATGGTCCAGCATTCCGCGGTAGTTGCCTCTGTGATCAACGGACCCGCTTATAACCAGACACTGCGCCAACTAGGTCCTAATCTTCGGACACTCATGCTTTCGAATTATGCCTTTGATTATGTACGTTTGTTCTGAATTTGACTCCTGTAGATTCGCCTTCTAATATCATCATCTAGTCGACTTGGGATGTATTCCTCACGTTGACTTCAGGGGGCTGTTTGTGCATTGCTCCTAAAGACACAATGCTAGTTGACCTCACTGGCATGGTCAATTCTATGAACGTTACATTCCTGGAAACCACCCCTACTCTTCTTTCACTCCTAGAGCTTGATGAATGTCCCTCTCTTCGATTTGTATATTCCAGTGGTGAAGCACTCTCACCTACCATTCACCGCAAGTTTCTTGCTCGCAAATTGGCTCAGAAAGGAAAAGGTGAATCAGAATTACTTTTTGCAAATGGAGGAGCTCCTACCGAAACAACTGTGATGTCTGTTTTTGGGCCCATGAACATTGGTGATGACTCTGAGCAACCTGTCTATGGTCGCCCATTCGGAGGGAACAGGCTCTACATATTAGACTCTCGTGGCCGGCTTTGCCCTCCCGGAACAGTAGGCCAACTGTGGATAGGCGGTCCGCAAGTCACGAAAGGGTATCTCGGACGTGATGATCTTACAGCAAAGGTTTACCGTCCGGACCCCTACGCGGGTAGCGGTAGAATGTACAACAGTGGAGATCTCTGTTCGTGGCGTTCAGATGGGCATTTGAGACACCATGGCCGGTCGGATACCCAAGTGAAGATTCGTGGTCAGCGTGTGGAGGTTAACGAAGTGGAAACTACAATATTGAAGGTTTTACCTGTGAAAGCAGTATGCGTGATAAAACATGCCTATCAGAGTCGAGAAGAGTTGCTTGCATTTGTGGTATCCAATGTGAGACCATCTGCGTTATATGTTTTCCAAGCACTGATGATCTTTAAGCAAGGAATTGTTCTAAAGAATCCCCAACAGATGCTATCGTCTCACCTTCCAACTTATATGGTTCCCTCTAGATTCATTTCGACTTCCGAGCTGCCGGTTACATCGAATGGGAAAACCGACCAAAAGAGGTTGTTACGCTTGGCTGACGATTTGGCAAGTCAACGACAAATCTCTGAAGCTTCCTCTGACTCCAGTCGACGGCCAACGTCCTCGGCTCAGGGTATCCTCTTGAAGGCGTGGTCGACCTCTCTGTCCTTGGCACCGGAAGATATACACAATTCTAGCGACTTTTTCACCATCGGAGGTGATTCTATTGCTGCCATTCGGGTTGCTGCCAGCTGTCGAGCTGCAGGTTATTTGCTCAATGTGGTAGATTTCCAAGCACATTCTAGATTCTCCGCGCAAACGGAACTCCTTGAAAATCGACCTTTTGTAGGGAACAGACCGGCTTTGCAACAATATACGCCTTTTGAATTGCTTGAAACAGGCATCCGAGACGTAATACTATCCGAGATAACAGAACATGGATACCAGTATTCAGACATCGAGGATGCATACCCGTCAATCAGCTCCGTGGCAGGCCTGGTATCTTTGGCAGTCGCAGATCCAATGGTATATTCAATGCTGATTTTTTTGGAGTATACAGTCTCAAATTTATTGTGGATATAGAGCTATATGGCGCAGTACAGCTTCAAGAACTTCCATAAGTTCGACCCCATCCGTATGAATACTGCCTGGAAACTGGTCGTTAGTCGTCACCAGAGTCTTCGAACGACTTTTGTCATAGCATCAGAGTTGGAGAGCAGCATAATTCAGGTCATTCTCAAAGCTAGCCAATTCAACCTGCCCTGGAATTACAAGGCGTTTGAAAATGATGCCGATATGGACAAAGCTGCTCAGGACTATATCTTGCAATCAGAAGGGTTTCGTCTGGGAAAAGTCCCAACAACGGTGGCTCTGTTCGAGGGTGATAACTCTAGTACTCTTGTCATTCAGCTGCACCATACGCAATTCGATGGCTGGTGCCTTCCTATAATCCTTGAACACCTCCAAGAAGCATATGCAGCCACCACAGTCTCTGAAGACTGGATCAAAGTCTCACCTCCGTTTTCAAACTTTATTCAATGGGTCTCCTCCCAGCCTCCGGCCGATGCCATCGATTATTGGAGGAAAAAACTTGAGAGCGTTGCCGTACCGAAATGGCCCAATAATGCGCCAAATATCCTCCTCAAGACGCCGATGAAGGGTACAACAAATCACTCGATTATATCAACTTTCAACGACACAGAAAAATTGTCAACTTTCTGTGCTGAACACGAGATAACTTTGTCGTCTCTGATATCTGCCGCGTTGGCGATGGTGCTCGGATTATATGAAGACTCAGATGACGTGCTCTTTGGGGTTGTCACTTCTGGAAGAACTGGCGATGTTCCAGGCATTGAAGATATCGTCGGTTACTGTGTATCCACAGTGCCTTGCCGCGTTCACATTCCGACAGACGTGTCGCTCGAGGCCATCGTGGAGGCAGTCCATGACGATCTTCTTGGCTCCACTCCCTACCAATTTCTTGGGTTGAACGATATCATCACGACTGCCTTCCCCATCCCACACGACATTCTTAGAGTTCTTCTGACCATCGAGAATCTTCCCGGTCTCTTTGAAGAGAACAGCGAATTTCTCGGTCAAAATCTTCGCGGCTTCGCCATCGACGTCTCGTACCCATTCGCTGTCACAGTCTTCCCTTCACCAGATAATCGCCAACTCAAATTCCATTTCCAATGGGACTCGGAATTCCTATCGAGAGCGGATGTTGACTGGTTTCAATCCCATATGTACGCCATCCTCCATGCTATTATCGATCATCCCTCTTCCCAACTCCGAAAATCAGACTTCCTTGCTAACGGGGAAACCGAAAACATCCTCTCGTTGGGCCGTAGTGTCCCTGACCCTCCTGCCAGTGTTCGTCCATTCTTTCATCAGCTAGTGGACGAAATGGGGCACCAATATCCTGATAAGATCGCAATAGAGCGTGATAACCATCAAGGCAGGCTCACTTTCAAAGAATATGTCGCTCGAGCAAACCAGGTCGCGCATGCATTACAAGGCAAAGGCGTACGTCCTGAGTACATGGTACCAGTTCTATTCAACCAGAACACAACCAACACCGATATCACCATTGCCTTTCTTGCCATTCTGAAAGCCGGCGGGGCATTTGTGCCATTGAACTCTGCATGGCCAGAGGACCGTCTTCAATACTGCATACATCAAACAAGAGGTCAGATTTTGATCTGCGAGACCGGATTGGAAGGTATTGCGACAAAGTTGGCTTCACTATCAGAATTACCGTTGCATGTATCGCGCATAGAGGATTTGGTCCGCGGTCAGCCTTCCTACACACCTGCGACACCGACGTTGCAAATGGACTCATTAAGCTGCGCGATGTTTACGTCTGGTACCAACGGGGAGCCTAAAGGCGTACTGATAGAGCATGGTAACATTATCTCCTCTATTTCCAAGTGAGTGCTTGTACTCTCATTATTTTCGTAGCTGACGAGGACATCATCAGCGCCGCTACACTATTCCCTCTTAACTGCGCAGAACGAATGCTTCACTTGAGCCCTTGGACTTTAAACCAAGGTCTGGTGAACTGGTTCTTGTCTTTAACACACGGGAAAACCTTGATCCTTGCAGACGCACAGAGCGTGGTGACAGACATTTCGGAGGTGGTCAATCGAACAAAAGCCGACTACGTTACGCTAACGCCAACACTTGCTCAGAAGCTGCAGCATGATATCCCGTATCCTCACTTGAAGACCCTCGTGTCCGAGGGCGACAAGCTACCACGTCAAGTCATCGAGCGTTGGAGAGACAGATTGGATTTGATAGATGCGTGAGTTCGGATTCAGATGTAGCCTCTCTTTTGCGTTCGTTGATTTCTTGGTTCCATCTCCGATAGTTACGGATCCACAGAAACCACAGCTCACTGTGTGTCAGCAAACCATAGCAGAGGTAGTCGACTTCATCCTGGGGTCATTGGTCGTCCGTTAGGAGCATCCCATGTGTATATTTTGGACAAAGATATGTCTCTAGTCCCAATGGGAGCGGTAGGCGAACTATTTATCGGGGGCACCCAGGTTGCGCGGGGATATTTCGATCTCCCCAACAAAACAGTCGAAGTTTTCCTCCGTGACCCATTCTCCGACGCAAATCGTATTTTCCGAACGGGGGACCTAGCGAGATGGCATAGTGATGGGACCATCGAGTACCTCAGACGAATGGAGGACGACTACGTCAATATCCGAGGATTGCGAGTGGATATCGAGGAAATCGAAACTACGTTGATGTTCAGTGCGTCCTCAAACGAGATCACAGCGGTGGTGCAACTGGTCGAAGTGGACAGTACATCACACCTTGCCGTGTTCTTCAGTGAAAAATTGGGTCATCCAAATGCCCACATAAGAATCTGCGAAGATCTTGCCAGCTATCAAGGACTGGTTCGAGAGCTGCTGCAAACATGTCAGCGTACACTCCCTACATACGCAGTTCCCTCGTTCTGGCTTGCTCTTGATACAATCCCGCTAGGACACAACAACAAAGTTGATCAAAAGCGACTGCGGGCGTTCTTCCAATCACAATCCCCGAAAAAGGTCCGAGAATATACGAAGACGCTCCTCGGTACATTATCCGATCGAGGACCCGAGACGCCGGTCGAGCAACTGTTGCACGATATGTGGCTTCCGATCCTTCTTCGTAGTGAGCCAATATCCGTTCATGACGACTTTTTCACCCTTGGAGGCGACTCAATCCACTGCATCCGGTTCCTGGCTGCCCTCAAGAGAAGAGGGTGCGAGGTGACTGTGAACGAGTTCTATAAAGCGAGGACAATCGCCCAGCTTGCGGATATCGTGTACGGGCGTCTTCCGGCGAATGCGAACTTATCAATTCAGAATGTAGAGTCTCCGCTAACCAATGGTCTGGTCGTCCAAATTCGGAGTGCATCTTCGAAACAAGACAAGACGAACAGTCCGATCTGGTTTGTCCATGACGGAAAAGGCCTGATTGGTCCACAATGTGAGTAAACCCTTTACTGCATCCAAGAAGAAAATTCAAGGCATACCATTCTAGACGGCGAATTGGGGAGTCTTGATCGCGAGGTATATGGAATCTCAAATCCGGCTACTACGAAGGCAGAGCTAGAAGCTGCTTATCCATCCTGGGAGAGCTTTGTCCAAAGTTACGAGCCACTTCTCCCATTGCGCAGCGTCTTCATCGGAGGTTGGAGCTCAGGGGGTAATATCGCTCTTCTACTTGCTGCTGAGCATGTACGCAAAAGTCGACCAGTGAAAGGCGTGATTCTGTTGGACAGTTACACAGGTGATGGATTCATACCCACAAAGAAGCACAAGACGGATTACCCGGATGATCCCGCGAAGGCTCGAGCATACACACAGATGAATCATATCGAGAAACTTCTGGTTGCCTACCCGGAGCCAGAGTCAAGCGAGCTGGAGGGAATACCAGTTTTGCTTATCCGAGCAGGATCAGATCCGATGGGTAAAGTGACTAGGGATCATCCAAATCAAACGAAAGAGAAATTGGAGAAGAATCTATGGTCAAAGGTCAAGATGGAGATCAAGGAAGTGAAGGAGGCAAATCACAAGTCGTTAATGGCAGAAGAAGAATTCCGCCAGAGGGTGGCTAAGATCGTACGTAGTTGGTGTAGAGAACTGGAGCAGACTGGATGATGTGGCATGAGACCGTAAACTTGGAAAAGTAAGAAGAGTTCGACGCACCCGTAATTTAGAAACTGTTTTTTCACGTATTATTCGCCCCATAGTGTTGTCTTTTTGTATTGGGTGAATTTGGCTCCATGGTATACCGCAACAAGCCACCAGGTCCACAGCTGAGCGCTGAAATCCTTTAGCTGACCTAATCATTATCGTAAGTGGTCGCGAGGGCAGACTCGGTGACAAAGATACATTACAGGTCGCTAGCGATCTGAAGTGTATGCGTTCCACAGGCGTACGTGGGGGTCAACCAGCTCGTGGTTTAGAAAATTTTGGGGAAAAGTCACACAGGTTATCAGACTTCACTTGAATATTCTTTTTCGCCTATCAGAGTCGGACAGACAAGCTACCAACTGCTATCAAATGGTATAATAATGATATCTACACGCATCTTGGAAATCCGGTGAAGGATGAAGAACCTTGAAGTGAGAATTCTGTAGAGCCCCATGCACCTTCCAAACTTGTACAAGTTATTGATCGCTCTATGTTCGTCAAGTCCAACATACTCCAGGAAAGGCATTGGTGTCATTGACTTTGGTCAATCGTAGGCTGCTTCTGACCTCCACGAGGATTATGAACCACAGACTGTGCTAAACCAGAGGTCTCTAGAAGCTTGGTTTGAAGATCGCGCAGGGCCTAAGGCAGACGTGCGAACATCAGGATAGATCAGGATGCGCTATTCTTGAGATCCGCGCCGCGGGATTCCCACTAGTTGATCTGTTCTTTCACAACAACACGTTCATCCTCAACTAGATAGTCCATATACTAGGGAGGTTGCCTAGTTCCTGGTAGAATGCTTTTAAGGATTGGGTCTGACTTTAGAGGAAGATGGGCCGCCGAAAAAAAAAGTAGGATCCCTGCTGCTTTTGAAGAAAAAGGACAGCGTTTTATTCAGCTATCCATCTGAGAGCTTCTGACGAGTGTATCATTGAGACGAAGATGGAATCTCTAAGAGAGAATGCTGAGGCACTGCCACGAGGATGCAAATCATTCGCTATCAAAGCTAGACTCGAGCCAGTAGCTTCGTGCCGAGAAAGTGATTCCGCATATCGCTTCTCAGCAGCAGACTGGTTCGAGTCTATATCAAAGCTATGACAGGAGAATACATAGCGACCACGAAGAGTCAAGACTGAAGTATTCGAAACATATCTGTAACTCGAGAGTGATGGTATTGCATAGACTAAGCAATGCTAAATTATGATTAACCCTCCAACATTTTCAAAAAATATCATCCATTGCTGTTAAATACCAATCCTTTTCTAGTTCCTGCTTCTTATCCTCTGCAAGACTTCCTTCGTGTTACCATTAGGAACAAGTAATGATAGGGCATCCTGCCATTGTTCCCGCTTTTATTGAGGCTTTTCCAATCCGTTCCGAATTTGAAGAGACTGATAAAACTAAGTATATAGATCCATTATCCGAGGAAAAAAAGTAGACTTTAAGGAGAGCAATGACTGTAGATATGGGTTTCCTAAGAAAACTAGCAAGGAGGCACAACATTAAAGCATGCAAGTCCATTACAGTGTCCAATGAACTAGGGAGTGGTAAGGTTGTAATGAGGGTATACAAAAGGAAAAGATATGCGAAATGTTAAAGATAGGTGTAGATCACTTATAGGTATATATATGACTGAAAGCAAGGTGAAAGCGCAATGTTATTACCAATTCGAGCAAAGTACTCGCGTGAAACAGCAAACCCAAACTCATGTTGAGGGCAAGGCATCGCCCGGTTCACGCTTTGTAGGTGTGGCGGCTGCGTAGTTCGTAAGGCTAAATTCTAGGAACTATGAATCGAAGGGACACTTACGTTCCGCTTCATGCTTACTTTCAACCTCATCATGCATGGCCTCGTACGATCGAGTGCCATTTCCAACTTCAGACTCTTTCACATCATCAGCATCGTCGGCCCCAATTTCATCACCGACCGCCTCCCCTTTTCCATCAACATCACCAGCTTCACCAGCCAAAGCAGCAGTGACAATCTCGCTAGAATTGAGTGCAAGTGCAGGTCCAACCGTCTCTCCAGCAAAAACAACAGTTGCCGGTGCTGGGGACAGATACTTATCAGGTAGGTCGTCGGAAATATCATCATCACTAATGTCTTCCGGAACGTTTCCTTTTAGCTCTTCCGGATGAGTATCTATGACTACAGGATGAGCTGAAGGACTGGCAGGAGGAATTACGGGCGCATTGACGACGGGCACCTCAGATAGTGAGACTGTATCGTTTTCTAGCCCCGGAGACGATTCACGAAGAGGTTCAGAGCGAACAAGAGACTCGTTCTGTTCAGCTTCGACATCGTCGATAGTTGCGGGTTGCTCAGGAACCTCAACGACATCTTCTGCGGGTTCGGAATTCTCCCGCGCTATTGCGTCCTCGTTCACAGTCTTTGCATGCTCAGAAGTCGGATTTACGGAAGTGGCGGATTCAACAGGGATGGAGGGCATCAAATCTGGTGCATGATTATTTGACGGTTCCACAGAGGTATCTGGTTCCTGAGGCTTGATTTTAACATTCTCTGCGGATTCAGGGACTTCCTGGCTTGGTTCTGGAAGAGATGTTTCAAACGCTGGTGGACTGACTACTACTTCTGAGGCAGCCTCCATCTCTGGGAGTTGAGTATTTGAAGCATCATTGGATTGCTCAACGGCAACTGGAATATTGTCTTCTGTTTCAGGTGCAGTATCCTCAGGTAGAGATATCTCGTGAACTCTCTCTGCAATGTGAGTAGCCGGTTCTGTGGCTTCAACCGAAACAGCAGAAGCGTCTACCAGGTCAACTAGAGTGCTTTCGATGGGTGCAGGTGGTGGGGGATCGAGTTCCGACGAAAATATAGTTGTCGAAGCTTCTGACAAGGCCAAGGCTTGCGAATCTTCAAGATCGTCCGTGGAAGGAGTAATGATTTCTGCCTCCTGAGCGGGCGCTTCGTTGACAACAGGCAATTCTTCTGCTGGTTTGATGTTTCCGAATCGTTCGACAACAAGGTCCGCGGAGCCTGACTCGAGGTTCATGGAAGCAATAGCTGATGCAGGACCATCTTCCACCTCCTCCACAGCAGCTTCGGGAGGCAACTGAGACTCGGCTTGGGGGCCATCGATTTGTTCCTGAACTAGAACAGATTCTGCCCGAGATGCAGGCATAGTCTCTTCCGGTGAAGCAGGTTCGGGTGCATCCTCTACAGTTGTAGAAATAGGCCCCTGAGGTGAAGAAACATCACGGGCATGTTCAGGCTCCTCAACCAAAGTTGCCTCGGCTGTCTCCTCTGCAAGTTCCTGTACAATAGGTTCGTGGATAGATCGTGCGGACCCCCAAGAGTCATTGACAACTGTCTCTTCCGTCATAGGCTCAGGCTCATCAGTTGTGGTTGGTTCGATCACAAATATTGGCGCAACAGCGGGTTCTTTCACAAATTGCGCGGGCTCTGGGATTGATTGACTTGCGTCTGATGCGGACACATTTGTCACAGGTTCCTGTACATCAGTAGGTTCTGTGACAGTCTCTAGAGTGACAGGTTCATCCTCAACAATCTCATCTACTGGTACATCCACAACAGACTCGAGTTCCTGCACATCTGGGATTTGCTCGGCGACCTCCTCAAGGGTAGTCTCCTTCTGAACCTGAGGAGCAGGTTCATCGATGGCGAGCTCTACTGGAACATCGGCATCCGCTTCGATGGCTTCAACAGCAGGCGCTGATTCAACAACCGAAGACGCAACGACTTGTGGAAGAAGCTCTGGGGATGTAGACCCGTCAAACGCAGCTCTAGGATCGGTCTGGATTGTCGAGGAAAATTCCTTGACGGTAGAAGACTCTTTTGGAGCGATATTCATTAGTCTTTCAATAGGAATTAGGGGACTAAATGGAAGGTATTACCTTGTGGTGGCGGCACAGCTACAGGGGTCGAACTTCCTATCTCTTGCTCTTCCTTCAACTCATCGAACGCTTGCATTGCAGCAGGGATTAAGTTTTTTTGCTGTTCTTCCATGTCAGGATGTGGGACGTTTTGTTGGACTTCGACTGCAAGTTCAGCGATATCGGCGGAAACACCAGCAGCCCCTATGCCGGTGAACGCGACAGCCACGCCTGGTGATACTATACTCTCGCTACCAATTTCCGCCTTCGCATGAGCCACAACAAGGTCCTTCTTAGTCTCCTGGACTTCCTGCTCTTCCTCAACTACTGCCGGTACTTCAACAACCTTCTTGGGTGGTGAAGCAACTTTGGGTGACTTTGGTTCTTCCTGTGCGAGTATTTCGCCCATTTCCCCTATTTTTACGCCTTTGACTTTCTTTTTGGTAGTAGGGGATAGATCCTCTTTTTCACCCTTATCTTTCTTCGAACCTCCCCAGAAACTGAAACGTTTTACAGAGGCATTTACAGATGACAAGGAAGGTCGCGGGGATGATGCTCGCATAGCCGGTGATTTGGGAGAGCTTGTAGATTCAACCGTGGTCTCATGAGCGCTGGTGTCAGTGCTGTGCGATGTAGGACTTCGGGCTACGGAAAGGATTTTCGGTGCTGGCTTGATGTACTGCTGCTCGACCACGATCCACTCTACTTTCTTTGCTTGCGTTCCAATGCTTGTTTTCAGCCTACAGACCACAAACTTGGGCCAAGCTTCGACATCAGTAATCGGGTCGAGTAACGAGTCATTCCAAAAGTCGATGAACCCCTCATCCAGAGGGATGAGCTCAACTTTGGTTACTCGCGAGCTGGTTTTCGCAGTTATACCGGAAGTAGTAGTTAGATCATTTTGCAACTGAGACCATGTACCAGGTGTAGTAGGAATGGTGATAGGAGGGAGAACGTCCAAGCTCCTTCGGGATTGGTGGGGTGGTGTTTTCACTGATTTTTTGCTACCTTTCCTGGATGGAGTTACGCTGGGAGATGTAACTTCACTGTCTTTGCTTTCCAAAAGAGTCTCGGCAAGCGGAGTCAGTAATGGACTCGACTGCGAAAAGCCGGAAGAGGAGAAACTATTCCAATCCAAGTTCAGGCCAAGATTATTGAAACTTGGCCGTTGCGGCATCGCAGTATCAGAAGAAGACACTGACAACTGTCTCGCATGAATGCTAGTGCTTCTCTGTCCGGGGCCAGTTCGATCAGTATCCTCCTTGGGTGAGTTGGTTCGAGAGACGAAATTGATTGAGGACTCTCGTTGAATTTCATCATCCGCAAGTAATGAAAGTATTCCTAAAGTTTCGTCACTCAAGACACGTCCAACGGCAGGAAATCTGCCTACACTGGGAGAATAAAGAAGTTCTTCATCTCCTGCAGCGGCGGTTTGCTGTACCTCCCGCCATATCGAGTAGGGCGGTGTATCTGTAGAAGGGGTGATCGCATTCAAAGCATCCGCGACCATCTGTAGGGAATGCCTTGATGCCTTCGGGCCAGAAAGCGGGCTTTCTGTGTCAATGTGCACAAAAAGCGCGTCATAGCGACGCGTAGAGAAGCGTGGGCGAGGAAGAAGATCGTGTTCTGTGGATGATTGGGTGATTCCAGCATATGGATAGTGCTTAACCAATTCGACTAAGCGCTTTGGCATGCGATGGTGGGCAATTTCATTTCTGCATTAACACCGAGTATAAGCGATCAACGAAACACGAGACAGAGAGGGGGTTACTGGGAAAAGGAACCAGGAGAATCACGAAGAATGCACTCACCGAATATGTGATAGGAAAAGATGCTCCAGGATACGGCCGTGCTTATCCCACTTGTGGTAGAATGCCAGGAAGTCGTCGCCCGGTGTAGATCGTTCGGCGGTAAGGAGCCACAGGCCAAGGAACTTGGAGAGCTTGCTCCCGGATATACTGTTCGCTTCGGAATGTGCTGCTAACGAGGAAAATAAGTTCAGAGTGGTTGTCAAGAGTTCCAAATTAATGGCCGGAAGCTGAGGAGCTAACATTTCGGTGAAAGAGTTCAATGGGTAGGAGGCAGACTTTTCGGCTTTGAAAAAGTTGTGGTACCAAGTTGGATCATTGCCAAATGAAGCGCCTGGAAGCTCAAGGTGACGAATAGCCCATCGAAAGACTGCTGCCACGTCGTGAGCGGAACGAGTGGAATTGACTTCGGATTCGAAAACGGCTGCTGGAGATTGTATGAAGAGTAGAATCAACCTCTGCTGAGTTGCCGATGAAGCTGAGTGCCAGTGCGGATGCATGATACCCAGCGTTTCCAAACCTATCAAGCGGATGAAAGGATCGTATATTTGGCGAAAGAGTTACACGCACCTCGAGTGATAATAACTTGTGAACATGAACGAACGATTTCAAGGGCTTGTTCAGGAGACAGCCGTGTCCTCCCAACTGCATCACCATTCTCGAAGACATGACTGAGAACGCGATTTTCCCTCCGCTCGGGTAGATTGAGAGAAAGGTGAGGATAGTCGGGGCCTTTCTCCAGCGAAGGGCTCGGAATTACATATTCAAATTTGCCTTCGAGAGGAGATGCAGAAGATTTTGAACTGGTCGAGGCTTTATCCTCGTGCTTTTTGCGTCCAAAGACTTTAGACAAAAACAAGGGCATCCCGAGGTCGTACCAGAAGAAAGAAATACAACGACGGATAAGCGCCCACGAGTCAATCTCGCTTACGCGTCAGATGAAATAGTATTTCCGTAGCTAGAGTATACAAGAAGATCTTTTATGTAGCATGAGCGTCAAGCATTATCAATGAAGCAGAATAGTAATGGGCATGAGATAGTAGTCTGATCATTGGACAGTAGAACCCCAGAACGAAGTAAACCATTGTTCAGCAGCGGCTAGCTTTGCGAAGCCTCTAGGTCCAGAGAATCCACCAGCAACGAGGAAAAAATGCGCTACAGACACTAGACGAAGAAATGTTAGGAAGGGGCCGGTCTAGGCTTGAAGGAGGACCTACCTGCGGTGATCACTGCTAGGACCGAAGATACTGCGATCCCACTGCTATATTGAGCCTTGGGGGTCACAGGCGAGTCCTTTCGGACTTGTTCTGGGTCCTCTAGAATAGCGTTGAACAGGTCTCCATTATAACGAAACACATCTTTGGCTTCTTGTGCAATCACAGCTAATAGAACGAAGCAACGCACGTAAGAGACCCGGGTGAAGGAGATGACTAAATCTCCAATACCTTTGACTGACGTATTATCACCTGCACCTTCGTTCATACCATTCCTGAACCAATCTTTGATGCGCTTCATTTCTCCCAGTGAAGCAGGCTTGGAAGATGAGAGTTCCTTGAATGCATAGAAAGATAACCCTTCCCCAGATGCCTCATCCAAATCATAAGCCTTAGCCAAAGAGTGGCGAATAGTCTGTCCTCCCGATAAATCGCCTAAATATCGGACGTACGCATGAGCAACGAGCGGTGTAGGATCTCCAGAGTTAGAAATATCATGAATCCTGTTGACATATGTAGACATGGCCTTCGGCGGGGAAGTGATCAATGACTGATGAATAGGATGAGATTTCCATGTCGACTCTGAGACTTGCAAGAGCTGCGCTATATCGGAGGAAAGTGATGGCGCACGTCTGAGAAGTGGGGGGTTGTATGTCGGCTCGAGGACGGGATGTGTGGCGTGCCGTTCTAAACCTTCCTCCAATGCGGCATAAATATGCCAAAGCATCATCAGAAAGCGTACATATTCTGTCTATGATGAATGAGCCAAAATTGTATCCAGAAAAGGAGCAGCTATCTACCTTTGATAATTCGCCATTGGACAGCTTTGCAGCCTCTGGTGAAAACGCAATACCATCGTGCGCTTCTTTCGTCGACTGTCGGAGAATATCAGATAATGGTTGGCTGAGGTCGAGCGTTGAGGAAGTCATGGTGGCAGAAGGATGACAAGCTGTTGCACAAGGCACCTTGAACTTCAAATACCAGACACCGGCACAGCTTACGCAGTCCAAGAGAGAGATAAACCAAATTAAGACGCAACATCAATTGAAATGTATAGTTGCATGGCCTCGGTTGTTACCGTGCCGCTTAACATAACCAGACCCAACCTTTCCTTATCAGATTTACACGGGATATCATTACATGGAAGGGTGACATAGGATTCATTGTACGGAGAGTGCGGTCAAATAATAGCAATACAAAGGCCCAGCCAGGGGGCGGGCAGCGGAGTTTTCCGTGAAATCAACTGGTGCAGACCCCCCCGTGTGAACTTTGAGTTGCCGATAGCGGCTAGCATCGGCTGTCTTGATCCCGTTGATCTGTCTGCAGTGTGCACCGTCGACGACACCTTTGTTCTCCTTGTTTTCCCTTTCATATCAATATATTCTTTCTTAAATCATCATTTTCTCTTTGCTATAATAATGGGCCATAAACAAGCACCTACAAGACATGCATCTGTAGCAATCATTGTCAATAATGGGCTTGCTATCTATTATCTATACAATGTTCCACCATTCAGAACAAAATACCCTGTGATACTTAGACAAAGAGGAGATAGGCAGGTACATACAGCAGAGTGCCAAGTTCAAATAAGAGTCCGTATTGCTTACAGTCTTTAGAGGTTCACACTGGGTTCATTGCACCCTGATCGCACCAATGCGCCGAAGTTCTGATGCCATGTTGCCGTGGCTGGCAAGTCAAAGTTCGCACGGGGGGGGTCTGCACCAGTTGATTTCACGGAAAACTCCGGTGCCAGCCCCCTGGGCCCAGCGGAAACGGTCAACACCAAAAGTGGGATTTAGTGTTCTAATAAGGGCTAATAAGGGGTTGCAAGGTATGGCGTTATCTGGGCGTTATATGCCGTTGTATCATCAATATCATGGACTTTCAGCTGGATAAACACCCTAGAAATCTATGATATAAATGAGGTTAATGAAAAAATTGACGCAAAACTCACAATCGAATCTAGCACAGGGGGTACCCTCGAAGGATTCGATATTGTCCGCTTTCTGGGTGGTTTGTAAACCCTCGCGGAATGAGAATAGTCTAACGACTGGGCGGGTGACCTTGCACGACAGACGCTAGCAACAGCTGAAAACATTGAGGGGAGAGCCATTGATGCTTCGTGCTTGTAGTCTGTCGTTTTCGTGTCATGCTCTAGTGCTACGTGATGGTAGTCTACTTAGAGAAGTTTGACGAGTCAAATAAGTAAGGATGACTTACTGATTTCCGAATCGGGTTTATTGACGCCCATCTGAACTCCACCCGAAATAACGCGCCAGGTGACGGCGAAATATCCTTTCTGCCTTTCCGCCTCAATATGTGTCAACGGCTTTGAGGGAAGGGCGTGTTCAGGCGAGCGAGGTTTGGACTCAGAAGTTATCTTGATGCTAGGTCCTGTGGTTTTCTCAGACCCTGATGATGCTTGCGACGAATCTTTGCTAGGGAGTAGCGGAACGGGATTTGAATGAATACTATGAGAAACGTTGTCAGACGGCGAAAGTAACTTGATCTGGACATGAGTGACTTACAATGTACAGTCGTCTCCTTTTGGGCAAAGCCTTTTGGGCGGTTTGTGAAATTTACATCGTACAGCTGGTACATTTAGTCGTCAGTCGTAGTTGGTATAAGCGTAGATGGAATAACATACTCTTATACGGTTTGCGTTCAACATTGGAGTGTAGCTTGGAAGAGTTATCATCCGAGGTAGTCTGAATGTTTTGAAGTTGTGCCTTTGGTATGCCAGAAGAGCCAATGAATAACGTAGAGCCCGCACAATGGTCGACCGGAACGACGATGCATTCGGGTTTATTCAAAGGATCTTCGACCACTGGTGCTCCTCCCATTACTTGAAAATTATTTAAGTGGTGATGATCAGACACTGTGGCCAGAGAGCTTGTAACGCTGGATGAATCCATCGAATTACTACGTGAGATATATCCGGGTTGAAGAACAGGAGAGTATAATTCTTCGGGGTGGTATTGCGATGGAGGTGGCAGAGGAGGCGGAAATTGGGGATACGACTCGGATAGCCAAAAGGGCGACAGATAAGAGACAGCATTCGTCACCGGCAGTGGCGGCGCATACGGAGAAATATCTAGAACAAGTTGTGATTTCGACTTGAGAACATAGAGGGAGAAGAGCGTACATTGAGTAGGTATATAGCCCGTGTCAAGTAGAGGAGGAGCATTGATCCAATTGGGATCAACTAAATAAACACGATAAAGACACTAGAATATGCTGGAGGTTCGATATCGCCTACCTGCGATTGGTAGATAATACTGGGGATCATGCCTAAATCGACAGCTATTTCCGTTCCGACAGTAGCCAGCGTCATAAAATCGGCAGAATTGTGCACTGTGGTGAACGTCGGGTGGCATGATAGATGAAAAGATATGTGCAAAGTTACAATGCGCTGCAGAGAGAGGGCAGGTGCCTGTTTGGAAGAACCTGCACGGTTTGGCTGCGAATTTCGTAAACAAGAGGTTGAATGATTATTCCGAGAAGACAATGGAAAAAGAGTAGAGCCGTGAGTCACTTACTGTGTCGCTTTCTTTCCTCTTTCATCTTCGGCTGGCTGACAGTCATGATATGTTGGATAGCGAATCTAGGACCTGGGAAATGTGGAGAGAAGAAATTGGATATGGTAAGTAGAAGGGCACGTCGGGGAGTAATAGGATCTAGGTTGGCCAAACACTTTATATTTACTCTGATCAAAGCCCCCTTTGGGATCTGTAATTCGCATATGGTCTTCTTTTACTTACTTCATATATCATAAACAATGATGCCTTATAATACCGGCCTTGGCCACTAGCAGGTCGGAAATCAGGTCCGTGGCACTGGAGTGGCCGGCCGCAGGAGGCGCGATCGTAAGCTACGCGGGCAATGAAGTTCAATGACAATAGATATCTCTGCAGAAAACACAAACCAAGATCGAAACTTGGGACTTGCAATCAGGAAAAGAGTCGTTATTATATGGGTTATGGATTGTTCACCTTAGGGGAACGTTTATGCGTCTCCGAAACAAAGCAAGAGTGCCCAAAGTTTACACACACGAGGTTTATTGGAAGGTTCTAAGGAAGACGTCGTCCTCACTAACCCCTTCATCACTGGTGTTGTGTTTCTCAAATGAGACGTGCAACATGGCCTGGCGAAAAGAACAAAAAACAATAGAAGGCCTACCCATTATTTTGATGAATCGTTTATTGTTGAGAAGTCAAATAAAGAGCCAATGTCAATTGCGGGACCTATCACTTGGACCTTATTGTAATCTGTATTTCATGGGCGTAAAGAACCTCCGGGGGGAAGCGGAAATTTGATCTTCATGCAATTATGAGAAAAATCCATCGATGTAAAGTAATAGGCTCAGACATGAGATGTTCAATCGACGGTCAATATCAATCCAGGTGGAGTTTTACACGTATGTTGTGGAACCAGAAGCGTCGGCACGGAGCCTGATACTAGGAGGGGCTAGCAAGACTGTTGATAAACATCAGCCTATCGTACGTCCTTCATAATCGCTGAGAGCCACATCCGCGAGCTCCGATTCAAACGATCTACATCACTAGCAGAACATTGGACTCGTCCTTTGCTTTTTAGCTTTCTTTTTGGTCATGAGATTGGGCTTTGTAAATGGTCGAAACTATATTATGTCCGACATTCAAGTCGGATAATGGCAGTGAATGAAGCTACTGTCAGTGATGCAAACCATACGGTAGTGCCTGGTATCCTGACCAGAATGGCTAGTGATCATAAGTCTTAGTGAGTCTCGTGAATTCGCGTCACTAGGAGCTTAGAAGTTTCATTATGAGAACATGCAGGTGGCATGAAGAGCACTCTTACCATCGAAGAAAACGTTTTGGTTCCTTTTGGATAGCAACATCGAATCCAAAGGTTGTAAATTTCCAAAACCTGCCTCTTCAAAGTGCTGAAATGGGTGAGCTGAGCCGGATTGCTGCGTCTACATCTTCAGACATCGGATCAGAGCAAGGACCATCTGGGTAGTCATAAGCCATGCGATGTATTTTTTGCGAAGACTAGACACTGCAGACCAGTGACCAGACCAAAAGAGCATCATATGATTACGTGAGCATATGCCCAGACTGCGAATCACAGGTCTCGACTCAAGCTTCACCCACTTTATTACTTTCAGAATCACGTCGCCCGACATCTTATTACAATCATTTCTTGCCTATCTCAACTTACTTCTTCGAACTGAAGAGCCATGGCTCCAGTAGCGAAATTACGATCCATCAGCGACGCATTTATTGCGATTTTTATCCTATTTCTTCTACCGCCAGAAGTCTACCCCTTCCCGCTAGGTGCCGGTACAAAAATATCTTCTTTGTTCAACAGTATGAATTCGGAGAAAGGCTGGTGGGGATGGGCCTGGGGGGCAGAGAGTACCGTCACCATCGTGGATAGATCCCCTGTAGTTTCATTCTCCTCGAGACCCGGTCAGTTTTCATGAAAGAAAACAACGAGCTCCGCACCTCTGAAAAGTTTATCTTGTAGCTGCGTTTGGCGCTGAGATCAACAGCCCAATACTTGGATATGTCCTCCCTTTGTCGTCTTTCACGAAAACATGTCCCTCCATCCCCAATTCCTTACTGGACCCTCCACCTAATACCGGTTGCCCCGATTTATGTTCCGATGGACCGCATTTTCCAGATGCTTCCGAGTCCTGGATAGCCTTGGTGCAAAGAGGAAAATGCGAGTTTGTAAATAAGGTAAGAGAAGCGCAGAGGTTGGGAGCGAGAGCTGTGGTTGTTGGTGGAGATGATCCTGAGGTATCAGGTTATCCAGATACATTGGTGAACATGTACAGCCCTGGTGAGTAGGTAGTTTACTGTGTTCAGGCTTGATTTTTGAACTGTATTTAGAGGATGCTTCCGACGTTCAAATTGCTGCAACGTTTATCAAATATTCTGATTACATAGAGTTGTATCGGCTCATCTCAACATCGAATACCTCTCACGCTGGTCTGCATACGTTGTCTCTACTCATAACAGCAGAATATTCTGCATGGGAATGGTATTCGTGAGTGTCACAAGACTCTAAATTTTGCTTTTAACTGATCATCACCAGACCGATCATAACATTCATCATCATCTTGCTGCTTCCATCCATATTAACTTTTGTCACCCTCCTTATTCACCGCGTCCGAGCTGCACGAGCTGCCCAGAGAGACCGAGCGCCGGAGGAATTTGTTCATAGTTTGCCATGGAGAGTATGGACCGGTTCTGGCTGGGAGAAACACGAAGGCATTGAGGACGCTGATGCAGTTTCCCCTTCATTTGATGTCGATATCGAGAGTCATCCGCGTCCTATCCATGAAGAAGTTGAGGATCAATCTGAATCCAGCTCTCCTTCATCTTCAGATCCCAACCAGGATGGAAATCAACCATGGTTCGAATCTCAGGTATGTCCTTCCTATATATCTACTTAAGCCTCGGAAGTTTTGATACCATTGATTTCATTCCGCATGTGCAGACGGAATGTGCAATATGTTTGTCCGACTTTGAAAAAGGTGACAAAGTACGCGTTTTACCATGTCATCATCTGTTCCACATGCATGAGGTCGATGAGTGGTTAATACAACGGAAGAAACTCGTGAGTACTCCGCTGGCCTTTACCTCCGAATTGGCTAACGTAGGCATAGTGTCCTGTGTGTAAAGCAGACGTTACACAACCTCCTCAACCACAATCTCATCATTCAAGTGTTCCTGCAACCGACGTCACATCCACATCACATAATGAAGCTACGGAAACAACGCCTCTTCTTTCGAACTCACGCTCTCTGACTGAGGCCTAATCCACTCACCTCCTTTTGTTTCTTTGCTTGAATTTCACGAACGCCATGTCCAAAGCATTGTAGGATTCTTCCAAGCTCGAATAGTGACGATTATTATTGTATTGTAAATCTTAGTATAACCAGAGTAGTTATTTCCCATCTCATTGTTTCTCGAGTACATGTCTGGTACATGTCCAAATCCAGTGTAATGCGTGGAAGGAGATTATCGAGACGTAATTACTGATCACAAGTAACGCGATGTTGCTCGCTGCAGGACGCACATCAGAGAGATGTCCTCATGAAGAATTGAAGACGCACCTATCTGATCAACGAGCTCATCAGGCCTCCCTCAACATTTGCTTCAGCTGCGGTCGAACAGTGGCATGTACATTTTTGAAAACCTCCTTCTTCACTACTGGCTCAATTCGTAAATTCGGGGGCCAGTCATCAGCCGCCGTAGCCTTTTTCTGGGTAAGAATGTCGATGATTGTGAGTTGGACTGTTTTTGCAGCAGCTTTCGCCACCTCATGTAACGGAGGATTGAATTTCGTCCTTGATGGTAAAGAACTACGAGGGACTATTTGTATAGATCGAACCAAAGAGGACCGCATCCTGGATATTGGTCTAGAGAAAAGCAGTGAGTATTTATTGTACTCTGATGGCACTGGGAAAAGCGTACTCTTGTGGTGGTCGTGGACCAAATTGTGGGAATTCCAATAATCACACTTAGTACCTTACCTCTATCACTGTCAGACCTCTACTGTCTCAAATATTTCAGCAAATCCCTGTATATGTGTACAGCGTAACTAAGGCTTCTACTGGATATAGAAATGAGTAAGGACTCGAAAATTGAGGAAATCCAATGTATGTCTACTTTCTCCTAGAATTGGCGTATTCTCGAATTGCCCACTTTTTGCAGCACCCGCCGTGGTTCAGAATTCAACACAGTCGAAAGAAATTCCTATACTAATCGAGCAAAACAGCTCGCAGTCCTCTACGTACTCTGTGGCGTCAGTTGCTGCTGTTATTCTCGCTGGTCTGTATCTTGTTGCCTTTCTTTTGTATCTCTCCATTGAACCTTCCACAGGTTCAATAGCACACTTATTCCTCACCTGGGGTGGGTTCACAGGCCAAAAAGGATGGGATAAGCTCGTTGCAGTAGAGGATTGGATTGCGACGTTTTTTCAAAGTTGATTTCTTCGCAGCTGCTGGCAACTGTGTCTCGTCAGATCAGGATATTTCATCAATCGAAGCTACCTAGTAGACACCTGTTATACCACGGAAATTTTGGATATCCATGTGAAGAGGTCCAAGGCACGCTCTATTTTTCCAGATTACTCCACCTTCGCCTCTTCCAATTCTCTGTGATTCTCATGGTTAACTTCTGGCCAGTCGCACTCATGGAAATGTCCCGGCAACTTGGTATATAGCGAGCTGGTAAATTTCTACCTCCATCCTCAATTGTAGACCCACCTGAGAATGCTGCTTCCAGTTGGCTTCCGAATCATAGGTCTGACTTCCGGTGCCGCGTGAACATGATCATATAGGATCATTTGCATACATAGGTCATATACGGCAGATATTGACTCATCAGTGTGCATCCAATGATTGTCCTGAGTACAGGTTGAGAACAAATGGGAAGCGCCTTTTCAAAAACCCATGGGGTGATTATTTAACATATGTACATACACCGAAAATATTACAATCTTTAACGTAGAATAAGAGCATATCGAAAACGGATTCAACGAGGAGAAATAAAATTACTGACTGCGATAGAGACGAAGACGAAGCAGGCAAAAGAATAACCGAGGTAAGCCTTAGCGGTTACCTTGACTGAAATTGACTTCATCCAATAAGCCCGAATCTTGCATAAAGGAGCTCCACCTCTCATCTAATCTCGAATCCCTCGAGGCCAATCCAAGGTCTGCTAACGCGGCATTACCTGGTGGATGCATAGGAAGAGAGTGAGGTGGAATTGGCGGACCAAAGCCCGTAACGCCAGGCCCGGAATACATTTGAGTTGGTGGTGGTGGGTTGTGAAAGGAATGCATAGGTGTATCAGATGGCATCTGCGATGAAGAAGGTCCGTACTGTGGATGACTCAAACGCACAGGGGATGATGAATGGCGAGACGGATACGGAGAATGAGGCGACCACGAATATGTGCTTGCCGTTGCAACAGGCGAAGGTCCACTTCGGCTGCTACGGTCATATGAATAGTTAAATTGCATCGGCTGGTGAGGTGAGCGTTCATCGATAGATGAAGATGCTGGAGCAGGAGGAATGCTGATGGTAGGCGGATGGTTGTTCTGAGTATGCATATCGTAGTCTTCGCGATGACGCTGATCATACCACCCATTCATGGAGGTTGAATGGGAACCACGATCATTTTCCTGATAAGAGCTCGAGAATGATGCGCGATGATGAAGCGGGCGTAGTGAAGTTACAGGATGGTGCTGTTGGTATGATTGAGAAGGATGTCTATCATACATTTGGTCATATTCCATGTCTACATCTGTATGGTATTGCCGACGTAACTGTGAGCTTGATCTATGTTGCCGGAGACCAGTCGTGGGACCATTCATGCTCGCCACAGGAGTTAGGATGAAGCCTGACGGACCTGCAATCTGTACACCTGCGGGAGGTATTTCAGAAGTTCCTGAGGTTACAGTCGTCGCAGAAACTAGACGTGTATGCCCAGCGAAGATAGACAACTCGTCGTTGAGGTCAATTTCCTCTTTCTTGATATTCCATAGTTCTCCATCGGCAAGAGGTTGCTCAGGACTTTTAGACTGAGCAGCGGCCAAAGCAAGGCGAGCCTTTTCACGAAGCGTTGTTAAGATTGGCTGCGGATACAAGTTTCAGGCTCAGCTAAATTTTTACGATGATGAATTTGGGCGAAAACTAACTAGAGCTTTGGTCGCACGTTTGCTGTATATTGCTGCCTTGGAGAACAGTATCCACGCCTGATCAAGCTCTGTCATCGCAGAAGCAGCGAGGGGAGAGCGGGGACCTCTAGTCACTACCGTACCAAAGACCACCTGCCGAAAAAGTGATTTAATTAAATGTCGATTATGTGTGGCAATACTTACAGCAGCGGTGAAAGCAAAAGTCCACATCGTCCAGAACCTGGCACATGAATTGGGCCACAGTATGAATTGCTCCCTGACGGACTTGAGGATTGCAGCGGAAGCACGGTATGCTGCCAGGAAGGATGGGGCGTAAACGGATTTCAAAGGATTAGTCGGTTGATCGATGATAGCTTGAGCAAAGAACGAGCGATGTATATACATAAGCACTAGAATCATTTATTGTTTATCCCAAGTGTGATACTGGCAGATGGCTCACCCGTTTCGCGAATATGATCCAAGACACATTTCATGAAGGAAAAACTCATGTCACTGTCTTGACATTCAGACTCGGCTGTAGGTGGATTGGCGTATTTTGATGCAGTAGGGAACGTGTTTGGAACACCGCCAGCCTCCTTGGCACTTGAACCCGCACCACGATCACCGAAACCTTCTGGCAAAGGAAATTCCCTGACCATTCTGTCGAGCTCCATGATGGTAGTGTATGTGGGGGCTTCAGCTAAGAGAGTACGTGAAACTACTTCTGCAAGGCATTCAGAAGCGAAGCGGAATTGCCAAATCTCAACTTGAATGATAGTCAATATAATGAAATAAAGTCTGACGAGTCGCCGGCTTACAAGCATATCCATCTCTCTTGCTTTTTTCAGCCCCGGTGGGACCCTTAGTCGAAGTCGATCGGTTGTCAGGCTTCCCTTGCGAATTTGCATCTTTCATGTTTATTCCCTCGTATTGGGGGAAGCTGCAGTCGACGTAAGCCAACGAAAATGACGGTGGTCTACCGGTATTTAAACTCTGTCGAGAAAAGTGAGCCAGGTTCATTGCAGACGAAGCGCCCCTCTCACTAACTTGCCACACATCTGCAACAAACAGATCCCAAAAAAGAATTCTCCTCCGCTGAACCATTTTTGGTGAGAGACCCCAGCGTTCGCTGTCACGATCTAGAGAATTCCACATTAGAATTTGTCACAGCACTCAAGATGTACCTTACGTAGGCCAATCTAGAAATTCTGGAAGGTCAAAAATGAATGGGACTCATAAGAAGCGGATGCGCACCGTTTGACTTAAATGGGCGGCCATGGTAATAAGGCTCCAAGTCATCTCCATACTTGTCTCGCTCTGACCTGTTTTAGATTCACCAGTGAGATTGTTACCAGCAGAATCTGTATCCGATGAAGGGTTTGCCGTCCCTTCTCCGCTCATGGCATTGTAGATACTCATCACATGCAAGCATTGGATGGTCACGATACTAGGCTTTTCCAATACAGGTTGAAGGCTGAGAGCAGCCTGGGCCAGCTGATGATAATGCTCGCCCAGAGCGTTTGGAGATGGTCTGGAAGCAGCTCCCGTACTGATATTTGAGTTCGGGGAAGACCCACTTGGAGAATCAGAAGAGTGGCCATTACTTGGGATCGGCTCAAGAAGAGCACCCAGAGCAAATACCATGAACAACAACGCCAGATCGTGAGGACCGCTGTAGTCTACTCCTAGTGGAGGTAGGGGACCGGGAATAGAGGTCGATTCGGGAACTTCTTCTGATCCGTGTTTGAGCTGTCTGCCACGGCTATTTGATAGGTTGACGAAATGCTCGTCAGAATCATAATTACCTTCTCCAACAATTTCGCCGCGGTCCTTAGCATATTTACGAGCATATATTGCGCCCACCATTTCTCCGTCCAATTGTTCTCGAGTGACACCTCGGAAGATCCATGCGACTTGTTCAAAGTAGATGTTGATAACTTCGCGCGCGCGTTCATATGTAGGGAGATATGATTCAATGAGCTCCTGTATTTGAGCAGAGGGCAGCGCTAGTGGAGTGAAAGGGAAACGATGAGAGAAGAGAGTGATACGTGGGTCAATTGTACGAGTACTGCCCGATGATAACGTTGTACCAGAGGAAAAGACAGAATCTGCAGAAGGTTGAGTGGATGCATTGGTAGTTTGGGATTTATGGGAGGATGGAGGTGAAAGAGAGGAAGATTCTCGTTCGAACACTACAATAGGTGAAGAAGAATTTCGCAATGAATTTCGAGATGGTACTTGAGGTGATTCTGTAGAAGGCAATGTAGCCTAAAGAACACTGAGAGCGGGTTGTACGGCCACATGATGTGAGTTACTCACAATCAAAAGACTTTCGCTACCTCCAGTAGGACCGAAAAATCTTGAGATTCCGTGATTACTGATTGAGAGCGTTCCGAGGGCATCAATCACATCTCCAGTTCCTCGCTTGTCCCGAGATCTTCTCCGCAATCCGCCGCCACTGCTGGCCTCATCCATCGTATCAGGGTCTAAAGCACCGACGCTAATGGGTCTACCATGCAAATTCGACGGTAGGTTACCTATTTTTCTGCCACGATTGGACCCTGGTTCAAGTTCGTCATCATCAGCACCCTCTTCCACTTCCAGGAGCCAGTCGTTTTCCAGTAAAGGATGGGGTTGGTCACCATCAGGAGCATATTTATTGTGTATATTTGCAAGAGCATTTTCGAGCTCACGAATTCGCCCAGATAAACGTGAGATTCGGCGATGAAGGTGTTCTGTGGCAGCGAGCACAAATCGAGTGCCTTGACCGGTAGCCAAAGAGCCTCAATGACAATGTTAATAACACTAAGTCGGAGCGAAGTATACGACAACCAACCGTTGGGACACAGCGCTGCACAACCACGGCGTTGACAAGAGGTGCAGGGGACTTGCCTAATCTCCAATATCGATGAGGAACACAGATTGTCTGTTAGGCGTCACTTCGCACCTATCGCACTTGATTTTGAGTCTGGAGAAGCAATTTATGTTTTAGACGAGGGTTGCGATGATCGCATATGTAGTTGCACAAACCTACGACATTCCGCACAACTAACCTATTGAGCACCGTCGCGATCATGGTCAGTCAGAACGAAAAACCGGAGGTTGCTTAACTCACTTCGCCTACGTATACGCGGCACAATACGAGCACACGATCGGTTGAAGCGGGACAGAACACCAAGATTCAAGGGGGAAAAGCGGGAAATCATCAGTTTACAGAATATGACAGGACAGATTGCAGACCTCGACTTCTCTTTAGTTCTAACTCTCTAGAATGACCTCCGTCAAACTTGTATTCCTCGGTATCTCTTCTACTGGAACGCTTCTTCAGCTTGGATTTGGGCTCTGGCGGCATGATTTCGGAGGAGGGTGTTGTGACTAGTGGCACTATCGAGATACACAGCGAGCGAGGAAGTATCTTTTGACAGCAATTGAGATGATGGGAGTTAAAGGACGAAAAGAGTGGTCGGCTCCGCCAAGGTATCAGAGTTTAAGCTTGTGCTTGGTCAACGTCAGAGGGAAGATAAATATAAGAAGGGTGTGAGAGTCGAAGTCTGGCGACGATACAATGAATGGTGAAAGACACTACTTAGGTCTGTTTTTCTTCTCGACAAGACTTACTGATATAGACCTTCACCAAATCACTAATCCGCAGCAAGGTCAACTTTTGATGTGAGATTCCTTTCTTGCCTTTTTCGGCAACTTTTTTAAAAGAAATTGTGGTAGTAGCGAATAAGTATGCCCCTCCAATTCTTATTCTTTGTCTATCTTTCCTGTACTCAAGAGAGAAGGATATGATTATCTGAGGTGAAAAATTCAAACTTCCTCCGTCCTCCTCCGCCTTCCCATCAAGAAAAGAAAATGGTACATTGAAGGTCCGGAACAAGCGGGTTCCATCAGATCGTCATAGCCGATCCTCAACAGATCCTCGATCTTTCCTGCTTCAGCTGAGTCTCTCACAAATATGTATTACAGATGAGAAAAAAATACTCTATATACGCGTTTACCAAGGCTGAGTGCTGATCATGCCTTTCTAGTTTCCAGGTTACAAAGCTGCATCCAGTAATCAACATGTTTGAAATTGAATTCACTGCATCTCCCTGCATTCTCACTCGTGGCCCCCCTTTGAAGTCGGCGGCCTTACCTATGTATTTTTGCTGCCAAATTCCAATCACCACCAATAGCCTGTGGGCGATCCGAATGTATATACATACATAGCCGGACGACTCGTCCTGCGTCATCTCAAATCGATCATGAAAAAATGCATTCTACCAGGCATGTCACCAGGACCCTCCCTAGGCCACCTTAGTCGGTATAATCTATGAAGCTGGATAAGGAGGAACGCGCTCATAAATCCATAGTCCTGATCCAAAGTGTCAAGAGGTTATAGACTTCTTCTGCCTTCGGGAGGCTAATCCCATGTACGTATCAAAAAATCGCAGTCGCGGTGGGAATCAAACCATCCAATCTCTGGACAAGAGCATTCATGTGTTACTTGCACCATTACCTCAGAACCTCCAACCTCTTAGTAAATTTTATCTCTTGGTAGGTATCGACAAACACCGTTGCCTCGGTTCTTTGACTCTTCATCCATGATAGTTATTAAAAAATGAGGACTCCAGACTATGTGCTCTAGACTATGTACTCCAGAGCATATCATGCTACAGATAAACATTGTCATGCTACGATACATTCACTTTGGACCTGCAACGGAAAGAAATAACGATGAAGCGAATAGCCCTTCAGTCGGATAGTGTGAAGCTTATGGTGAGTGAGGAAAATTTCTATAAATATTATCATTACTTATAGTACAAGGATACACAAAGTTCTCGAGCGAATTACATACTTGTCACCGTATTCTAGAGTCAAGTACAGCGCAACCAGGCGCTATGAGAACCAATGTCCTAGAAATATTTGTCCCAGAACCCTTTAGTACCATTGTTATGAGACGCATAGTTCTCCGTGCCAAGTAGCTTAGCTACAAGGCCATAAACCTCCACATTCGGGAAGCTGTCCATCACATAAGTATCGTCAGAAGTAGAGTGCCAACCCTTATTCTTCCAAGGAAGCCAAGCACTAAAGGAAGACCGATGCAAGTCCTTGACAACAGCAGAAAAGGGTCCATGGGCAACGAACATGGCATGCATAGAGTGTTCGTTGTTATCGTACCCGTGATTCTGGAATATCGTCGTTTATGAGTGCCAAACCATCTTGGGCCATCTTGGAAAGAACAATGTATTTGCACTTACTCCTTTGCTCATTCCAACATCGCCCTCTTTCCTTGTTGTGAGGGCATAATCAATTTTTGGAACGATCCAGACTGGGGCAATCCGATCGTGGTGAGCAAAGTGCCACCGTGAAGGCATGGTGTGCTTGGTGTAAACATCAAATCCTTCTGCATGAGGATGTTGTGAGGTGAGTAACTTCTCCAGGTAATACGATTCGTTTTTCTTAGAATTGAACCTCAGACCCATTGCAGGCCAACCATCCTCGTGCACTACAGCACTAAGACCTTGTTCACCCAGCATGTCGTCGTCGTCGACATAGATGAGCGTAGGATGTGAGGTATCAGTCATACCATGATCGCTGACAAAGACAATATCGACGATGTCAGTGAGATTACGATCGACAAGAGAGTCGTGCAGCGCTGCAGCGAAAAGATCCACTTGGGCAAGGGTTTGCTAACAGTGGCAAGGTCAATCGAGTTAATATAGTTGAGGAAGCGTAGGAAAGCTTACGTTGACCAACGTTGACATGGGTCCGGTGAGATGTCCTGCCTGATCGAGAGAAGGTTCATACGCTGAGAGATCATTGAGGAAAGCCATGACCAATACAAGAGCATAAGGACTCACCCATAAGCAGCTGTGGCCTTTCGTCAAACGGCAGATCGATCCATGCGAGTAATTGATCGAGTTTAGCACTCAAAGGTACTTTATCCTATATGCCAGGACTACTGTGAGGATAACATCGTTAGAATAAGCGATTAACCTACCTTCCACGGTACAAAATATGTCGGTGACGAGCCAGATTTTGTTTTGGGAGGTCCAGGCCTCGTATTTCTTGTGAATGAATGCAGAGTACTATATCAGGCTTGAACCTACCACATGAGGTTTGCCGTGATTATACCCGCCTTGTTAGCAGTCTCCCACATCTGGAAGAGGTGTGCGTTCAACACGAAAACTTCTGATCACACGAACGTGCACCACTCACAGGTTCTCCTAGCCAAAAGTCGGGATTCCATGCAGAGGATATCTTATTGTAGTGAAATTCAAGTTCGGTTTGAGGATCCCAAAAGTTCTGTGCAACAGTCAGATAGGGTTCGTTCTACGAGAGTGGTGGAGGAAAGATAATTACATTCGCTATAATTCCATGAGATTCAGCATAGAGACCTGTCCTGTAGTTTGTTCAGTAAGGACCACAAGGAATATGGATTCAAGTCAATCACATCAAAGCCCAGTGGTTGCTGGTATTGGAGTGTAAATGGAACGCGATTAGTCAAGGTATTTTGCTCAGCTTACGGGAAAGTCAACGTCTGAACGTTTCTATCAAACCACTTATCGAATATGAGTCGGACGATCTCACCGGAAAGATGGGCACCATGGACTTTGCTCGTAGACCCCTCTTACTAATTTCGAGAAGATGAGGAGTCAGGCCTCTATCTAAGTAGTCGGCACTATCGATTTAGGTCAATAAACCAGCTTGAGTGTCAAAGATTATGACTGACCGAAGGCCATCTATAGAAACTATTAACACAGTTCTCCTGAAGTCGTGTGTCCCGTTCGAGCGAATATAGTCTCCACTGAAAGAAAGATCCGGATGCACATGCAGAGGGGAGCGAAGCAGTGCGCGGGCGAACACCCCGAGAATAAGGAGAAGGATAAAACCGGAAGCTGTCTTGACCATCTTGGACCTCGGCCAACCATCTTCATCGCTAGGTTGAGTAGTCAACTCCTTGTCAAAAGGGTCGTCGTAAGGGTCAAATCTGTCGTTTTCGGCAAGTAGGCCCTCGCGCTCCTCATACGAGCTCCGGCTCGACATTTCTCGAGGCTTGGCAGGAAGAGACATGGTGGTTTCGACGTAATTCATCAATTCACCCTCACTTTATGGTATTAAAGATAAGCGCTGGAGCGCTTATGTTCGAAAGGTAGCTCGGCCTAGGTTGTTTACTTCGTTTCTAAAACGGTCTCCTCCCCACTATTACTATCAGTTCTATCCCCTTCCTTTGAACTAGCCCCTTCTCTTTCCCACTCACTATATCTCGTCGTCTCTGGCCTGAATGCACTCATTTATCATCCCACTTTCTTTGATTTTGGTCTCATCTGCTTCTGTAACTGCTTTGACTTTTCCTTTCCAAGTCCGCACGGACATTCCTTCGCATTCTCTCAGCCGCAGAGTCTCCTCGAACAGCTCAACGCCTCTCACCAACTCTGGAAATGCTCAATACATCGCCAACGTCACCCTTGGGGGCCAGGAAGTTCGGCTGATAATAGACACGGGCAGGCAAGCCCTCGGATTTATATCTCTCAATGCTCTGAATGACTCTAGTACTTAGCTCCGACCTATGGGTCAATTTTCCATCAACAGTCCCCACTACAACCGACACTGGCAAATCGTTATCGTTGTCCTACGCTATCGGCTCCGCCGGAGGGGACATACATACTACAACAGCGCAGTTCGGTGGCTACACTGTCAATAATCAAGCGTTCCGTGAGCTCCACTATCCTATCATCATGCTCTATATCCGCTGAGCTGAGCTATCTATCTTTGTAGTACTTGTTACAGACGCTAGTTCATTTGGCACTGACATTCATGACCAGGGATATGACGGTCTTATAGGGCTTGGTCCCAATGAGGGCTCGAAGATCTATGATAAACTTAGCGGGGATGCAGGCGATACACTGCTGAATAACATCTTCTCGCAGTCTTCCAATTCTTCTAATAACTTCATATCGCTGCTTCTCAACCGACATGGTGATCCCGGACAGAACTACACTGGACAAATGACTATTGCTGAATATATTTCGGGATTCGAGAATGTGACGAGCATGCCCAAGAATGACGTGGAGAGTGTACTCAAACTTTTGGGTTCAGGTGAGTTAAATTCGTTAGCCTCGTGAGTATCAGCTAAATATCCATTCTCAATTTAGATCAGCACTGGCAAGCACTAACTGACAAGAATAATGGAATTATTGGCCCAGACGGACTAGTAATTCAGTACGACTCTATCGTTCCCAAGGCTCCTGATGGCCAGCTGGTCGTTGTGTTCGATTCAGGTTTCACGTTCAACCAAGTTCCTCGAGACATTTCTGACGCCATATACGGGCGCGTCCAAGGTGCCATATACGACTCAACGAATGAATGGTGGACCATCCCTTGTGGACAGATGCTCAATGTCTCTCTCAATTTTGGTGGAGTGAATTATCCCGTACATCCCCTTGATACCGTGGACGACAATTTTGGCATCACCAGCTCCAATGGTACGCATATGTGCATTGGGTCATTCCAACCGATTACTACTGCTTTCAGTCTACTGGGAAATTATGACATGATCATGGGCATGAGTTTCCGTGCGTAGCGACACTCATTTACTGTTTCCGTGCTGAATTGACAACTTTCTCATCTATGACCTATACAGTGCGTAATGTTTACGCTGTTTTGAACTATGGCGACTGGGCAGACGACGACACCGACTCTGATCCTTTCTTGCAACTCTTATCCACTACGAATGTGGATGCAGCCCATAACGACTTTGTTCAGGTCCGAATGGGCGGCGTTGACACCACTGCTTCCTCTCAATGGGCCCTCCTACCTGCTAGTGAAGAGGTTCATTCTCCGGTTTCTGAGGAAGAAAAGAAGAAAGAATACCAAGAAATGATACTCAGTCGATGGCCGTACATCTTCGTCGGATGTCTTGTGTTCGTATTGCTTGTGGCTGGCTTCGTTATATGGAGATGTTGCTGCCGCAAGGGACGCAAAAACAGGGGATGCTTTTGTTGCGGAAGAAATACAGCCAAAGCGCCCGCTCAGGAGAAACACCTGGATTCTGGCCGAAAATCGGATTCCTATTTACCTCTTCAAGAAGGGACGCTCAAGGCTAATGCTTCTCTGATGTCTTTCAACAACTCAACAGCGTCCCTACATCCTCAGCCGGCTTATTCGGCTTATGGTATTGGACAAGGAAAAGATCATGGATCCAGCGGGTTTGACTTTCCTGAACCGACGCTCGGTGGAGGGTATCGCTAATAAAGATTTGAAGAGCCTACATAATGCAGAATTTATGCAATGGCAGTAGTTTTACTTTCAGCGCACGCGAGCGTTCTGTGCAGGCTTGAACTGGATTTCACCTACCTATTTATCCGCGAACTATTTACTATTTTTCTGTATTACCTTCATACGCTCGCACGTCGTAATCAGTGTTTGAAGTATTCATTGCAGTGTTTGTACGCCCTTGCATCAGCGCCTTCATACTTTCCACGGCGGGTTATAGGGTTGACAATCATCATCATTGCCACAAAACACAGCCTATACACGCGCGCAAGTTTACTTAAGTATTTCATCTTGCCTTACCTCCTTTCTTTATTCTTTTTCCCTCCTTCCTCGTACATTACTACTCTCACGATGAGACTTCGGCTTTCTTCACTGTTGTGCCTTCTTCCTACGATACTATTATGCGATGAGTCTCGAGCTTTTCGGCTGGAAGTGAACGGGCGGCGAAATGAATCACCGAGTCTCGCGACTTCGATTTTAAACCGGAGAGAAATTGGTACCTCTTCTCTCAATAACTCGGCAGACATCAGCTACTATACGGATATCACGTTGAATGGAACCACCTTCTCTGTGCTCATTGACACCGGCAGGTATGTCGTTCTGAGGTCTCGTTGCAACCTTGTCCTCATTTTTGCCCTTCAAGTTCTGACCTATGGGTCGTCGGGTCCGTCTCAGGCGCTGTGAACACAAAACTCTCAGCTAGTGTATCTTATGCCGTAGGGTCTGTAAATGGTGTGTAGCTGGTCCTCGTTCGTTCGCCCAATTCTGATTATATCACAGGTAATATTGAACTGGCTAACCTGGACTTTGGAGGATATATAGTACCCGAGCAAGCATACAGTGCGTATCTCCAGTTCTTTCAGGTTTATGCTAATCCCTCTGTAGTTTCCGCAAGTCAGAGCTCCAGCAATCCTGCCGGCCAAGGTCTCATTGGTCTTGGCCCTAATTCCGGTAGTAACGTCTATGCTGAATTCAACAACAACACCGGCGCATCCGTCTGCGATCGAATATTCATCCAAAATACCAGTTCCCCGAACTATATCACTGTCAATCTTGGCCGCACCGATGGTGAGCGCACAACGGTTTTCTGCTTGCACTCGATGCGATTGACCATTATTCCCCTACAGATCCCAGTGCAGATTTTCCAGGAAATATTACTATGTATGTAGACCCCAGGTTGACTATCTGCAATCGGTTGCTCAACCTTGCTATTCGTTAGTGGTGAAACTCTTGACGGGCTAGGCAACATCACAAGTGAACCCAAACTGGAGGTCACGACTGTCTCCATTCACGATACTGGCGACCAACATTTCCAGATTTTAATAGACAGCGACGGGATCATCGGTCCTGATAACCAGTCCATATCTTACACGACAGAGGTAGACAGCACGTCGAATTCAAAGCAAGCCACTGCCGTTTTAGACACCGGGTTCTCACTAAGTCAAGTACCCGAGTGAGTTCGTACGCCCCCGATTCAAACCGTCTTCCTCCTTACCCGATTGCAGCACTGTAGCAACTGCATTCTACAGCAGGTTTTCTGGTGCAGAGTACACCAATGTCACTGATGTTGGGGCCGTATGGATTGTCCCTTGTGACCTCGAAGTTAACTTGACTTTCAAAATTGGTGGTGTGCGCTATCCTATCCATCCGTTTGATGCAACACTGTAAGACGTTCCTGTGTATACTTGTCGATAAATGTCCGAACTTACTTTTTATCAGTGATCCTTCTATCCTTAACATTTCTGACGTCAAAAATTCCGCTGGTACAGCTAGTTGCATTGGTCTGGTAAGCTAGCCTCATTTGCACTTACAAGTCTCAACTGTACTCAGCATATTACTCACAGTTTCAGCCTGTTTCCTTCGACACTGGCTCTGATCCTACCTACGATATCATCCTTGGAATGTCATTCCGTGAGTTACTCAGTCGTTGAGTTTCGAATATCGTAACACAATGAATCAATCAATCTACAGTTCGTAACGTCTACGCGTTGTTTAATTATGGAGATTTTATCACGGACAGCAACGCTTCGGCTCGAGGTGATCCATACGTACAGCTACTTTCAACGACGGATCCTGCTGATGGTACCGTTCTTTCAGAATTGTGTTTGACGAACCTTGTTCTAACTCTTTTCAACAGCACACTCGGATTTTGTGAATCAGCGCTTGAATGGAGTAGACACAACTGGATCGCAGACGCTCGGAGCGCCAACCTCTACCGACGATAGCAGCTCAAGCTCTTCTTCCCACAGGAATCTTTATTTAGGTCTGGCCATCGCTGCGGGCGTTTTGGCATTGCTCTTCTTCCTTGGCGCATGTTGCATGCGCCGTAACAAGGCTAAATCTACTGCCGCATGGGTTCCCGGACGGTCGGGAGGCGCGTATGCACAGTTGTCAAACATAAACGGACCACGAGACAATCATCTCGCGTCTACTTCTGCCCCGCCTTATACACAGTACGATCAGCGTTATGATCATAACGGAGAGTGGGGACAAACGCTTTATGATCCCGCAGCACCCGGTGGTGCTTCTTCGTACCCTCTATCTCAGTATCCCACCAGTCAACCACCTCAACCAAATACAACGCAGACACATCCCCAGTATTCTAACCCTTTTGAGGGTTAAAGAACTCAGAAGGAGGGCGCAAGTCAGTGTTTGTTGAACTATGTCACGGACTACATTTGTAACCATCTATTGAATTTGCCCATCTAATAAATACTCTACATATGTATCCGGTGGATTGTATATATAATCAGTCGTGATACTCAAATTTGGAGAAAGGGGCTTATAAATTACATAGCTCGATGCAAGAGTTACCTGCATGCATTGTCGACACACCGCTCAGAAGGTTTCTTTTCCTGATCTTTCCGCACCAAGAGTGACTGTGGCATAATCAATCCCCCCTGTGTAGAAATGTGTGTTCCATTACTGTAATTTAAATAGAGGACATACAGTACGGTAAAGTGGTTGTTCCCTAGCCAGTATAATTTAGCTATCATATCCTATTGTATATGCTTGTCCTTTATATAGGGAAAGAAGGTCAGTGATGAAGCACTTCAGATAGAAGCAAGACTCGGAGTGAACCTCCAGTGATCTCGAGAGCATTTCTATCTTCCTTAATAGAGCGAAGGAGAGCGAAGGAGACATCTTCTGGAAAATTGTAGATGAATATCGGTTGAGAGTTTGTCCATTGTCTTGTTAGGTATGTTTCCAGATGAGTCGAAAATGATCTACTTCCCAGAAAGCCATAACTCATGAGAGAAGATGAGTTAGGATGAGACCCGTGCATCATAGTAGATCATAGTCCAGAAACACCGACCCCCCGCAATAACAAACCTGTCGGCGCTGTGTACCAGGCATCCAGCGATGAACAGCGCCTGTGTTAGACCAACTTGAAGCTCGTTGAGAGAGGTTAATTCAATGTAGTTTCTGGTTATCACAGTCTACATATTGCTATTGATCATGATGCGCAATCCTTGTGCTTAACGCGCGCTTAGAACCCTTACAATGATACACGCTGATGCACAGTGATGCACGTGGGCGCAATAACTATCCAATCTACTACAAAGCACACTATGGTTTCGAATGTTCTATACCACTGTCCATGTCTCTCCGCATCATCCGTGCCTCCGCCACCCCATCTCGAATCTTCAGCTTACAGCTTTCATCCTCTACATACCTTGTTCTTCTGCGAGGAATGCGACGCGGTGCGATGCAATCGCTGTGTTTCTGTAGAAGTCAGTGGCTACTATTGCCCGAATTGTCTATTTGAGGTCCCAAGTGCCAGCGTTAGGGCTGAAAAGAACAGGTGCTTATGTTTGATGAATTGCTTGATACTCAATTGATTCTTTGTGTGCCAGATGTGCCCGAAATTGCTTCATGTGTCCCAATTGTCGTAATACATTATCAGTAGTTCCTTCAGACCCTCCAGACGCGGGAGACGGGAGGCTTTCAGCTCCCATAAGCACAGTCGGTGAACCGCCATTCTTCCTCTACTGTAACCATTGCAGGTGGGACTCTTCTGAAGTGGGTATCACTTTTGAGAAGCCCACTGGGCTTGCAGGCGAGCTCGTGTTCCCCTCTTATCACTTTTTCGAACATCTGACAGCGAAACGCTCGTAGCTCAACTCCAGAAACTCGAAGATTACGCTCCGGAGTCTTTGGAGTTCGATCGTTTGAAGGAGCATTTTGAACCTATCTTACGTGCATCATCACTTTCCTCTTCCTCTTCTGTTGCTCCTTCTATCAGCCACTCACATCATCACTCGAATCCTATCACAGCTGCTGCTTCTGCCGCCCTCGCGCGAGATATACCAGGTGTGGCCAAATACACCCCACATGCGCGTTCCGGACGTCCCAGCGGAAAGGATAGATCGGCAAACAAAGACGAGATGCCAGAATATAAGAGCAGGTTAGATATCAACCACGCTAGTACCTATGGCTCTGGTGGAGGGGACGTCGATGTCGAATTGATGCGCCGCCTGGAGGATGTTTCAGAAATTGCGAGTCTCGAACAACGATGGAATTATAGCTGGTCGACATCTCTGGAAACGAGGTAAGTGGTCTATCTACCCCAAAGATCCTCCTGATGCCGGAATCCACAGGGATCTCAAACCATTACGAATACCTCTCCATTCGAAACGATCGAAACGCTGTCCAGCATGCACACATATTTTGATAAAGCCCGAGCAAAAGGCCCAGTCTGTACGATACAAGATTAAGCTAGTCGCTGCAAATTATCTCCCTGCAATAACGGTGGCTCTTCCTCATCAGATAGAGATGCTGGGCCATATCAGCGCGGAAGCCGCGAAACGCTCTACCAAAGCACCTGTAGACGACGACAAGGATACGAGAGGTGGCCTACAAGCAGGGAAAACATATCCTTTCCATATGTCGTTGACTAATCCACTATACGATCCAATTCAAGTTAGGTTATCGGTGCAGAGAATGCATGTTGCTGCTGCTGTATCATCCGGAGAGGGAGGTACTATTGACAAAGCACGTCGACCACCATTCGCTATTTCGATACCCACAACACCATTTTCCGTCGCACCATTTGCTGAAGCATGGGAATATGAAGATGACGAGGAAATGTTTGGACTGGATGACGATGAACTTGAAGCTCGCTTGTCTGGCCGAGAGAAAGAACCTAAGCCTAGATCTAAAACAGTTGGTATACTGGAGAAGAGAGCCAACGTGACCGTCGTGGGTGGGGAAGTAGCCTTAGGTAAGGAGGCCCGAGGCGAAGTTAAGGTGAGTCTTCTTGATTTCGATGGTCTCATTAGCTTATGTTCCTCTATTGCAGTTCAACATGCTGGTTGCGTATACGTATCGCTCTGATGATCCTGCGCCTTCGGAGGGACACGATATTTCTCCGTCTAAGAAGGCCGCCCTCGAAACCAAAACTTTTGCTTTCTATACTGTTGTGGATCTGGGAAATATCATACCGAAGGAAGAAGCTCGAATAGATCCATATGATGTGTAGGGTCTAGAATTCTTGCTTGCAGTCCTCTACGACATTCTCCGAGCTAACCAAACCTTGATATGTACATTTGCTTGCACAATGCAATGATAAGATTTGCGCGTGCAAATTCTCCTGCTCAAATTCAATTCGATTGGATTTTTGAGCTATAAGCTTCGTCATGGTAAGCAAATACTAAGCCATGGATAGTGTTGCTTCTCCATCCCCATCCCCAGAGCTTGGAACGGTTACAAAACACCGGCGCCCCTCATCCTTGTAGCATCCAGGTATTCCATAAATCTGGAAAATGTAACGCCCCTCAACGTCGCCAACGTAACTCGTCATGTATATACATTCTTTATTCGAGTCCAGTTTCCAGATCTGATCCAATGCTTTTTGCGTTCGTTGTTGGACTCGGGGGGGCACTGTAATTGGGTCTGAGCTGCCTTTGGCCCATCCTGTGAAATATATTTTGAGTTCAGCGGCCGGGGAGGATTCTGTTCTGGCTTTCAAGAGGGTAGATTTGTCGTTGGTTCCTGGACGGTTCTATGTAAATGAGATTAGTGTCTGTAATATCATTTCTTTCACTATACTAAGTAATTCGTAGAATCTTCACTCACACCAGTGGAAGGGGCAGCATACACAGTGGAGAGTAGACCTAGAACGCCAACGCCGTAAAGTTTGAAGTGCATGATGAGGAATGACACTGAGGTAAACAGTATACTTTTGCGATCGACTAGCGTATAAACCTGACCAGCAGTTGCTACATGACATGGACGCAGCCACAGTGGTTTTTATACGAAAAATTTGTTTCGGAGCACATGCACATTACATAGCCCCCGGGACTCCCTTGCTTAGCCTGATCAGTGTCGCCACTTGAGATTAGCTGGGATTATGTATGTAGCTTGGAAGATGGGATGATTGTAAATTTTGCAGTCTTTTCCAAACAATATCTTCCCACGCCAACTGCAGTGCTTCGGCGAATTGACGCGGAGACCGTCGTTAGGATTGAACTCTTCCTTCTATTTTTCCAGTACAGCGTACAATTTCCTGGTCAGCATTAGCGGACCTCCTTGCCGGGAGCAAGTCTTTTCTTCCTTTCTTTCTTGGTATTCAGCATACGGATCATGGTTTCAATAACTGCTAGTTCATCGTCAGCCCCCTCATCCTCTGATGCTATCTCTACCGAAGAAATGCGGCCTCGAGCAGGTCCCTTGCCTTCGAAGCGGGGCGAAATTGGGTTTAGGGAAGACCTGGAGAAGGAGGAAACAGTCCAAGGAGAGGATTCGTCTTCGTCTCTCCCAGAGCGCCATCCTGCTGATCGAGACTCTCCCCCTACCTCCAACCCCGCAGCAGATGCCCCCGCTGCCATTCCTACTACGTTCCCCGGGTCACCTGCCTCAACCTCAGATGATGCTTCCACTTCTGCGCTGAAGAAACCAAAGACTCTTCTTTCGTTTCTAAAGCGAAAGAAGTTTGGCGGTATTCAATTGGGTACCCTAATCGTCTTCGCAATCCAACTATTCATTACTTTTGGAACTATTGGTGCTTGGACAGTTGCTGGTTTATTTCTGTCCGGTAAAGCACAGTCACGCAGCAATGATTCTACAATGTCCGCTGCTTCCGCTACTATTTTTGTGCATGTGATCTTTGCTGTTGCTTTCCTCAGTCAGTGTCTCTTCCTTGAGAGGCGGATATATGTTATGAGGGCTCAGAGATATGCTTTCCTCCATCCTGGAGAAATACTGCCGTTTTCCCGGCGGGGACAACCTGTGGATGACTCTGTGGCATTTTCTCCTTGGAATAGACCTCCTCTACCCACGTATGCAGCGGCCCTCGCTCAAAGCGGTGTCGGCACCGGAGATGTCGAAGATCATCTCATCGCCGCACCGCCACCACCTGCGTACGGCAACACTCGTGGGAGTACTCTACTGCTCTCTGGCTTCCTTAATGCCAATTTACGCGCTCAGCGACCTATATCCGTTCGGACAGAATTAAGTCAACATCATCAAGATCGGCCTGTTAGCTATGTCAGTGACGACGAGGAGTGGGAAGTGATCCAGAATGCAGATCGTGCACGTCGCTTAGAGGAAACGCTGACGACTCTTGAGAGACCGGGAAACAGAAACTCGCGATCGTGAATCTTGTATGTGAACAAAACCATTCCAAAGAATCTGTGATTGACATTGTTCTTTTCCAAGCTGGTTTCTTCGGAATGTTAATAATTGAATAGATCACCATGTAGTACCTGCGCAGTCTTTTCTACCCCGTACCCACTACGGATATCTGTGAGCTTCGAGTCATTTGCTTGCTTTCGGTCGACACTTTACTGTAACATGTACCCCCGCAGTTACATTTTTTGCTGTATTTTGTAAGGACATTCTCGAACTTGGACGGTCAGTCATGCAGTGCAAAGCTAGTTCAAACGCAGCAACATATTTTCTCTTTTTTACTCTTTATCTCGAGCTCAGGTTTGCCTTACTATTCGGACCTTCGAACGAGTCATTTCGAGTTTCTGTGTTCGTTGCTTGCTAATGATATAGATCTGTATGTGATTCACACCAGGTGAAATCGAACCCTGCAATATCGGTGCCGATCATGATGACTCGAAACAAACTACCGCTTCTGTGAATTGACTTACATTAAGCTGTTCTTCCAGCCCAGGATATAAAGTAATCAATGATGAATAACGAGGCAATCCCTAACCCCCCTCTAGGTCACAGCCCATTTTCCTTACTCACCGAGTTTTCGTTGTATGCTCGCTTCCGACGTCGTGGTGCTCAGAACCCTCGCAAAGCAGCTTCCGTCCTATGATTCTATCTCATCGCTACCTCCTCTCTACTCCTCTGATCCAGCAAGCGGAGAACAATCTATCCAGCTCACGCCCAGGACAAGGTCTCTGGGTCGTCCTACCGGGACATATGTTCACAAGGCTGGTGACGCCACAGTGGTTCTGCTTGACCAAGAGGATGGGGTGTCGACGCCGTCATATGGAAGACAGGCTGCTTTGTCCGGAATCATAAGCCTTGCTTCCTGCGAGACTGTGAGTGAAATCAAAATCAAGGTAACTCGTTTTTTCTGCTGGATACCTTTTTTTTTCGATTATTGAAATTTTTTTCTTGATCAGCTTGATGGTCACATGGACCTTGTCCTCAGCGGCGGTGTTTCTCAGAGCACTACGCTCGTCAATGACACACACAGCCTATGGAAGTACAACCCAGAGGCAGTTGATGCAGGCTCTACTAGGTGTCCCTCCGAAATTCCCTTCACGTGTGTTTTCCCTTCGAAATTCAAGGACAATATCGGGCGTGAATCGCCTCTCCCCCCGTCCATGCATGTCATGTATCCTGGGGCATCAGGGCTGGTAGCGAGCTGCTTGTATACCCTAACAATCAAAATCGTGAAGATGGGCTTTTGGAAACAGGCGAAGAAGTAAGTCTTATATCTTTCACCCCATACTCATGACACTGACGTATAAATATGGTAGATTGACCATCCCACTCAACTACCATCCTCGAAGCAGGGCACCATCATTTCCGAATCCCAACCCGGATTTGTTTTCGGATGTCAAAATTTCTCCTGAGGAGTGGCATCAGACTATGTCAGTAATCAAATCAAGAAAGCCTGCTGTTACGCCACCAGTTCAATGTCATGTACGTTACTTATATTTCTTTCACTCCAGTGTTCAAGATTTATTTATTTGCCCTCCTACATAGTTATTTATTCCATCCGTTAGAGTCTTTGCGCTTTCTGATGTTATTCATTTCCACGTCCAACTCACTGGACTTTTATCCTCCCTGCGACAACTCGTCTATTCTAAGCCGTCCAAAAGGTCAACGGAAAAATTTGCCCCAAAAATTCGAGTGTACCTCCTCCGACAGATTACCGTGGAGGTGTGCGGTCAGAAAGGGTGGAAGAATCTTACGTTGGCCGAGGGGACCCTTCGCCCTAGGCCCCCACCTATCACGGCATCTAGCTCCCCTGCGCACAGTGCAGAGGACAGCCTCGACTGGGAAGGCGAGATCCAATGCGATGAGAATGAGACTCGTGGCTGTCCAGGGTTCATTACGACGGATTTGACGGTCAAGGATTTCATTGTCCTGTCGATATCACCTCCCGATGTGACGAAATCCGACCTATCACCTACGCAGGTGCCGATTCCCATCAAGCTAGTTACGGAGAGTGCGGAGACATGGAGAGACGATTAACGATTGCCAACCAGAGCCTTGACTGTCAGATGTACCACATACCATTTCAATCTATGTCCAATTTATCACCATAGCTGTGTCGATATTCATACTGTACTATCATCTTATAATATAGAAAAAGTAGTATATAGCTCATAATCTCCGCATGTGTATATATTGTATATGTAACGATAGCCATTCACAACTTATGTATTCGGACCTGTATATACCACAAGACCCAAAAGACATTCCAAAAGTTCCCGTCAAACGAGGAGAATGGATACTCATGATGTTTCTCTCAAAATCTCATCCAACCAGCTCCCAATTTCATTGAAAGCCTCGGCATGTATCACATCTGCATCAGGTTGATAATCGAACGAATGTTCCATTCCTTCCGCGATGTTAAGTATAGATCGAATACCTGCCTTGATGAGCAAATTATGTAGGTGTTGGCTTTCCTGTACATGCACCGCACTATCGAGAGATCCATGGAAGAAGTATACCGGGGGCCATGAGGCATACGCGTCTGGAGGGCAAAGACTGGGAAAGAGACTGCGGTGCTTTTCAGGAATTCTGCTTGCTAAAATCTTTTCGAGATCATTCGCGGAGGAGGAATCCGAGTCGGACCGTGTCAATTTAATGTCTTCAGCCTTCTTTCGCAGAGCAACACTGAGGCCGGGTTCGTATTCACCAGTGTAATAATCAAGGAATTCCCCAAGTTGGAGGTATAGTCTCCCTAGAAACATCCGGCGATTGGAAGGAAAGCCTGGAGGGCCAGTGTTCGTTTCCAACCCTGGTATTGCGACAACATCAGCGGGGGCATCGGGAGGGAAGTATGTATTGAGCGAGTCTGTTATCACTTGGGAGCTGGGTGATAAACATTTGGGGTAGAGAAAATCAGAGAATAAAGCTGGGTTAAGCATCTCTCGGCCACGGAAGAAGACAGAATGTTTGGGGGTGTAGTATTGCGGGATGAGAAAGTTTCCTCCCAGACCATACAAAGATAGAACCGCTTTAGGCTTCGGAGCAGCGTGCATCGCAGCAAGATAGGCACAAAGTGCGCCCGCGCTCGACCCACTAACTGCTATCCTCTTCGGATCGACGCGATATTGAACGGGCCTTGGGTTTTGCTCAGTCTGCTCCGGTGCGATATCGACGGAAAGATTGGCAATGAATTTGAAGATGTCAAGGACATCTTCTAGGATATCATGACCAGTGGTGGATCCTGAAGGAATCAGTCGGTAATCGGGAGATATGAAAATGTGTCCAGCATCGGTGATTCTTTCTATGTTATTGAGTTATCTAATCTCAGCTAATCTCATCCAAAGTTTTACATACCACAGCACTTACTTTGTAGCCAAGTCGGAAACCAACTCATCCGATTTCCAACTGTCAGTCCCCCTCCATGAAAGTACACCAAGGCTCCAAGAGTCAAGATTTTGTCTGGCAAAAATGAATTCGAATCTACATTGCGAGGAAGATATATGTCGAGCAAGATAGGTGTATGCACGCCGCCATGCGAATACAACGTCTTGTATACAAATGTTTCACGGTGGACTTGCGACATCGTTGAGGACAAAAACTACACCGTCGTCATCAATCATCCCCAGAGAGAGTCTGAGACAGTACGTGTGAGCCATCAAATGCATCAAACTTTGGTCGAAACTTGGATGTGATAGCGAGAATTGGTGCTCGATGTTCAGTACTTAATGCCAAGGTATGTGAGAAGTATAGACGAGGAAAAACAAGCTCCTTCGCGGACCGTAAAAATTAGCAGGCAATAATATCAAAATAAGGATATCGCATGCCCTCCGAGTCATGGGGAGTTATAGCAGAAAATGATCTCGTTGACTGGTCTTGCAATTTTTCCATCCATCAAGGGGAAATGGAAACGAACGCAATGGAAGAAGCAGCAAAAGTGGTCACAGGTCAGTATGCCTATCGAATTCACAAACGGATGCCCAGCAAGTTTATGAAAATGTTCTACAAATATGCCGAAATTATCCCTCTCCCATACCATTCGTACAGTATAAAAAGACTGGAATAATCTCGTGCAAAGACCGAACCCTCATGAATCTTCTACGGTCCGCTCTTGCGACTCTCCTCTTGTTAGTCACTGTGCAAGCAACTGGCGTCGCCCCCGGTCAAATCAAGAACTTCGTGACGTTCGGGGACAGCTACACTGACATAATAAGCGTCGGTGATGGAGGGACCGCCTGGCCTGTGAGATTGATCTTTTCGATATGCTTGAACGAGCACTTAAATAAAGTTCCAGGTATACGCGTCGGGTTACGCGAATATTTCTCTTTTTCCATTCGCAAAGTCTGGTGCAACTTGTTCGAACAATTTGACGAACCGACCCTTTCCTTCGGTGTTCGAAAGCCAGCTGCCGACATACTTTGAGGAAACGAGTAATGGAACGTTGAAGTTGAAGCCTGAAGAGACTATCTACACGTTGTGGATTGGAACAAACGATCTTGGAGAGAGCGCACTTCTCACCGGAGACGACGCTGCTTCATTGGTAGATGTGACGACTTGTATGGTAAATTGGGTCAAAGTCTTGTATGAAAGCGGAGCGAGGAATTTCATATTCCAAAATGTAAGCGTTAGTACTGGTGATAATACACTGGGAATCAGAACTAACCTCATCGAATACGGTGTTGAATCAAAGATAAACCCCTTACAACACACCATTCTGTATTCTTCGACTGGTTACTATACCAAATTTTGGACCTTCCCTCGTAACGCAACCAGTTGGAGCGTATCTATGACTGAACTTGCCCTTTCTGGAAACGATCTCACACAGCTGAAGCTACAAGCCCTGCTACCGCAAATTCCTGATGCCCATGTTGGTAAGCCATGAGCCATATTTGATACTATCCTCAACCTTACCCGAAAACTTCCTTAGCTCATTTCGACTCCCACAGCCTGTTCCAAGACATGTTCGACAACCCTTCCCAGTATTTGAACGGTACGGCACCGCTCAACGTTACAGGCTGCATCAATTCGTGTGTCTTCCAAGTGAACGAGCCAGATAGCGGTGTTTGCACGCTGGTCAATGGAACGGATCGGGACAGTTACCTCTGGTATGTCTAGCTTGCGCAGAAAAAGAGTCAAGATCTCATTCAAATTGTTCACAGGTACGATGAACTTCATCCTAGTGAGCAGGCGGATCGAATTGTGGCGAGGGAAATGGCTTTAGTGATGGAAGGAAAGACGAGTAAGTGGGCCACATGGTTAAGTTGAATAATCTTTCCATTCGTTCCAATACACACGTTAGTTCAAATAGAAAGCGATATAGGAGCAAATCTCACCTTACATCCATACCGTGCATCGTTTCTAAAAGCTTCAGAAGATACATTTGAGAAAAGACATGATTTTGATGCAGACGGCTAGAGCCTACCTTGTAACAATATGGTTTCAAGCGACGATCGAATCACTTGCATACCCATCCTGCCTATCTCTCCGTTTCTACAGTCAAAGTGTGTACAGGTTTCCTCGGACGCAGCTCCGAAAATCATGCTGACCAGCTCCTGGCATCCGAGCCAAGATCCAGGTTCCACCCTGAGGGGCCAGAAATTACATAGTGGCGCGCGACCATTGCAAGGGTCAAAGACCATGGTCGATTGTACAGGAGAATGGCTCTTAGCTCTGCTGATTCAAAAATGGAGATCCAAATTTCGTTTGGGTTCTTGGCTGCCATTCTTGCTGTTATGAGCATTCCCACAATTCGCGCGTCAGAAAGTTGATATAACGCGTTGCTTTCCGAAAATCTAGAGCACTGACCAAATTATCGCCAGGCTTTAATGTATAACGGCGGGAGAATATCCTGGGTCTAGTGAGAACAGAGTGAGAACACGAGGGATTCCCCGGTTTTGAGTCCTCCTCCATTCATTTTATTACCAGGAAAAGTGATTGCGAACAAGATTAGAGCAGCACAGAGACGGACCACAGCGCAGAAATCAGTACTCAGCGCTATGAGGAAGCCGGATGGATGATCAAGAAAACGCGCCTGATATTCTCTGCCAGACTCGGACCCTGCGAGACATTTTTCAACAACATCTCGGCCCGATCCCAATCATTTTAGATCTCGCACTTCCTTGAACCCAACCATGAATGAACATCTCACAAAACCTACGAAATACGACATTGAAGATTCCAACATTGCTTTACTAGGATCCGATGTGTGTTCATCTTTCCCAACTTTCGTTGACCTGCTGAACAAATTTGCAACCTGTAGCTCGAAAAGCGCGTTCGAGAACACGGTGGAGATAAGGAAACAGCATGGAATGAAGCTGGAGCCACCACAGGCTTACAAATTTGGCGTATTGAAAAGTTTCATGTGGTTCCCTGGTCCACAGCGGAGGAGGGAAGGTTCTACGATGGTGATTCATACATCGTACTTTATGTGCGTGGAATTCTGCGCAAGATTTGCAGGTATGGCTCACCTGGAATAGACTTACAAGAAAACCCCGCAATCGGGATCTTTCTCGTACAACTTGCACTTTTGGCTTGGAGACGAGACATCTCAGGACGAGGCTGGTACTGCTGCTTACAAGACAGTTGAACTAGACGATCGTGAGTGATGAGCACTAATCTTTGGTGTATTCATTCATTAGAGTTCTGTGCAGATTTACAGGGGGTTCCCGTTCAATATCGCGAAGTTCAAGGCTATGAATCTGATCAATTCCTTTCCCACTTTCCTCACGGTTTTGTCTGTCTTAAAGGTGGTATATCCACTGGATTCCATCATGTCTCCGACATGCCTCCAGTGGATACGCACAAACTTTATCGGATTAGCATCACACCGAATCTACACCCATCCAAGTCCCATGCACATCTGGTGGCCATTCGGGAAGTACCTTTTTCTGGGTCTAGTCTTGTAGAAGGTGATGCCTTTGTGCTGGATAAGGGAACAAAGGTCTGGCAGCTGAATACCAAAGAAAGTGCGGGCAAGGAAAAGTTTAGAGCAGCAGAATTTGTCAGGAGCTTGTCTGGGAACAGAAGGGGAGGGTGCCAAGTCACGGTCTTTGGTGAGCAATACATGCGTTCCTGGATCTCTCCAGAGTCAATGTTAATTGACCACGCAGATGAAGGGGGACATGGCACAGGAATATTCCTAGCTGAATTTGGCGAAGGCACGATTATACACCATGATACTGCACAATCTCATTTACCCGATGGCTCTACACCTACTTTAAACCTATACCGTCTTTCTGATTTTTCTGGGACACCAAGCTTCTCCGCCATTGAACCCCCAATCACATTCTCTTCATTATCTTCTTCCGATGCATTCATTTTGGACAATACTTTGACAAAGACATCATCAGCAGCGCTGTATGTCTGGCTCGGAGCCCAGTCATCCTTGACGGAACGAAGACTGGCAGTGCAGTACGCGCAACGGTATTTACATGACAAAATCGGTGATAATACTACAAAGTCCAGAAATGTTGTGGCAATCCCAATTGTGAAGATGCAGGAAGGACATGAGAGTGACACATTTTTGGCTCTGTTGAGGGGCGAAGATCATTAGTATGGTAAGAACATGGACTTATGATGTGCTAGCATTGTACGGATCTGCAGGAGCCTGTCATGAATTCCCAATCTCAGCATCAGATCTTTTGGCAGACACATGTAAATTCATTGCACTGGAATATTGACTAATTTTGGGCTAATTACTTGGATCAGGTAAGGTTGGCCAGGATAGGCCAGTGCTGTTATGTGAACACTCCCACACAGTACACCACTTCAGACCTCTTTGTCATTTATACCAATAACATCTACTTAACAGCTGTATGTCCAACAATAATGAATCCCTGCTCACAATGTTTCTATAACCATCTCAAAATGGACAACATCTGTAAAACCTGTATTTTCGGCTAAGAGCTCGAAAGCAGCTGACAGCACTGTGCTTTCAGCACTGGACAGCGCTCTCCAGCTAGTACCCTTGCTCTCGCGAACATCCAGGTTTTGCAGATGAAGGGGAGTAAAATTTTTGAAAGTGATGTGTGGACATCAGGGAAAGTGGACAAATAGTCAATTAAATTTGTGCATGAAGAGCAGTGATCATTACAGATGGTAAAGGGACAACAAGTGGAAGCAAAAGGAACAAAAACCCACCAACCACAGCCAACCATACACCTCTACTCACTGGTCTTTAAAGCTGGGATGTACAAGTTGAACCAGAGTCGAACGAGGTTGAAAGACAATCGCGCGCCGCGAGTGGTCATGTGAGCTGTGGAAGCAGACTAAAAGTTATCAACACTACAAAAAATTATGTGTTTGTCCCTGCTTGGTCCAATCATTCCGATTGGCTAGACAAATTTTGTCTTAACATAAGTTCATGCGCGTCGTGTAGGGTTCAATTGACATCACAGGCGAAGGAAGTGGGCGGAGCAGAGCGACGCCCCGAGCGTAATTAAGCTGTGCATTGCACGGGTTACTGCTACAGTCGACTCCCTCTTAACCCATACCCCTATAAACCCATACTCCCTTATACCCCATAGATTTTTCGGATCACCGACCTTGTTTGCAGGGAAGTGCCATGCAAAACCCATAACTCTCCCATACCCCATAACCCATACATATTTTTAGGAGATCCCTACCATATTTTTACCCATAACCCATACCCTTGATGATTATCATCGGGCGCCACTCCATAGTCTTCCCTAGTCTGTCCTGCTTAGTTTTCAGTCGCTCAAGGGTCCCTTGTTTCAGGAAGATTTTTATCGAGATTAATTGAATTTTTTAAACATTTTCTATGAGAGGAAAATAGGGCAAAAACAAACAGCCCCTGAACCATTTTCACTTCGAAATCTACACGTTCTTGTATTCGACATGGCGCATCATCCTCTGGCAGCTTTGAAAGAGGGCCTGGCCAAGCTCAGAAAGCAGTACGAAGAGAGACACAACATCCTGAAATCTAAACTTGCGAAGAAGGAGAAAATATCCAATGAAGATGAGCAGTGGTTGGACAAAGAAGGTAACCTCGTTGAGGAGGAACAGCTGATAAATGATTTGGAAAATGCATCAGACTATGAACGCGGCTTGGAACGGTTAGACGAGAAAAAGCAAAGTATTTTAATGCGTCTCACGAAACTAGTCATAAGTGCACCTAAAGTTGCAGGAAACAAACGAAAGCGTAAGTTCATTTTCCGGTAAGGTTTCAAATATTCACACCTGATATATGCAGGTCCAAAGCCCAGAGAGCCTGATCCTACGGCGACTGTAAAAAGTCAGGCTCAAGTACTGGAGAAACCAGTCTTCACAAAAAAGGAAAACGCTACTGTTGCACAGCGAATCGAAATCATCAATTGGTACCATGCCAATGGTAAGAACCAGTCGAAAACAGCACGTCACTTTGAGCCCATCTATCCAAACCTCAAATTGAACCAACCCCTCGTTTCGAGTTGGGTAAAAAATGAGGCGAAATGGCGGGAAGAGTATGTGAAATCAGGAGGTGTATCGAGAGGTGCCAAACGCATGCGCCAAACCCAGCATCCAGAAGTCACGGAGATGCTTAGCCTGTGGGTTTTGAAGGCTATGGGTGACGGCCTTCTTCTTACAGGAGAGGTTCTGCGTCAAAAATGGACACAGTTTGCTGACTTGGTTGGTATACCTGAAGACGAACGACTCAATCTCAGTGAGGGTTGGCTGAGTCGGTTCAAGGCGCGAAATGGATTGAAGGAATTCAAGCAGCATGGTGAAGCAGCATCTGCTGACCCTACAGTCGTTGATGCAGAACGTGCGAGGTTGAGAGAGCTTCTCAAGAAGTACGGATACCCATTGCGTGACATCTTCAACATGGACGAAACTGGCCTTTTCTATGGGTAAGCTTTGTACTTGCATAAATCAGTAAGACTCACCATTTGGATAGACTGCCTCCTGATCGTGGGCTTGCTGATAAACAGCATTCCGGCGTAAAAGGCAGCAAAGTACGCTTGACTTACGCATTCACTGCCAATGCCGATGGCTCAGAGAAGAAACCTGCATTCATCATTGGAAAAGCCAAGAAGCCTCGAGCATTTGGCAATAAAACAGGAGAACAGCTGGGATTTCGATATCGAAACAATGCAAAGGCTTGGATGACAATGGAGCTGTACCAGGATTGGCTTTTGGAATGGGACCGTGAGTTAGCGAGGCAGCATAGGAACATCTTACTGCTCCAGGATAATTTCTCAGGTCATGTTCCTCCTGAAGGTCTCCAAAATATCGCAGTCGAAAACTTCAGAGCGAACCTCACCGCTCATGTGCAGCCCATGGACTCAGGAATAATTCGCTGCTTCAAGGCTCACTATCGTCAAAAATACATTGAACGTTCAATCGATCGCTATGATTCCGGCATTTCTCCTATGAACATTTACGATATCAACCAGCTTGAGGCCATGCGTCTTGCAGAAGCAGCATGGCGCGAGGTCAATACCACAACCATTATTCATTGCTGGCAGAAAGCCGGAATTCTTCCTGATTCGGATTCCCTTCCATCTTCGGTTCCCACAAATGTCTCTGTTCCCATCTCATCTCTGATCACCGAAGACTCTTCTGCTGATGATCCTATTGCATGCGCAGAGAAGAATGTCGAAGATACTCTTGATCTCCTTGAGGAGACCGGCGTCCTACAGCGCAGTAACCGCATGACCATCGACTCGTTATTAAACCCCGAAAGGGAGAAGATCATGGTCACTGCTGATGAGAGCACTGACGAGGAGATCTGCAAAGCGGTTCTGCGTGCGCGTGCGGCCGAAGAAGATACTGTCATTAATGGTGGAGATGATGATGTAGATGATGACGGTCCAGTATATAAACGTCCTAGCCGCCGCGAGGCTCTCCAGGCAGTCACGACGTTACAACAATTCATCGATGGCACGGACGAGCAATATGCACGAAAGCTGGAGAGGATTTTGGGATCCTTTGGACGTCAAACACGTTTCGAGGCAGACCGCGCTCTGGCAAATACTGAAATTACTGATTATTTCCACCGAAAGTAGTTTACATGCTTCGTTATGGGTTGTAATTAATCCCCAGATACCAAATAACATATTTCAAAGCATTTCCGAGCATTTTTGGGCTGAGAAAATAGCACTCTCCCTATACCCATACTCCCTTATAACCCATACCTCTGGACCTCGACGGAGGGGTATGGGTTAAGAGGGAGTTGACTGTAGTGTAAAACAAAAACGTTTACGTTCAAATTGAAACAGGTTCCAACAGCGCCTGCGCATCAAAAAAATTTCGGGCCTTGTTCCTTTCCTTTCCTTGCCTCCGCTGCATCTGATTCAAATCTCGCCTACATAAAAGGATGGCAAGCTGCGGTCCCCCAACCTTTTCCCTCACTTTTCGCTGGTCGAAGAGGAAACCGTTTCGAACCGCTGAACAGTTCGTACTCAATCAACTTACATTTATCACAATTCCTGCTTAAATTTCCTATTCACAGACCGCACACTCAACCATAATTTCTTTGAGCGTGACCCTCCTAATGCGCTTGAACACTGTTCATGTTGTGCTTGGCCTTCTTGCCAATGCCGCCGTGTATGGGGCACCTCTCGATATGAATGTCCGTCATATATTTCCCGTTGTTCATTCATTCGGGATGAGACTACTCACAACTTTTTTTGCTTGTCCTACATATATACTAATAGATGGGCAACAGCCTGAATGTCACCAATCTTGATGCTGCAGCTGAAATGCACAACGAGACCATGCGCTCCGTGTCGCATACCCAGATGCGAAGATCTCTTCAACATGTCCCCATTGCATTTGGCAGCATTTATGCAGCACCACTTGGTACTTGGCCATCAACGCCAAAGCGTGTCGAGACAGTAATAACGGAACTGTTGAAAGAATGGTTACACAAGCACGGACAACCCACAGCAATCAAGCTTGTCTTCCAGAATGTGCTGGCGAGTAATTTCGAGATGCCGTATTCATTCGTCATAGGAAAGGAAGTGTGGCCAGAGAAATGCTCAGTGGCACCGATGTGCGAAGGTCGTTTGTTACTGGACAATACATGGCTGATTGAGAAAGCGGGGGAAGAGCTACATACATCGGCCACACGTACTCTTGTTCCTCCTTATTACGACCACGGTGATAACGGTGGCGCTGAAGGACGTTTGCATATATAAAGTGGTTTTATCCGTTCATCTGTGCATATATTATGCAACGTGAGGAACGATATTTTCTTCTTCCTCAGTACTCAAAGATAGCTAGCCAGGCTATTCTGGCAGAAGAATATTCGCTGGTCTGGAAATTTTTGTGGAAACTGGCATCGGCAACGTTTCGGAATCTATCTTCACGGGATTCATGCTTCCCTCATTGGCAACAAAACTTGTCATCATCATATCCTTTTCAATGACAACAAGCACAGCGCCAGACCCTGTCTGGTCGTCTCTCCTTTTCGGCCAACTCATCATCCAGATGTACTCATCGGATTCCCATGTCATCGCTGCCTTTAGAAGCTTACCTTCTCTTCTCAATATCATCATCAACGACACCGAGGCGGTATAGCAGAGAGAAGCCCGGATGATATCCCGTCTTATTTCGTTTATGCATGTATCTACAACACTCAGCGCTGGGGTCCTCCTTCTTCCATCTCTAGACGACGCCTGGTTTGGGGATATGATATTGTCAGGGCATTGTCGCAACGACGTATTGCCGTTCCGAAATTGTGAACGGTGAGTGCAGGGTACAGGGCGGATCGGCCTTTTTGTCATTTCACCGATCTTTATTAACGTAGACGCGGGAGGTAAACGCAGAGGAGGCATACGCCGTTGCGTCAAAGGGATAGTGCGATTTGCAACGTGGGGACACGATTGCGAGTGAACGGTGAGGTCGTTACAGGACAAGGGTCAAGAAGCTACAAACTCGAAATGGTTTTTCAGTAGGAACCTGGTCAATTCTCAAGTGCTTAACGCGTTCGGCGGGGGAATGTCTGGAATGCTAGGGAACACTTTGAGGTGGCATTGATTATTGGGTGAAGATTTCTTCGAGTATTGGGAGAAATGTATCCCTCGAATCGCATGGTAGGTATATTTTCTACCTTACTGTTTGTCTTTCTATTTTGCCATCTGCCCAGGGCCCCGTTTTTCGTCGTACTACACATACTTTGATCACCTTACGGATTGGGTACTGTCCTGACAACTTAGACAAGAAGTTTTACAAAAAACGTATATATGGATTTTGAATTTGCAATGAGTTACAGACTAAGACATGTATGTAAGATACATATCGCGACATACGCCGTACACCGAACACATAACACACACACAAGGAGAAAATAAGAAATGAAGATGTAACCAGAACGACCAACGTATGTATGTAGTATCATGAATTATCGAACTCGTCAATGCGTGGGCCAATATCATGATTTTCGTTTTCTAATGCGCGTCCGCAAGCAAAGTAGATGGCGAGTTGGGCCTTCAATATTGGGAAACTAGACCACCACGGTATCCATCTCCTCTTCTAGCGGCACTGATGGCACAAATAAGCACCACAATAACGGCAAAGGTGGTCAAGATCCTGAGGAAGGTAACACACAGGGAATCAGCAAACGGAAAACATAAAGGCATCATGTACCCACCACTCGATCCAAGCAAACGCCTCCAACGCGTTCAACTGTCCACAATAATTGAACCCGGTCACATCATTACAATTTAATCCTCCGCCCAACATCTCCGTAACCGCCGCAGCAGCAGCCGTCCATATGATCCAACTCAACACCGACCAGACAACATGCGATATGATACTAGTCGCAGCGCTAGCAGTCGAGTGCACCGTGAACAGAACACCGAAAAGGATAGAGGAGACGACAGTCCAGATGGAAGCGAATAGGGTGAACCGGACACGGTCTCGTTCGGAAGTGTCAGAGTAATCGTGAAATCTGTCGAAACGCGCAGTGAGCCAGGCGGAAAGAGCGAGTTCGATAATGCCAAAAAGGGCGAGGAGAGAGAAAATTATAGGGTGACCACGGCGAATGTGAGATTCAAAAGCCATTGAAAAAATGCGAGCGAGGTTTTCTGGTTGTATTGGGTAGATAAGGCTTGTTGATGGTTAGCTACCGTAAATCGTGAAGGTTCGTGAAACAAGGATTCGTGGAAGTTTAGTTTGATAGTTGAAGTTGGTGGTAGTGGTGTGAATGTATAAAATTGATCTCAATTCGTTTTATGTACTGGCGGTTTATTTACCGATTTGGAAGGTGGTTCGACTTGATGTCATCCTCGATTTGATTCAGAATGACGTCAGATGGTTTGTGCCGGATATGCCGCTTGCATTTTCGGATCCTTTTTTCGAACTTTTATGGACTGAAATAGTCATTCCTCGGAGCTCAAAAGCTTGAACAGCTGGTTATTCGCGTGTAGAGGCAACCAGAAAGGGCTACGGTGACTGAAAGGAGAAACACTGCTGGCATCGTGACTGCTGTACAAGTTTCTGATAGATTACAAAACTCGCTCTCGTCCCCAAAGCCCACCACTGTCTTGTCGCTTTGCCTTTCGCTAGTTGAGAAAAGACTCGAGGAAGGCCTAGGAAGGTTCATAGTCAAAAATCTAATATGGATAGTTTGTACAGAAGTCACGGTTCGTGTGTCTATTTGTTATCTATCATCTTAACGCTATGCAAATACTTAAATTTACCTTTATTTAGTGTAAGTCTTCATAAACCGTTGGTACGTTTGCGCACTATCACACATTGCACTCTCCAACTCTTTGCACTCGCGACAGTCGTTCCTACTAGTTCCTACTACACCATCCAGTCTCAATCTCCGACTGCAACGATAACCACCATGCACTAGAACCTTGGTTTTTCCCTGCTCAGCTGTTTCTATTGCCGCCGTCACGATGTTCCCTCTTCCCAAATGCCCACAGAATGCGGATCGTGCAAATTCCATTGTCCCTCATTGGCCTGAGTCTCGCTTAGCTGCACCCAGAAGCGTCTCCTACCGTGATACACCTTGGATTCGCCAGGCCCAACGGCACGGAGCCTAATACTTGGCCGGGGAACATACCAACACGACTGAAACTGCAAGAGCGCTATTACAAGGAATCTTACGATGTACATAATCATCGTTCGCCCGCACAAATAGACTTGCCTTTTACGGTAAATTCGAGCAACCGTATCCAGCCTGTGGGGCACGAAATCTGGAAGAAAGATTATTTTCCGTGTTGTTTTGTTTCGTTCTTTGAAAAAAGATCGAGATCGTCGATTGTGGTGGATTGTTGAGAAGACAGATTGTGAGGACGTGATCATGCCTGGGCTTGTTAGGGCTTGTTATAATCATCTCTGCAAATGCGATGAAAATACATTAATACGAGGTAATGGAGAACGGGGCTTATGATCCTTGAACAAGTTCTACTTGAAAGGACCTCAGTAGTGTGTGCTACACACTGATTACTTTGTTAGTTCTGTTCTGACTCGCATCTATTTCCACAAAGCCTCACGATGAACACGATTTTTTGTCTCAGATGGATCCGGATAAGATGGTTAATGTTTGTGATAGGATCCCGTAGGATCACCGACTCGAGAGAGTGTTTGTAATGGTAAGTGTTGTGTGATTCCAGGTGAGATTTGATGTGATGCCCCCCTTTGATGCACCTGCTGCAAAAATCTCGCATTCCGTGCTTATTTAAACCCCCGAACCCATCTATCCTCTTTTATCTCTTTTCTGCCCTTCCTTCCCGCCCTTCGTCGTTTCTCATTCTCATTCCCTCCTTAATTTCTTTTCGCTGGTCGAAAAGAAAGAAAGAGATTCCGAGTCAGCTGTCCTGGTTCGTGTTTCCATTCATGTTGTTTCCTCCTCTCATTTGTCACTACTAGAGCTCTGTCAACGCGTCAACGCTTCCCCAAAAACCTGACTTTACGCGCTTTTAGTTATGCGTCTGAACTATAGCAATAACTCCCTCATATTCGGTGTTCTCGCCGCTGCTGCTACCGCCGTCGTGTATGGAGCACCTCTCAATAACGCTGGTACTAGTGTGAGTTGGTTTGCTTCGCAATACCAATAGGCTTATAGTTGACCAAGAAAATCTACTTGTTATCTCTCTGTGTGTATCTTTTAGGTCATCAACATCTCTAACAGCTCATTCACCACCAATTCCTCTACATCTGCTGAAGAAACGTTACATGCTCGGGGCGTTCTTCACGGCCGAACAACAGGTAGAAGAAAGATTCAGATGAAATTCAAGAGCCCCAATGCAGCCCTACTTGGTTCTCACCCACCCACGCCCCCTCGGGTGAAGGAGATCCTCAAAGATGTAGTCACCGACTGGCTGCAATACGAAAAACAGCCTTCCGACATCGAGCTTGATTTTCTCAACGAGTTCAAAGGAAACATGGGGGAGAAATACACAGTGATGATGGGGAGCGAGGTGTGGAGGGAGAAGTGTAGGTCACCTTGGTCTTGTGAGGTGCAGTTGGTGGATTACGAGGATGAGTATGATGGGGCGCCACCAGTGGGGTGGCAGTGGGATATTGTAAATGACGAGGAGGTGTTGCATGTGATGAGTGATAGTCGGCTTTTACCACCTTATACACATTAGAGGTCTTGATAATTAGGGTCCACTACATAGGTTGTGAGGTTGATCGGGAAAGGATAGATTTCACTGAGACTTGGGACATGGGGGCCCTGTGTCCCAGTCAATACTTTGCGCTAGTACAGTCATCTATGGCTCCTTTATACTGTAAGACCTGGGTCAGAATAGGTCTTAAGGTAGGGTTTGGTATATGAAGGTTTATGTTGTAGCGTGCTAGGAGCAGGCTGGAGCTCGAGGGAGCTATGGGAACCGCGACCGAGGACAGGGATGATCTAGTAGTGGCTGGGGCAAAGAGATGGTGACCCTTGAGGGGGTTCCTAGGAGGTCCAGGGAGGTCCCTAAGGCGTAGGGAGGTTAGGTAAAAGTATGGAACCTTGTAATATCGCATAGTGTCACGAAGCGGCAGAGGCGGAGTGACTAGCGGAGCAGGAAGCGGGGTGACTAAGCCAGGCAGTGAGGCGGAGCGACTAAGCAGGTCAGTGAGGCGGAGCGACTAAGCGGAGCGGAGGCGAACTGGTCCCAGATAATGACAGAGATATATTGAGTATCGTAGTCATAGGTAATAATAAGTAAGCACATACCTGGTCCCAGATAATGACAGAGAGGTCAAGATAAGGGACCAGGCTGTGGAGGGTTGGCTATATATACATAATCTAGTCTGCGAGAAACAACGATGTAATACTGTACAGTTCAGGGGCAAGGAAGGAGGCGGAAGCCGATAGAAAGAGAAGATGGGTCAGGTGGATCAGTAATAGATAGATCAGTAATCGATGGAGATTGACAGCGATGGGATGATGTATTGTACAAGTAAAGGCGTCGAGACGGTGAGAAAGGGAAAATGATAGGGGCTGCGTACTTTATGACACGTAGTAGGAGTTGTACTCGCTAGAACATCAATATAGGGTTCGAATAGGCCGTAGATGGAAATGGGTCTCGAGGTGGTAAGCTCCCGAGAAGGTATACGCCCTGGAAGGTAGGTTCCCGGGGACTGGGCGCGAGGATGGACATCCTCGAGTGTTGGAGGTGGTAACGGAGAAGCAATACGTGGTTTGACGTGAGGGGGTAGCTTCGACGTTACTTAGATTGAGGTCCCGAAGTTTACGAAGTAGCTAGGGAGCTCTGGGAGGTCAGGGGAAGGGTAGCTCACCAAAGCGTTTAGGCGTTGGGGAGCTTTAGTAATGTTTGAGGGAGCTCGGAGACTCACTCGGATGGCTTAGACTTGAAGTAAAAATGTATATTCGATCGTATAGACGATCAGAGAGACAGTAGATGAGAGTAAAGAGAAACAGAGGTAGAGAAACAGAGAGTAAAGAGAAATCCGTATGGTTAGCAGGTACAAAGGGACAGGGACTGGACCCATGCAAAAGGGTGTGTGTTCAAAATATACCAAGCTGGGGTTTCTGGACGTTGCGGCGCTACTTAAGTAGGTACGGGAAGTGAACAAGAGAACATCTGGAACATGAGGCAGCTAATCTAGGGAGGAAGGTAGTAATCGAGATTTAGTACCTAAAGGGGTTGGCTATTAGGAGGGTGTTGTATGTATGTCAGGGGAATGGTGACAGTTGGGGGAGGTGCGTGGTGGTGTTTGGGGATCGGGGAGGTGTATGGTGGTACTTGGGAGGTGTATGGTGGTACTTGGGAGGTGTATGGTGGTACTTGGGAGGTGTATGGTGGTACTTTGGAGGTGTAGGGGTCAATAGGAGGTGATGGCTGGTATTGGGGCAGGTCTGGTTGTAGCCAGGGCATGACATATACACTCAAATTTTCTTATGCTTTGGAATGACTTATATCACAACTAGAAAGAAATCAGACTACATAGGCACAATAAACTAACTTAATAGATGAACATTCCCCACTTATATGATTTCAGAAAGTGGACTTTTGTGTTGCCAGAACATTATCAGTCCAAAAAATCGTTATCAAGAGAAATTGAGTCCTTTAGACACCCATTACATCACAGTGTGATTTCTTTATTTGTTTTATCAGTCCATTTAGTTATGTGTCAGCAGTCTGACTTACTATTGATTTGATGAGTGTGATGTGACTTCCTTGACCTTCTTGTTCACCTCTGTTCTATTCCTCATACATTGCAGCCTCTATTTGTTATTTCAAACTGTATAATACTTGTATAATTAGTTTATGTTATATTTCTTACAATCTTTGCTGAAAGATTGTCAAAATACTTCAAATTATATATCTGTCAAGTCCATGCCCCGGTGCCCCACTCCGCTGCTCAGTATTCTGAGATGAAGTGTTTATTGTTCTTTCTCACTCTACACATACCCTTTCATTCTAGTCTCTCCTTATTGTCTTTTACTCTACCCTGCAGGTACTACACGTATAGCTCCTAGTAGTTAGTCTGGCGCTCCGCACCAATGCGCTGATCTGTAGATATAAATACTGTCTGTATGATATTGTAGTTCCTCGGTTTAATTATCAACTTAGATTCTCCTCTCCAACTCAGTCTTCAGGCTCATTGCCTTGAAGTACTCTCTACTCTAACCTTTGGTTCACTCCTCATTGTCAGTGTTACCGCTGCTCCGACTTGGCTGCTCCTGGCTCCTCTCTTCTATACTCTCGATCTCTGGGGACTAGCGGCGTAACGGTGGTGTTGTTAATAACTTCACTACTGTCCCATTTGACCTTCCGCCCTTAGACACCTTGTGGCCTCCGGCACGGTTACACGGTGTACATGATCTTAACACTTGCCAGAAGGGAACCAAACAGCGATGTTTGCCATATCGGTAATGGGTTTAGAAGATAATGAACCATCGAAGAGACGAAGATTAACAGGAGAGATTTTGGTCGTAGGAACAGAATTTTGAGAAATATAATGAGTATCAATGAAAGAGTCAGTGGAACCAGAATCAACAAGAGTAGGAAATTTGAGAAGAGCAGAGATAGGTTCAGCCGGCACGTGTCAAGTCCATGCCTCGGGCCTCCATTCCGCTGCTCAGTAATCCGAAGATCCACCGTTTATTGTAATCTCACTCTTATTGTTCTTTCTCGCTACACATACCTTTTTGTTCTAGTCCCTCCTTATTGTCTTTTACTTTACCCTGCAGGTACTACTCGTATAGCTCCTAGTAGTTAGTCTGGCGTTCCGCACCAATGCGCCGTTCCGTAGATATAAATACTGCCTGTACGCTACTGTAGTTCCTCAGTTTAATTATCGACTTAGATTTCCTCCTTAACTCTGTGCTCCTCTAAGTCTTCAGGCTCATCGCCTTGAAGTACTCTCTACTATAACCTTAGGACTTAGACGTCCTTTGGTTTGCTCCTCGTTGACATGCCTAAATTTTGGCTAGACGTCTATGCTGTGAATTGTGACATTTTTGCATATAGATTTGTATCGAGAGGACTGTAATTGAGACCCAGATTGACAGTCAAAGTCAATACTGAATCAGTCTAATAAGTTGAAGGGACCATATACCCATACTACCACAAGTTGATTAGTTTACCCATCCCCGATACTACCTTTGGATAGCAGTCTACCTGTTTGTCAAGCAGGATTATACCAGACTTGGACTACATCCGAAGGATAACCATTCACATATGACATACCAAGGGTATTCTTATTGGACCTTACACTGGCAGGAGTTTGGAAGAACTTACTCAAGTGACCATGAGCCGAGGATTGACTCAAAATGACTTTCTAGAACTCAGGAATTATCAAATACTCTTTCTAGAACGAGATCATGCATTAATCTAAAAGACTGCAATTTAGTTTAATAGACTAATCAGGTTGCATGGTTGAGGAAAATGACTAGAAGAACGATCGAAGTACTGCGAGGCTCCGAAGACATATCAAATGAATGTCAAGGAGTCCTGATGTAGAAAATATTGAAGAACGCAATTAAATGAATACTATGTGTAACTCCCTTGATAGAGTATAGGCACAATGGGTGTCTATTGAAAGAGAGAAGCAATTAGTTTAATCCAGATGAATCAGATTGATAGGATTAGAATCGAGGAGAGCTGATTTGCCTCCAGACGATAATGAGCTTGCCTCGTTTTTGTGTGAAAGAGAAAGGAAGGAATCTAATGGGCACTCCAACCAACTAATCTAATACACAATATGCGAGTTCACTGCTATCAAATTTATTTAATAGCAAGGAGTAGCATTGGCAAAGGTTCCGCAAAGCTTTGAGAGCTAAGTACGAAGCTTTGATCAATCAATTTGAATCGTTCTAAGGATTCGATATATTCCTTTGATCAAGGTAGATTCAGCACTATTTGTGCTTTGGTTTGTATTGATTTGGGTATATCAAGAATTGGGGGTTCGAATCAAAGTAAATTAAAACCGAAACACACAGACCCCTACGGAGGGCTAGAACTATGTGCTGGCACAACCACACAGCGTGATTTGCCCTTAAGACCAACGACTGATCTTAAGTTCAAAGAATATCCAACAACTGGATATACTTCTCGCAGTCACAAGGAGCAGAACACAATGTTCCTATACTCACAAGTGCCGGGCCCGAATGGCTGCTAGCGAAGAGGTTTCAGTCTGGCAGGAGTGTGTCTTTCCTTTTTATGGATTAGCACTGCAACGTCGTCCCAAAATCACTTGTATTCCAGATACATCGGATCGCTATTTATACATACAGAATATAGAGTCACACAGTACAATTAATTTAATACAATAAATGTTCGGAACCGCCAGGAAACTTCTACACTCGGTCAGATACCATTTAATTTGAATCTTCATGTCCTTATTTGGCCCATATTGGTTCCAAGATTCTAGTATACCTCCAAACATAGGTAGGTACTTCGATATTCATTTAATTTAATTGTTTTTGGAGGATGACTTGAATGGTGTTCAACTGTCATTGCTGTTCAACACTTACTTTGATCGTTTGTCACCTCGTCCGGAGGCAAATCAGCTCTCCTCGATTCTAATCCTATCAATCTGATTCATCTGGATTAAACTAATTGCTTCTCTCTTTCAATAGACACCCATTGTGCCTATACTCTATCAAGGGAGTTACGCATAGTATTCATTT